TCGGAATCTTAAGAATAATATATATTTAGAAGAGTAGGAAATACCGTTAACAAACGGTAGATAAAGACAAGTTTTAATCTGATATGCCTGATCCAGAGAGATTCTAATTTGGGTTGTTGAGACTGAATACACCACTTTTAGATCATTGGCAAAAAGGAAAGGATTACCATACTGACAGGGTGAGCACAAGTCTTTGATAAAATGGAAAAAGAGTAATGAACCAATCACACTACTTTGTATAACCCCAGTGGTTACATCCACAGGTTTAGATAATGTCTCTAGCATTAAAAAGCACGAGCAAACTTGATTTTTACGAGCCATCAGTGAATATGGGAACCAGTAGATTAAGTAAGATTGCTCTTTGCTATACCTCATAGAGGTGCTGATTCTCGTTTTTTGCCCTATGATCAGAAGTCGCTTTGATTTTTGTACGAGTTCCATGAAGTTCAGGTAACTGGGATTATGCCAGCCCAAAACCAGAACTCTCACTAAATTTCAAATAAATTACAACCATTTCCGAATATTACACCTCTTTCTTCTCTTTTCAACATTCACTTTACTAAAAATTAAAGCCTGTGTTTTGATATTTTTGACCGCTGATTTCGCATTAATCGACAGATCAAGTAAATGCTTTCACTATGTCATCTCGAAATCGTCCTCGATCATTTCTCTTGTAGACTTCTATAAAGTCTCCTATTCACTTTCCTCTGATAAATTTGTACTTTAAGGACAGTGGTATTTTTCCTAGCTGTGTTAATTTTATAGTTTTGATCATTTTGTTAAGCATCAGGACTGCAGTTTTCAACTTGGTCGAATCGAATTTATTTCACGTAATACCAAAACTATTATTTATTTTCAAAAGTAATTTTATATTTGTACTTTTGTTGGGTAAACCGATTTTTTTCTCGTTGCGCCTGTGAGTCTTATCATTTCACGGATTCTATTTTTCCGGTTTCCAGTTCTAGCCTCCGCTTGTTTTCACCTCCTTTTCATTTAATAACATCTGATGGATGACCTGACAGAAGAAGAGAATCAATTTTCAACGCATAGGCTGTTGATTCCCCGTGAAAATTGACATCTGGTGCGACGAGTGCACAAAGTGAAGCCACTAAGTTTTCACGAATGTAACGTCAGTGTTTTATAGACGGTTTAGTGAAAATGAGTTGGTTGTATCTGACGGCATCGCAATGGTAAGCGCTGACAAAAAGCATATAAGTAGGTGTATCTATGACGAATTTAATGATGCTTGCTCTTTCTTCACACTAATCGATGTGAAGACAGCCAGAATGTGCTTAGGATCTGTTGAATTATGTGAGCCAAACGAGGAGGATTTGACTTCCGAGAGATCTGTCAAGAACCAAAACTCAGCGAAGGAGATTTTTGCTGAGTTCATCCATCCAAGTGGCTGTAGTCAGGGAACGCCTAGAAAACCTAATCACAAGACTAGTTCTGTTTCTAGCAGACAAAACAACAACCTGACCAACCAAGCTGTCAACAATCATCCAGGTTCTAATAGAGTGTTTAACGCCACTCTGTCTGCTGCTTCGGTGTAAGCTGATTAGTGAGTAAGAATCCAAAAATAAGAAAATAAGAACTAGTCTCCCAAACAGCATTTGAGAAATCAAATGCTGACCGTAGTGACAGGTCAGTCTTCTTTCGCAGTCAAGGAGAGCGAAGAGTCAGAATACAGAACTTGCCTTGATTATTGGCTTGGTAAAAGGTCAAATTAACCGGCTAACCCACAAAGATATTTCCAGTCACCTTGCTCAAGGTTTACATACTAGGCAGCTAAATGGATTTGATAGAAGATCAAACCAATCAACTAGAAGTTCCATTTATATTTGGCGAAAGGGACCTGAGACTTACGAATTTTCTGATAGTGAGGCTTTAACAGAGAATTATGCGTCACAAAGCCATTTAAATTGTCTTTCATTCTGCCACACGAATGCCTAAAGTTTTCTTAACAGTAGGGAGTCTGGTTTTGAAAGTTTCACATTTGTAACAACTAACAGAAGTCAGTAGAGTAAAAGAGGAGTAGAAGTGACTCATTTCGTTAGAAATATTATGTCGTTTACCATCATTGAGAACAATGGGCCAGAGTTCCTGGTTGGCTTGATCTACTGTAGTTCAAACTGTAAGATTATTGTGATCTTGCTAGACGGATTCAACACTAAATCTTCAAGTGGCTGATGTTTAATCTCTGGACACTTAAATGTACCTATGACAGACATGGAAAGTCTAGGAACTGAGTTACCAGGGATTCTTCAGAACAAAACTAGTTGAAGCTGTTATGACATGTGCCGTAGTGGAATATATGAAAGAAGCAACTTTGTACGACCCAGATTCCGAAATATCCTTACTAGATCACATATTGAGCTATTATGAGGACGACGTCGCAAACCTTGATTATATGCCACTCTTAGATAAGTGACCCCTCAGTTCTAGCCATTGATCTCCATATGTTTGTCGGCAACCATATGTCAGCTCAAGCCAGACCAGACGTTTGTAAAGCAAATATACGAGGTATTATACACTCAGCATTCTAGGTAGATTGGACAATAAAATCAGGATCCACATTGAAACGGCTTGTGAATATTTCATAAATTAGTTCATGAAGGTTACTGCACCCGCACATTACTTGGACTATGACATGGAGTCCCAGAAACTTCCCACCACGGAGTGTCTCAAGGCTCACGTTTGGGGTCAATGTCGCTTCTGCTGTTTGTTGATGAACTTTCCATTTCCCTATCATCACAGGTTTTGTTGCATACTGACGATATCGATATATGGAGAGCGATGAGAAATTATGGTGATAACCTAAAGCTATAAAGTGATCTACGGATCTACGATATATATTGATAACCAAGTTACAGACAAATATATGGTGAATTAAAATGAATCACTTGTTGTTCAGACAAACAACGACCTATGAGTCATAAACTATTTCAAACTACCGTGAGATGGTTACTAAAACCTTTGCGACCCCATGGTTTACACATGGAAACTTTAGACACGTTAACGGTAAAACCTCAGAGATTTTGGATACGGTGGTCGTTCGTTATAAACTAGAGTACTGCATACAAGCTGCTAGCTATTGATTAATAAGAGATAGTGAGCTGTTGGAAAAGTTTCAGAGAACCTCAATTAATTTGATTTCCATAATGTCAAAGCTTTCGTATGACGATAGACCGGCTAAACTAAACCTATTTCCCTGGTTATATAGAACCAGAGGTGACTTGACCACAGTCTCTTAATTACTGAAAGATTAATTTACATCAGACATGTCCTAACGTTTCTTGTCTTCTAAAATGGAGAGTTTACGAGAACACTCTAAATAGGTTCACATGCTCAGAACAAATTACTTACCAGCTGACTATCGATTTTCTCATCTAATCGTCAACGAGTGGAACTTGTTGCCTCCACACGTGATTGAAGCCCAATCTATCGACGCTTTCGATGTAAAGTTGGATAAACTAAAAGGTCGCCATTGGATAGGCTGACGCAGGCCATCCAGCCTTCTGTGCTGAGCCAAAACATACTTTCAGTCTTCAGTAATAAGGATAGGAGGTCTATCGACCTATATCAATCCTTGCAGTTTGTAACACTGTGGAGGTCCAATCTCGTTTTGAATATATCAACAAAAGGTTATAATATTACCTGTTCCGGTAGAGAATTCCAGTAATTCACTACTCGGTGCGAGGAAAATTCCTCCAGACTTAAACGACTTAATCTTGATTTTCGAACTTTCTTCGAATGTCCTCTCAAATGATCAGTCCTAGACGGAAGTAGAAGATAAGATATATTAATACCAAGGCCATCGCTCAGTATACGACGAGCCAATATTAGATCACCCTGTATTCTAAGGTAAGATAACGGAAACAAGTTAAGGTGTCTCATTCTGTTTTCGTAAGATAGACCAGATAGACCCGTTACCACCCTAGTCCCTCGTCGTTGGACTATTTCCAACATATCTGCTTCATACTTGAAACAAGGACTCGTTGCTTGATATCACTGCTTAATATGACTCCTAAATCTTTATAGTTTCTTACTTTGTGTAGCATGAATTCACATATTGTTTAGTGATACGCATCATCATAGCTACTTAATTGCATCACTACACTCTTGTTAGGATTTACTTGTAGTGACCACCTGTCCAACCATACCAACGATGAGCTAAGATCATTCTGTAATATTATTCTATTCCACGTGCTGTGTATGGGTCTCCAAATTTTTATGCCACCAGCGAAGAGTAGAACGGACGATTTTGCTATTTGTTTGCAATTTGTTTACATAAACTTAAAACGGAAGAGAACCGAGGATTGTATCTTGGTTAACTCCACTTTTTACAGTTACCCACGAGGAGAGAGCTCCATTAACCCTAACCCTTTGTCTCCTATCATGGAGGAAGTTACTTATCCAATCTAAGGCTGTATAATGGATTCCAAAACGTTCCAGTTTGAATTTAGGACCAGAATGGGAGACCTTATCGAAGGCCTTACTTAGATCTATGAAGATCACATCTACAGGAATATTCCGATCTCTTGTCGCAGTCCAATGTTCTCTTCTAATGAGAAGACTCATCAAGCATGATAGACCTCTCCGAAAACCATGTTGTGCCCTGAAGAAAAGAATATACTCTTCAACATAGTTTATAACTGGTAACCGAATGATTTTTCCAACAGTTTTACAACCGCACTAGTTAAGCTAACGGGTCTGTAGTTACTAACTAAATCCCTAATCCCAGCCTTACATACCGGACTTATTATCGGATCTTTCCAGTCTCTGGGCAGTCTGGACTGCCTCAGAGACATGTCAAACAGTATCGCTAAAGGTTCAGCAATTGACTCTTTTAATAGAAAATCGGATACTCACAAAAATTTACTAAAAGAGAGGTAACTCAGAAGGTCAGTCTTGGGCTCTTAGGACGCAAACCTGAAATTTGGATTACTGAAATACAAAGTTTGAAGTGGCTTCTATACAACGTTATCCTTGTTACCTTTGTAACGAGGGCAATTTGGATGGTGAGCTACTTCTCATTTCTGATCATAATAAACGCCTTTTGCAATGAGACCCGACAGCCTTTGTGGTAAAATATCGGCGAAGATCAATAAGCTGTTTTGTAAAACTACAGGTTGGTTATCTTGCAGCCTAACGTTATTGCATCTAGACTTGGATGAACAGTTAAGAACTGGTCACGAAATCTGTGATTGTTTAGAGGTAAGCTTTTTCCAATGTTGATAAAAGTTTAGAATGCGGCTGCGGAGAGAGAAATTCAGGATCTAACATTCGTTATTCACGATAAGATACAGTATTATCTGATGTCAACAATGCCAGATAACTTACAAGAGTCTGACACTCAACAGCTTCGTCGTTTATGTCTTGAAATCATCCAGAAAATCCCAAATGGTGATCATTTAAGACCTTTCGCTCGATCTCTTCTTGAAATGCTGTTTAAATTAGTGGAAGTATGGATCTTTCTACTTACTGTTTCACACTGTAGGTTGAAAATGAAGATAACGTCCTTGTTTGTGTGAAGCTGATTATAGACATCCATAAATTTTACCGACCATCATTCTCAAATGATGTGGGTTTTGATTAGAGTTGTTGTTATTTATTAGGTCTCACGGTTTTTAGACTTTGTGAAGGAAGTGTACAGTGACCTAAGGTTTCGAGCCAACAAGATTTTTGAGCCAAGGGTAAAGTTGGAAGTTCCTGCAATTTCCGATATTGATCTTGAGGCTGAAGTTTTAAATACATACACAGTTACAAGTGTTTACACACAGGAGCTTAAAAACGATGGTTCTTTCATGGTTGTAAGTACTCAAATCCAATTAACTGTTGTTGGATTTCAGTACCACATTCTCCCCAAATCTGGGTTTTCTTTAAAAGTCATGCAAGAGATTCCTATTTTAGTGGTTCTAATGTACCAACTATTCAAGCAGCATATTCACCAAGATGTTTCTGATTTCATTCCATTAATAATGGATTTCATCAACCTCAAACCAACAGAAGAACAAAAGTATGTCACTGTAATTATACCTATTTTCTTATTACCGCACACTTTTGTAATTGGGCTTTGGTTTTCCAATAACTCCTGGAATCCGTTACAACACTCATTTTCTGGGGTTTTATGTTTTAGTAAGTGTAATAGTGTTAATTATTTCAACAAAGTTGACTTTCCATCTCAGGAGTTTTAGACTGTTTCGTGTAGTCGCTGTGAGTGTGTAACATTAACCTTAGGGCGAAATAAGCATGCGCTAATTACAAAACCTATATTGAAGGTATTAGCCAAAGAAATTTAAGCAACAATTGTTATATCATTTCTTTATTATCTCTTCCTCCACTATCGTAATCAATGGTTGGAGACAGTGATATGGCTCAGAACCGATCACAATGGCGTAGGTGTATACACTGTTTGTCTTCCCTCAAACCATGAGATCAAAATTATTTTATACTTTTCTCCCTGTACCATTGAAGTAACCGCTTCTATGAATTTGGTGTTGATCTTGTGCCAAGGAGGTATTGCAATATGGACCGATGCATTTATGTACCTTGTCTTACACTGTAACTGACTGACGAACTGACTTCCTCCACTTCTTTCTCAATTTATGCAAGCCAGTGCAGCACTATGCGTTTGGTGGTAACCATGCATGTGTAGACGATGCCCAGCAACAATTATTGTTTATTCATAACGTAAAAATAGATATCAGCGTGGAGCCTCGTAAAGTGGTTATCTATTCAAGTCCTTATACTTCACAACATAAAATAAATCACGGAAAATGGGAAGAGTAAAGTAAATCAGTGGTAGGTTGGGAAATAAATGAACTGAGAATAATGGACATATTTAAGATAGACAAAGTTAAAAATAAGTCCCTTTATTACTTGGTTTGTTTTTCCAGTGGTTGCATGTATTAACCACGTCATACTAGAGGTACTGACCAAATTTCTCTGTCCATACAGTGTCGCGGGTGAATAAGCGTTATTCAAACAGGTTTTCTCTCCATAGATATACTCCCGATCACAATTTTCTACCAGTTATCTCTGTTTCTGTTTTACTTTACAGGAAAAGTGCTAACTTTTGTCAAGAAGTTTTCATTGATTTTATGGCTGCCCAGGTGAAAACTTTATCGTTCCTCGCCTACGTAATTAAAATATACCAAGTATGTTTATCACTGTTCTAACTGGTCTGAATAGAAAACACATATGTTAGTTTTGTTTTCAATAAGATTACTCATACTCTGGTCAGGATTATTAGTAGTTAACCGTCCACTTTAACCATATCTTTACTTTTATTTCTGTCCCCGTATCTACTTCATCCGCATGGGAATAACTGATAAGAACTTACGACGCATTGTTCACTTAATACTCATTTTAGGATTTGGTTGAGCTACACTCGGTCAGCCTTGTTCAAGGCATGATGAATTTGTTGGTCAATTGTCCTCCTTCAGTAACGAATATGCGTAAGGAGTTTTTTATTGCTGCTCGTCATATTCTCAGTGCACAGGAAATACGTCCTAGTAAGTTGTTTCCATAAATGTCCTTATTAGTCAGATTTAGATAATCTTGATTAATAGATCGAATGTCATATGCAAATGATTACTATATAAAAAATATTTCCCATTTCACAACATAAATAAGGCATTCTTGGCTTACTAATTTATTACTCTGCTTACTAAGGTGCCATTCTTAGTTCTTATGATATGCATGTTGTTGGTTCTTTCTCTCTGTGTCAGTATAAATTGTGATAACTTGGTTCGATGCATATAGGTGCTTATAGTTGACCGAAGGGATGGATCAATAAGTGTTTGGCAATAGGTTATTTATTTAAACTTCCCTCCATCTGCTTCAATCTAGTCTTTTAATATTTTTATGGTACTTATCATGAACATGACCTGCAAACTGGCACGTACATCTTGTCATGATGAATGAGTCGCATTTATTTATGTTTCAGCAAAGGTATCGGTGTTCATATTGCGAACTGACCGTAGCTGCTACCTTGACGTGGTGGTCGGATTGCCTATCGTGATGACCCAACCGAGCTATATTGGCTGGAACACATGTTCCTGCAGGTTCTACCATGCACGGCAGGTCGATTGGAGAACGGTTAGACTAAAAGCAGCAACTCAAGGTCTGAGGGAAAAGTCGTACTGTTGACTGTACAGAGGTATAACAGCAGTAAGGTGTTTCCCTCGGACAACCAGCATCTGCAGCGATGTTGCCTTCTCATAAGAAAGGAAGGGGTTAGAAAAGGTTGACCCTAAAAATGTCACACCTCACCTTACCCCACGGATTTCCGTCTGCGGCGGTAAGGCCCTTTAAAGAACGGAGCTAACACATTAAAAACCTCCCACAAAAAGGCCGTGCGCAACCGGCCTCAAGCAGTTGTCTCTTGGGTTCTGTTGTCACGCACCCAGGTCGTTAAGACCAACACTAATCTGATTTCCTTTTCATGTTCCTCAAGAAATACCCTTCCACGGTGTGGGCAACTGGGAAGTGACACAGCCCTCATACCCGTAACAGAACACGAGACCAAGTTGGTCACATTCAAATCCTTCCTACACCTCCTAATAACTCTCGTATCTCCACAACTAACCCCCCTTCTCACGTCCCTTTATCACCTCACCCCGCTAGTGCGAACGATTCGAGTACGCGGAACGTTATTTCTGGTCTCCTGAAACCACGCTCTAAACTACACGTAGAAGCTTTCAACGTCCGAACACTGTGCCGAATAGGACAACAGGCTTCCTTAGCTAGGACTTTAGAATCTCGCTCCATCGATGTGTGCTGCGTCTCCGAAACACGCACACAGGATCCAAGTAGTGTCATTCATTTGGTCGCACCATGTCAAAGTAACGAACCAACTCGATTTACACTTCGTGTATCTGGAAGCCCTGATGCTGCTTCCCGTGGCCTCGCTGGCATAGGTATAGCTTTGAGTTCTAGGGCAGAACTAGCTCTCTTAGACTGGATCCCAGTAGACAGTTGTTTGTGCGCTGTCCGACTAAACGGAGCAGTAAGGACTCGGAAAGATAGGGACACTCGTCGTCTCTGCCTACTCTCCCACTGACTGCAGCTCAGATGATGTAAAAGATGAGTTTTACAGAAAGCTTTCCGACCTTCTCCGAAATGCTAGGCGTTCAGATGTAGTAATAGTGGCTGGGGACTTTAATGCTCAAATAGGTAAACTAAGAGAAAGGGAAAGACACCTGGGTGGATCTTATGGTGTCGCGGTTCAAAGAACAGATAACGGCGACTGTCTGTTGCAGCTATGCTCAGATAACCGCCTGTTTCTTGCAAACACTAACTTTAAGCATAAGGACAAACATCTTTTAACATGGCGACCCCCTAATTCGTCCCAACGCTGGACCCAAATAGATCACATCGGTATCAACCACCGATAGAAGGGCTTGATAGAAGACTGTCGCTCATTCTGGAGCACATGCTTAGACTCAGATCATGCCCTAGTGCGATCGCGCATTTGTCTACGTCTTACTGGACGTAGGAAAGATGGTGCAAGGATACCCCTTAGGGTCCTACTTAATGATAGTCAAGCTAAGAGTATATTTCAGGAACAACTAGAAAAACAGTTAGGCAGCCATGTAAGTGATGCCCACCCCGAGGCAGCGTGGAACGACATCCGAAAAGCTGTAGAAACAGCAGTGATGTCTTCAAGTACGGTAAACCATAAGGTTAGGGAGAAACACTGGATCTCTGCAGCGTCTACTGCCTTGATAGATGCTCGGAAACTCATTCCATCTGGCTCTGAACATAACGAAGAGCGGAGTCAGCTTAAGCGTAAGTTGACTAGAAGCCTACGCAATGATCGTGAACAGTGGTGGGTAGCGAAAGCAAGAGAGATGGAAAAGGCAGAGGCAATAGGTAACAGCAGGCAACTGTTCAGACTTGTTAAGGAAACCGGTATTAGGAACCCAACTGTTAAGGAAACAATCTCAGAGAAAGATTGACATATTATTCATTCTCAATCCAGGAGATTGGATCGATGGGCAGAACACTTTAGGGATCAGCTCAACTTGCCTTCAGCCACACTACCGTTTCCCACGATCTCCAGTCGACCTGCATGGCAAGTTAATGTAAGTCCTACGACTCTTTACGAAGTTGAGAAAGCTATAGGAAATCTGAAGCGTGGGAGAGCAGCAGGCCATGACAGGTTTACCCCTGATATTTTTAAGGATGGCGGTCCAGTATTAGCAGTGAGACTGACTGAGGTCTTAGGTAGAATCTGGGAACTGGACGTAATCCCATCTGACTGGTCTCAATCACTGATTGTGCTAGTCTATAAGAAAGACAAAAGTCTTCTTGTGACAATCACAGAGGAATTAGTTTGACTAATATAGTGTCTAAAATATTAGCTTCAATATTACTTCGACACCTAACCAAAGTTCGTGAAGAGCAGACTAGAGAAAACCAGGCTGGTTTTCGACCTGGACGTGGTTGTATTGATCAAATATTCACATTACGTCAGGTCCTAGAACATAGACACACATTCAGACGCTCCACAATCGTAGTATTTCTCGACCTTAAGGCGGCATTTGACTCTGTTGATCGTGAGGTTCTATGACAGTGTTTGTCAGTGAAAGGAGTACCAAAGAAGTACATTAACCTTATAAAGGCTCTCTACTCGAACACAACTAGTCGAGTGAGAGCTTATGGCGAACTGTCATCAGAGCTGATTACCTCAAGTGGTGTTCGTCAGGGCTGTCCACTATCTTCATTCTTATTTAACTTTGTCGTTGACGTGCTTTTAGAGATAACACTTTCCATATCTAAATTTCCAAGGGTTTAACTTCTACCGGGAGACTCACTTTTTGACTTAGAATATGCCGATGACATAGTTCTATTTGGTGAAGACGCTGACAAAATGCAGAGTCTGCTGACCACTCTAAACAACAATGCACGCATGTTCGGGATGTGATTTTCTCCCTCGAAATGCAAAATGTTGCTTCAGGATTGGGTCGCGTCGACACCCGAACTAGTGATAGGGAGTGAAGTAGTTGAGCGTGTCGACCGCTTCACTTATCTCGGAGGTCTCACCAGCCCTTGTGGTTTGGTGTGTGACGAAATCTCAGCACGGATACAGAAGGCTCGACTAGCTTTTGCCAACTTGCGTCATTTGTGGTGTAGGCGAGATATCCGTCTATCAACCAAAGGATGTGTTTACTGCGCAGCAGTTCGTTCCGTCCTACCTTATGGCAGTCAGTCAGTCAGTCAGCTGCAACGTAGGACCAGGCACGTATATGCATCGGTCCAAGTCGCCATACCGCATTAGCACAACAAGATGAACAGCGGATTCATAGGAGTAGTTAATTCAGTGGTGGTAATATATAGAAGAAAGATTGTGTATAAGGTGATAGTACAGGAAGAAAGAATTAGTTCCTAGACAGATATGAAGACAGAGAGTGTATACACCGACGCTATTGTGATCGATTCTGAGCCATGTCGCCAAGAGTCTACAACCATTGGTTACGATAGTCACGCGGACCCCAACCAGGCAGTCTGAATCTCCCAACATGGCTCAGACCAGAAGTTAGTGACTTCAAGCACTGATGCCACGTTTTGGTTTGGCCGCCCCTAACTTTCTTCCAATTATCCCCTGCACTAGTCAGCATTGCGCGTCGTGGTAATCGGTGTTCAGGCATACGCAACACGTGGCCCAACCATCTCAGTCGATGAAGATTCATAACCTCATCAACTGATTTACCATCATTCCCTAATACCCTGCGTCTAACTTCACTATTACTTACTCGGTGATCCCAGCAGATACCCGCAATATTTCTAAGGCACCTGTGATCAAATACTAGTAACTTACGAATATCTTCCACTCTTAAAGGCCATGTTTCGCAGCCGTATAGAAGGACGGAACGAACTGCCGCGCAGTATACTCGTCCCTCAATTGATAGACGGATATCTCGCCTTCGCCATAGATGACGTAAGTTGGCGAAGGCCAAGCGAGCTTTTCGAATCCGTGCTGAGATTTCGTCAGACACCAACCCATTAGGGCTGATCAGACTTCCAAGATAAGTGAAGTTGTCAACGCGTTCGACTACTTCACCCCCTATCCTTAGTTCAGGTGTTGATGCAGACCAGTCCTGAAGCAACAGCTTGCATTTAGAGGGAGAAAAGCGCATCCCAAACATTCTGGCATTGTTGCTCAGTGCTACCAAAAGACTCTGCATTTTATCAGCGTCTTCACCAAACAGGACTATGTCATCTGCGTATTCTAAGTCGATAAGTGGACCTCCCGGTAGGAGATCAATACCCGAGAAGTCAGTCGATGAGAGCGTTATTTCCATCAGGATGTCTATGATAAAGTTAAACAAAAAAGGAGAAAGTGGACAGCCTTGACGGACGCCACTTGAGGTTGCAAAAGCAGATGACAGTTCGCCATAGGCTCTGACCCGACTAGTAGTGTTCGAGTAAAGAGCCTTCACAAGGTTTATGTACTTCTGAGGTACGCCTTTCAATGACAGACACTGCCACAAAACCTCTTATGGCAGTGAAACATGGCCAGTAAGAGTAGAGGATATTCGTAGGTTACTAGTATTCGATCATAGGTGTCTTCGAAACATTGCTCGTATATCCTGGGACCACCAAGTAAGCAACTCAGTTGTTAGGAAACAGGTACTAGGTAAGGATGGCAAATCAATTGATGATGTAGTGAAACTTAATCAGTTGAGATGGCTGGGACATGTGTTACGCATACCAGACCACCGACTGCCCCGACGTGCGATATTTTATGGTGTAGGAATAGGTTGGAAGAAAGTTAGGGGCGGCCAGACCAAAGCATGGCACAAATCCATGAAGTCACTGACAAGTGGATTGAGCCATGTTGGTAGGTGTAGACTACCTGGTTGGGGTCCGCGAGTCGATAGCAACCGATGGTTAGAGACCTTGAATGACATGGCTCAAAATCGTTTGCAATGGTGCAGGTGCATCCACTCTTTGTGTTCTCTCAAACTCTAATCTTCTGAATTATTCATGTCCTTTATTTTCTTTCTAAATCTATTCCACTGGACTATACTCCTTAAATAACATCATCAAACCTTAATGTTCCCTATCACTACTTATACTTTCACTACCTCTACCACTACGGGATTTGAATCGATAACTGAATCTCTGTGCTAATGTGGTATGGCAACTCGAACTGATGGACGTACGTACGAAGTTCCACGTTGTTACTGACTGACTGACTGATAATTAAAACGATTTCTAGTGACCACCTGGATCGTTCTTAGTTATTCCTTTCTAACTTTGATTAGTCTGACTTACCACACTGATTTTAGTGATCACCCTTTTCAAAATGATTGTAAATTAAACACGCAAATGATTTTCACAATAAACTGACGTTATCTGGGAAAAGCCATTAAAAACTAATGATCACTGGATGTGTTCAGTTTTAATTTTGTTTTATGTTTAATATAGATTCATTGTGTTAACTATACATATTTCAGATGTTTTGCTAGTTTGTTTCTTGCTATGAAGACCAGGCTCTTTACAGATTTGTTTACAACTCTCATGTCTGTTTAGAATTTCTTCAAGTTTTGGATGAACTTATGAATGAAGACATTTTAATTGGACAAGGATATACCATTCGTGATGCATTGAGGTAATACATTTTTTATAACTAAAAGAGCCTGTTTTGTAATCACGCACTTGATAATAAACAATACGGCTTGATAAGTTAAAACTAGGTGGATGATAGTTTGGACACATTAGATTATGATATTATATCACTTGATATACGTTAAAAATTCCAACTAACGGTTGATAACCACATTATGAACCAGGCAATAGTCTTATTAATAAAAATACAAGTAATTCACATAGTGAAACCCAAAGTAGGAATTCGAGTTATAGGATAGAACTAGTTATATCAAAAATTACAGAAGGACTGTCTATCTTTGTTCAGCAACAAGTCACTACTCGTTTTCAAATGACACATTAACGTTAGTTGTTATTCAGTAATTAAACGTTAAATAGATAAGTGTTATACTATTAACTACATCATGACTTATAGAAGGGGTTTTGACCATTTCGATAGGATTAGTATCTAAAGAATTGTTAAGGTGGAGTCACGCTTTTAAAAGACAACACTTGCTATATTGAACATAATTTATGTAAACTACATCTCGCTGCTTAGTGTCTTATAAACCGGGGATTAGAAAGTGTCATCATACTGTAACTGAAATCAGTAGCGTATTTTAGTTTTTGATAAAGAGTGTACGTACCACTGGATAACTGTTTCAGACCAAACTGCAGTTTAGCTTTTCTCAACGCTACTAGTCATTTTGAGTTCACAAGCTCACTAACAAACATAACAATATTTATTTATAAGCTATTTGCGCACGAGACAAAGAGGTTATGGGTTCGAAATTCTCGAGGCGGGATCGTGTACGCGAGCTGCCGAGGAGTTCCATACTAGGACGAAACGGCCGTCCAGTGCTTCCAGGTTTTTCATGATGGTCTCACCTCAATTGACTCATGAATTGGACTATTAAATTATAAGCTATTTGTTTAGATTAGAGGCTAAAACTGAATTGATTTTGTTTTGTTTTGTCGCGAATAAATATATAGCAATATTTTTCACTTTGACGTCATAATGTTTGCTTGAACTAACCAAGTTGTAAGTTACACTATTCAATAATTGTCAAATAGTTGACGTAAAAATGATGTCTCATTACCTTAATCGTATCACTTAATGTATTCATGTAAATTTTCGTTCTAGACCATTGGCTTACAGCACATTAGCTGATCTTACTCATCATATTCGTGGTTCTCTTAGCCTTTCTAAAATCGCTCGTGCCATTGATGTTTATGGTCGCAATATGCATGACCATACACTCCCGTTTTCAATTCAGCAGATGAGCTTACGTTTGATACTAAATCTGGTTGAGTGTATAAGACAACGAGCGATTTCAGCCACATCCGCTAATCAAGGGGCATCAGCCGCAAATGCTGAGGACCAGAATAATGAAGTTTTTTCCGGAACTGCAAGACGTCTGCTTTTGCAGACATTAAATTTGTGTGTGTTAAAAGCCAAGGTGGTGGCAGATCACTACATACCTGCATTAGAGTCTACATGGTGAGTTTTATTCTTTAAAATTTCCATAAAAATAAAATGTCAAGTTACTGAAACATTGCAGGTAATTTTGTCGGTGCTATTTTTATCATAACGAAATATCTCCAGAAACATTTTAAATTCTATTAACTTTCAAATGTGATTTCCTCTCATTTTGCAGATATAAACAATATTATAATAGCTAAATTACTCTCGAATAATTAAAACATACCTCCAATAAATTAACAACGGATCACCGTTGAATACTTAAGTTTCTTTTTTACATTCAGGTTTCGGATTAATATCATCTCCGTATTCAATAAATTGAACTGAACTAGTTCTAACCATTTCATGAAAGCGCTGTGATACATAGTTAGATAGTCATATGTACATTGAATAGAATTACCGCCGTTTTCATCAGGATAAACAGAAAAGCATTAGAAATAAGGACTACTAAATAAACAATAAATGGTATATATACCTAGGTATGTATACAAACCAGTATTGATATAATTTTGCACTAAGTACAATCGTTATTTGAATCTCACTATAGGATTTAACTTTCACGAACACTAAACAGGAAATATCGACTTGATGCTTCGAAATCAACATTCAAATAAACTAACCGTTACCCATTCTTCTGTTTTAGTGTATTGGAAACAGGTGAAGAAGTAACGTGCAATTCAGCAAAACAGCGTCCAAGGTCCATACATGCTTATCTTTTTGCCAATATTTCCTCTTTTTCGAGTGAATTAAACGAAGTTGGCTCATTTACTGATAAAAGTGTCCCTGCTTCGGATTTTTCAAATATTCTAAATTCGGGAACTGATGCATCAAAAGTGCATGAAGTTAGTGTTTTTCTCATTATATGTTATCTTTTTAAAAGAATATGTTTGTTGAGCTACAATAAAGTAGAAGATTCAATATATCGATGTATTTCTGTTAGAATGCCGAAGTCCTCCACTCCAAATCAAAAGTCTTGCAAATTTTTTTTATTTGTATGTTGTAAAACGTAGTCATAAAATCCGTTAGATTTATTTTTGGACCACTTTACGAATGTCTTAACTGTTAATAACAGTTATTAACTACTGGCTTGTTGATTGTATTATGTTGGTGCAAAGTAATTTCAGTTTTATGTTCCCTCGGTACCTGTTTATCTAGCCTTCTTGTCGTTACACTAAAATCCAATTGTTACCTGACACTTTTAAGTATTTAAAGTCAATAAACACTTGTAATTACTGGTATACTAACATCAATAGTCATAGATCTCCTAGTAGTCGATTCAGTAAGACAAGAAAAGATTTAAATGTGTTCTACTTTAAGATATTTTTTCGGTTTAAATGTTTTGAAAATGCACACATAATTCACATAATCCAAAAACTCATACCATTTTTAAAGTTTACACTCCTTTTCTTGAAATTCTGTAACAAGATTTCGAGTGTCAATGATGTAGTTTCGTGTTTAGTTTACTGTCTATGAAAATTTTTGTGCTCAACTACATTAAAATCTGTTTTGCATTATATTTAAAGCCCCGGATCGTTGAACCGTTGGCTAAATTACAACTTAGCTACACAGATGTCCGGACTCTTGTAAAAGCACTTATCACTGGCATTCGTACTGTAATGACAAGCATGATCCAATGTCCACATGATAATATACTTCAGACAAATAGTGTCACATCAGTCTCTTCAACATCATCAAAGCAATCGATTTCCAATCGAATTCTTAGCCCAGATGAGTTAGTAGTCTTAACAGAATATTTCTCGTATGGAATGCGTATGATCGACATTGTGCAGTTTGTTAGCCGAGATGGTCGACTGTATTTAAGAAGGTAAGAACAATTTAATTAGTTTATATTAAAAATCAGGAAATAAAGATAACATAACTTATCCCTACTTACTTACTTAACTACATTCATTCTATCTTGTTATATTTTCATTTCTATGATACAGCCAGCCAAGTACCAAATCTCCTGATGAACGCCTACTTATTGAGACATTTGCCCTTACATTTGCTCAATTAAATCCAATTTCATTTCATGAAATTTTTTCTTGTAAAATTCACGTGAGTTATTCTATGTTTTTCGAATTTCGTACGGAAGAGCCTTTTCTGTCCTTTTACATACGAAGTAATATCAAAAATAATCTTTCCCTTATTATTGGATTATTATCATTAAACAATAGCTTTTATATATTTATGTACTTCGTATACTTTAAATGCATCTTTTAGTTGAAATGCAAACAGATCAAACATAAAATTCAGTACTATTTGCGTAAATCCAACTATTATTTTAAATCCCTCATCGACAAAAATTGTACTTTTTTAAATTTTACCTAATATAAACTGTTATTGTTTTTCATTTCGAGGATGCTTAATCGGGTTTAAAACCAACTCCAATGTGTTTATATAGACCTAATAAAGATTGAAAAAGTTGTTTTAGCATTTAATTCTTCCGCTAAGATAGTTTACTGGTTAAAAGTTCCATTTTCTCTATTTGAAGTTATGGAAAAAGAAGTTTATAATGGTAAATACTGTTTTTAGTATAACCATGAAAGCTTCATTGTTCGTTTAATTAGTAATATTATGAGTAATAGGTAGAAGTCTTTATATATGCAACAAGCTGCGACTGTTATACATTAGAACGAACTATTCCTTTCAGTTGTTCTTACTTTTACTGATCACATTTTCTAGTAAATATTGTAAAGGTAGGCTTAATCTAGTAAAATGAGAATTCACAATTATTAATAGATTTGTTTAATTTTATATAGTTTAAGGGCAATATTTTAATTAATTGTGAAGTTGAAGGCATTTTAATGATGTGATATTATCAATGTTGTACATAAAGTTAGTATTTCTTTCTTTGTGGTTATTTAATTAAAAAGGAGAGTTGCACACATTCTCTATAATCACTCTTTGATTGTCCGTATTTATTGATATTCCTTAATGTACATGTTCTAAGCACAATAAATGATGGTCTAAAGCCTATTTACTGTCACTAAGCTCCTGTACTTTTTTCCGGTTTTTGTGTTCCAATCACTATTGTTGGGACAAGCATATAGTTGATAACACTGATAATCTCAACTGGTAAGTGATATGATGGGTGAGAATGAAACCCAACACTTAGATCCCTGAACAATAACCTACAAAAGTGGTAATCCTTAATCAAGTTTATTTTTCTGTTAATAACTTGTATATAGACATTTTATTCTATCATATATTTGACGCCATATTAGGTCCAACTCTTTCTATAACATTGTATCATGTTATATCACTATGTTTACTTCAGTTTTTGCGTGAATTTGTAACAATATTTTGTAAAATCTCACAGTTTTCTCTTAATTCGTCAGTATCTGAACTTTCTTATTTTTCTTCTCGCCATTTTTTTCTTTTTAGGATTATGTTGTTTGGTGCAATCGCAGCGCATCCTACACTAATATTGCGTTACATTTACTTTCTCAACCAAATAAAACATCATATTTTGGTTATATTTTGTTATCCTATCTAGTTGATAGATTAGAACGTTTGGGAGGTAAACAATGTTTTTTTTCTCCAACTTTTTGGTCTGAGTTTATCGTACTTTGGATTATCTTATGAACAATTCTTTGGAAACAATCGTTTCATTGTCATTTTAATTATCGTCTTCAGCATAGCTTTGCATAAACATATTCCTAAGTTGAATCTGTAAATTTATTTCTGTTTAGTTTAACTGAATAACACACTTATTTGGAGGAGGTTCCAGTATCTTCTGATTTCTTTTGGGAAAATAATTTATTTTGAAATTTCATACTGAAAAGATTTCATTGGAATTTCATGCCGGAAAACCTATTGGTTCATTCTTCTTGAGACCGTGCAAAATACTGAAACGGTTTGTCGTCTTTTCAATCAAAAGTTACTGCTTAAAATTATTTTGATAGTTCTAGGCTGAGATTCTAGTGGGGTTACAAAGTCCTTGAAAAATGACTTATAGAATCTATAGAAGCATAGGAATACACATTTTTATTTCAAGTAATCAGTTATTTTAAAGAATATCGTATAGTTACATAAAACTGTTCTTGGAATAGTTTAGTTACTAAACTTTATTATTTTGTCCATTTCAGATGGCACTAATGAATCTGCACTTTATATGCGATTATTAAAGTTATGCTTCAGTTCTGTAAATATGTCTGGCACAGAAAATGAATTAGTTATGAAGGTATTTTACGTTATTCTGATATTTTATTAGATTTATTTATCTTTTTGAATCTACAGAAATAGATTTTGCGTCTCACCTAGTATTTTCTAAAAAGTACCATTAGATATGCACCTCTGGGTAATGATCTTTGTGCATAAATGTCTCTTGGGAATGGCACATAGTTTTGTGGCTGACAGCATGCATGTTTTATAGAAAAACATATCGTTCCCGAATCTAAATAGATGATTATTGGTATTTTAACGTCAGTTATTGCTCATTTTTATTCGGTGTTCATAGATATTTCAAGGTTCAATGGAGTCGACTAAATTAAGAATAAAGACAGATCTCCACGGTCTACTTTGAATGATAGTTGGAGTGTACCGTAAAAAGGTAAAATGCGAACTACTAACCGCTTCATGCCCACCATATGTCTTGTTCAAGATATGTTACAGATTTTTATCATGTTCATTTTTGAGTTGTCTTAGATGAAGACGAAACGATAAGCCAACGTTAGCTGGTTTTTTGTAATGAAAACCGTATTAAAAATTAATTTTATTTTTATTTTATAGATGTTCATCCACAGCCTCATTATGAAACATTTCTTGGTTAATAAAGCTGGAATTAATTATTAACAATTTATTTGTCTTATATCTTATAGCTTCATTTACGCCGTATCGTTCAAGGCAGCATGCATTACTGCCTTACAGCTAAAGAGCCTACAGCATATCTCACTTTATTACGAACTCTTTTTCGGTCAATAGGGGGCGGAGCACATGACAAACTTTATCGTGAATTTTTTCCCTTATTACCTGAAATGTTAACTACGTTGAATCGTTTACTGCGTTCACCACATCGTTCGAATGCTCGTGATCTATTGGGTGAACTGTGTGTTATTGTCCCAGTTCGTTTGTCCACATTGCTCCCCTATTTGTCTCTGTTAATGGAACCGCTAGTTTATGTGCTGAATTGCAATACTGTCAACCAGGTAAATGTCGTTTTGTTATTTCGCTTGTTTACCGTTCATTTTAAACTGAAATAAAATTAAAATAGTTTAGAAAACATTATTACTCAGCAAAATTATATCTATTTTTCGTCTGCAATCCCCCCTAATAATGTTTTTGGAATCCAGTTTAATTAGGAGGACACATATGAAGTAGTTTTGTTAGGATTCATGACTGATGTTAACCCAGTTAGTGACTAATCGTTCCAAATATGGTAGTTAATTTGATTAATTAGTTGATTTGTCTGATTAGTTGGATCAATGGTGAGTTGCACTTTGCTGATAAAATTCCGTTATTAATAAATAATGTCCATTTAATGTTTTAGCGGTCGGTATCGTATTTGACGCTTACAATATGCCTGAATGTTGTGTTAAAGATAAGTTCATAATTGTTGCTCTTCTCCAATGGAAAAATCTCTAGTTAATGTTCAAAAATATTTATAAGTTTCGTAATTCAATTATCAAATCTAGGTTTTCAAAATTTAGACAACGAAACAGATGTTTTCTTTCTTAACTTCAATGACTTATAAAAAAATTGTTGACAAATTTCTTATGTTTTACGGTCTGTGGAAGAAGCTCGTATTCATCTTTAATCTCATTACTCAACCTTAATCTCTTCAAGCCTTTCACTTCAAGTTTTTGGTGCTGAAGCGTTTTGGTTTTAGGGTTACGGAGTCTTCTGTTTGGTTCATTTAACCTTCAGTGATCCTAATTTAATAATACTCAATGATACCATGCTCTATGTTGAGCGGTAGCTGAATACTTACAACATCTGAATTTCTTTTAGTGGGCGCAGATTTTAAACCAGTTTGCATCTACTTCTATTTAAAGAATCATATAATGTCGTCATGCTTCACAAAGAACTTGAATGAAACCCGAAAACATTTAATTGGCTACCTTGTAATTTTAATCTTAAATGTTTGAAATAAAAAGATAAATTATTGCTTTTCAATCTTGATTTATATCAATTCATTATTATTTTGTTAATGTATAGGGTCTCCGTACTCTTGAGCTTTGTGTTGATAATATGCAACCAGATTTTCTTCATGATCATTTATATCAAGTACGTGGGGATATGTTATTGGCGTTGTACAACTCACTTCATTCACCTAGTGAATATGTACAAAAAATGTCATTCAAGGTTGGTTCATCTTTCACTTTTGATGTATAATAATAATAATAGTAATGATAATAATAATAATATATTAATCTCTTCAATCCGATAATTGTTCTATCCAAGTATTACTGCTCATATTTTAAACTTGTTTATTGAAATATTAAATTTGAAACATAATCCAGGTATAGTAAGAAGATACATAGTCCAGTCATACCAGTCTTCAAATAAATAAATTTTTTATTTTTTTCACAGTTGCCTGCATACAATAAGTTTAATGTTTTTTTTTGTTTCAAAGTCTTTACACTTTCACGAAATTGGTCATTTTTGGATATTTTTCCGTGTAAATTAAAAAAAAGTTTCTTTTTACTTAAATCATAAAGAGATTTTTTCTGCTAATTATACTGTTTACATATTACGTAAATCGTATTACCTCTATGTGATCCGAATTAATTTGTACCTAAAATATTATCACATAATTGATATGATGACATCTCAGGTTATATGTGTTTTGTAGATTTTGTATCTTACAACTTGAGCTATTTTGGTAAAGTTAGTGTAAATGACGAATACGGTAATGTTGAAAACCTTTTATTAAAAATTTTATTCATATTTGCAAAAATACTATACAGAATGTTGGGGGTTCCATGTGTTATTCAGCATAAATTGTAGATACGCATTAGGTTACAGTTGAAGATTTTTCTACTTTGTATGGTATTTCATTACACCACATACTATAATGAATTTTCAGTACAATATTTGTAAATCCGTGGTAATAAGAGATTTCAGTGTATTGTGTGGAATAAATTGGATATATCCACCTTCCCTAAATTGAGTTCACCTCTCGTATCTCTGTTACTTTTTTATGGTTTAGAGTTATAACCTTCCTGGTCTACGACTATCATCCTCTAGATTTCATTTGTGTTATTTTCACTTTTCTACATTGGATAAAATAAATATTCGAAACTCCTTTTTCGTTAATCTTTACTAGGTACTTGGAAAATTAGGTCGATTTAATCGTACTAATTTACTTGAAACACAACGTTTACGTATTAGCTCAACGGAAGGTGAAGCCGGTCCACAACTACGTTTTCACATGAATGAATTTCGAAATCAGCCTATTGATATACCGATTAGATGTCTTGTTGATGCTGCTGTGGAAGTATTACAGGTAAAAATTTGATTGTTTCCAATATTTCTTAGTATAATGTATTAAAGAATTTAGAATGGTTGTGATAATCCTAACTAAAAATCAGCACAATTCCATTCAGAGGTTCACGTTTTACACTAGTAGAACTGTAAAACAATATTCTCTTAAAATGTCTATACTCAAATTTCATCCACTAGTGATTTAAAGACTGTGCAATTCTTTTAAGCTGAGTCGAATTCCGTCTACGACGAATTATGATTTCCATCGAAAGTGTTTCAGTTTTTATGTGTTATTAGAGCATCCTTTGCAGACTCATAAATGTCCTTCCCCCGACTGCAGCTGCTTCGTTTCTAGTTATGCTATCTTCCAACAGATGGATAGACAAGTTGGAAACTACAGTCTTGAAAATAGCATACACCCTATTGGCTGATACAGACAGTAAAGCTTAAAAAACGAAGATAATACTTCACAATAAATGTCCACCGCATAACAGACCTTAAGCAGTTGTTTTTTATACTGATGAGCCCTTGCTACAGATCATTTAATAAAACATTATCATATCGTATTTTCTGCGCAGTAAAAAAATTATATCAATCTCTAGGTTCATACTTTCTCCCTTTTTTTACTTTTTCGATTAGGATTCTTCTTCTGATGAGCCTAGTAAACTTCGCTCTTGGGAGTTTCTTCAGTCAATATGCGTAGCTGCTTTGAACTCAAACCACTCTCAACAATCGTCAGTCGGCGTAGAAGATTTCTACAATTGTTTCCTTGGCGATACAGGACTGAATAATAGGATATTGCAGTATATTGATGATATGTATTTAACGTCCTATTCCGAAAATCTTTCCATTCAGTCAATTCGTCCAAGTTGTTGCATGGCTGATGGTAATTAATACCGTCTTCCTTTAAATTGAATGTTTTCGTTCATCGTTAATTCCATAGTATCATTTTAATATAGTTAAGAATAATTGTTCATTAGTGTCTGTTAGCCGACGGGTGCATTGCGTACGTCGACCCTGTAGTCACTGCATCTATTTTTATCACACATTGGACTATTGGGAATGCTCCAAGACGAATAAATCACTGAAATCGCTTATCATAGTACTCACAATGGTTCGTCCACTAAGTTTTACTTGTTATATGGAAATGATGTTCGTCAGGGCTGTCCACTGTCTCCATTCTTGTTTAACTTTGTCGTTAATGTGCTTTTAGAGATAGCACTTTCACATCTGACTTTCCAGGGGTTTAACTTCTACCGGGAGACTCACTTTTTGACTTAGAATATGCCGATGACATAGTTCTATTTGGTGAAGACGCTGACAACATGTACAGTCTTTTGACTACTCGAAGCAACAATGCAGGCATGTTCGGCATGCGATTCTCATCCTCGAAATGCAAAATGTTGCTTCAGGATTGGGTTGCATCGAAACCCGAACTAGTGATAGGGAGTGAAGTAGTTGAGCGTGTCGACCGCTTCACTTATCTCGGAGGTCTCACCAGCCCTTGTGGTTTGGTGTGTGACGAAATCTCAGCACGGATACAGAAGGCTCGACTAGCTTTTGCCAACTTGCGTCATTTGTGGTGTAGGCGAGATATCCGTCTATCAACCAAAGGACGTGTTTACTGCGCAGCAGTTCGTTCCGTCCTACCTTATGGCAGTGAAACATGGCCAGTAAGAGTAGAGGATATTCGTAGGTTACTAGTATTCGATCATAGGTGTCTTCGAAACATTGCTCGTATATCCTGGGACCACCAAGTAAGCAACTCAGTTATTAGGAAACAGGTACTAGGTAAGGATGGCAAATCAATTGATGATGTAGTGAAACTTCATCAGTTGAGATGGCTGGGACATGTGTTGCGCATGCCAGACCACCGACTGCCCCGACGTGCGATATTTTATGGTGTAGGAATAGGTTGGAAGAAAGTTAGGGGCGGCCAGACCAAAGCATGGCACAAATCCATGAAGTCACTGACAAGTGGATTGAGCCATGTTGGTAGGTGTAGACTACCTGGTTGGGGTCCGCGAGTCGATAGCAACCGATGGTTAGAGACCTTGAATGACATGGCTCAAAATCGTTTGCAATGGTGCAGGTGCATCCACTCTTTGTGTTCTCTCAAACTCTAATCTTCTGAATTATTCATGTCCTTTATTTTCTTTCTAAATCTATTCCACTGGACTATACTCCTTAAATAACATCATCAAACCTTAATGTTCCCTATCACTACTTATACTTTCACTACCTCTACCACTACGGGATTTGAATCGATAACTGAATCTCTGTGCTAATGTGGTATGGCAACTCGAACTGACGTACGTACGTACGTACGAAGTTCCACGTTGTTACTGAATGACTGACTGATATGGATACTATAGGTTCTACCCGCTTTATCATCGACCGAATTCCTATAATGCCACTGATGGTCAAGATTAGTGAACGTTCAATATTATCGTGTTGTGATTTACTGAGATGTCTGGACTAAATAGTCCAAATAATTCTATATCACTCTTAAAATAAACAACAATTCAGTTCTTTAGTTTAATTTCTCTTCCCTTTTTATGTTTAAATTATCCTTTGTATAACATAAAATTGTTATTTAATTCCATTAATTCGAGATCCTTGACAGAAAGTCGTAACAGTTTCTTGTTTAAATACTGAATTTCGAAGATGGATTTGAACTCTAGTGTGAGAAAGCATTGAATTCACTGATATTGCTAGAATTTTGTCTAGTATTCGCAACCACTCGTAGGACTCGATTAAGGAGTCAACACAGATCATAGTCTTATGTTAACTTTCAATAACTCCATTACTTGACAGTGAAACGTATGAAAAAGAGTTATTCTAAAGGATTATGAACTGTAAATACCTGTGTTGTGGTGATTCTATGTGTGGTCTGAAAATTTAAGTACATTAATAAACCGGCATACAAATCTTGTGAATAAGTCTTTAAGTGTTTAGTGTTTGAACTATCAGTTCTTTAGTTGTCCCACAAATTATGTTTTTGTTTTTAATTGTTTTAATATGCACAAAAGATAAAACTGTATACAGAAAAGTTGAATCTTTACATTGGCATGCTCATAAAGTAGTAATTTCGGGACTGAATCATTCGTTTCTGCATTCAAACATTTTCTTGAATATTCCACTGGAAATTATTGGACTTGAATTTTGTTCTCGTTGCTTTCTTGAATCCTGCAAATACCAAGCGAACTAATTCAAAGTTTTATTAAATGTATGATCAGAAACTTATCTAGCAGTATTTTTTGACAAAGTTATGTAATCATTATATCAGTTACCTATCAAGGGAACTTTTTTGATGTATACCTTTGTAGATTTATGTAATCATGTTATGATAATGGCTATAGCTGGGCTACTTTTGGCTGGTCTGAGCAAAGAATTGTATAATGCCCATGGAGATTTTATTGCGTTTATTGTCAGACATGCAACATTCCTGTCGATTATGCAACAGTTCACTTCACTTCATACGGAAATCAATCGTGACCATATTTCACACTCTAGCACATCATTCGAGTTGAAAACATTGTGTAAAATTGATACTGCACCTAAATTACCATTCTCTAACGATATAACTACTTCCGGAGATGATCATTTTCTAGAGGTAAGTTAGTTATATCTTTTGTTCGAACGAACCTGTGGTTACCGACGAAAAGTTAATCGCTCAGTAGAAATTACCTGTGTTACTATGTTAATCAATGAATTCTTGAGTCACGATTACCACTTCGATATCAATAATCTGTAATTATTGACTTTTGTTCTTCCCAGGTAATCCAACAATAAGTTGAACAGTTTGTCATATTGTTAATGAATTTCCTTCTTCACCGTATTGGTGGTATACTTTCGAACATGGTTATTTAAACATCAAAACTTGGTTGTTAAAACTAGTTAACAAGTCATTTGAAATGAAATAAATGCCTATAACTATCATTCTCATATACATCCATCTTTTTTTTAAGATTTTGTTTTTCAACGCACACCTAAGCTTTTTGCGCTCGTTCTTCGATGGAGTAAAACTGAAAAAAAAACACTTAAATCCAGTTATTAAGAGTTAATCATGGTGTGCAGATAACAGGAATACTAAATTTACTGCTCTACTTTTTCTGTCATTATTTACTTATGTTTTTTGTCTATCATCACTATATGAAGAATAAGACATAGATGGGTTTCTACATGGATCTGTTTTTGAGATATTTAGTAGTTGAAATAAATAACTGACTAGTCATTTCCTGGTTCTAGTCTAAGTACACTATTTCTTGTGAAAAACAATTGTAATTTTTATAGTTTCATTCCTTAGAGTATATGGAACGAATGAGTGCACTAGCTGTTGCACACTTTCTACCAACACAACTATTACTTCTAAACCACTAAATTCCAGACTACCCAGTAAGGGGAAATTCTTCACTGCCCTTTGAAACTATGGTCTTTAAATTAATTGTATTGCTTGTTTAGATCTTCCCGTTAGTGTTATGGTCCATAATTGGTCACTCACGTGTTGGGCGTTTAAAGTAATTAGTACTGACTTCAAATCCCTGCGTGACCATCAACATTGGAGTGAAGATACATCCGTCTAACAAGTTCTAAACAGGACAAAACCTGCGTCATGGACTCCACAGCTAGCCACTATTCAACTCTGTCCCTTAAACCTTGTCTTCATTGAGTTATGTGAACTTCGTTATAGTGCTCATTGTATTTTTGTTTTGTTTGTCATCTTCGTACTAATTATTTTCTGGATTTTATTGATTTTCAGCTAGATATATTTAGTATAAGCCAAGACCCTGATACAATTACTCCTGCTGTCAATGAACCTCAATCATCGAATCAAGAATTTCTTCCAAATAACTCATCTTCACGTTTAAATCCGAATATAATTATTGACTCTATCATGTTTGTTATGGGTCATGAAGCGAAACAACTTACTCGAAATATGTGCGTATTTCTAGAAATTATACATAACACATCATTTACTATATTATCCGCTGTTACTACAACATCTCGAGAAAATAGTGATCATTTTACTACAGAGATGATTAGAAAAGCTGTTGCAAATCTACAAATTTTCCAGCATATTGGACATGTCATTGTTGATATGTTATATCATCCAGCATGGTAATTCTTTTGTTCAACCTCTCTTTATTATTATTTGTGTCCAAGTGTTTTTCGTTACTGTATACTATTTAGTGGGAAATCTCTGTTTTATGATGCATTAGAGTTATGGTCCTCTCTCTTTTAGTTCTCTTTTTCATGGGGGAAAGCTTGGAGTGATTAACACATTATCGTGTTGGTAACTATTTATCATTTTCACCAGAAAAAAAACGCTCATGAAGTTGAATTTGTAGAAAAATTTCCATTTCATATATATATCAATGTCTTGTCACAATTTGAGATTATAATTTATTGGAAATAGCAACCACTTAAAAAGCCTCAGTGATCAACAAACAAGGCTAGAATACTTCTGAAGTCTTAAATTGACAATTTTGTGGCAGTGTCTTGCACTGTTTACTTTTTGTTACTAATAATTCCCAGACATGTAGCTGACGTTATGTTTTCTCCTCAAGACGCTTTTCGTAATTAAAAAGCATAAACGTTTCAGACCTTAGTGTCATACGTTTTCGATAAACATTCTGTTGTAGCAATTATATTGATATTTAATAAAGGTAGTCCTTACTTATCCAGTTAATGATAATCATGATCATTAGTTAAATGGTTCCAGTGACTGACATTATTTTATGTGCTATTTATTCCTTAAATTGATCCTATTCAACAGCAAATATGAAATAAAGCTGAATACTTCACACTTGCTCTTTCAGTTCAGTAGGAACTAGCTGATTTTCTTTCTGTATCTTTTATTCTTTGTTTTTCTTGCAAATGTTTAACATTATTTTCACAGTGTAATATGTTTTCGTTTTTCATTGAATAGTCCTTAAAGTACGATAACAGATTGAGTCGTACAATATGTAGAAATTGTTTTTGAATGTCCATAGCTGTATAATAGCGAAGTGGCTATTTTTGTCTCTTTTCGTATGTAAGTTGTCAGCCTCAAGAGTGTGATGTACTATACTGTAGTTTAAACTAAGAGATTTTCGAAAATGTTAGATGTTTGGAATATCTACCCCTAATTCAAATAAGATAGTCAAAGTGTCATTTATAACATATACATGAAGTCTACATGTATCGTAAATATGAAGCAATACTTTATCTTGTGGGCGAGTTTTCCAACTTTTTCTTTTTTTTACAGGTACGTTAAATGGGGTGCTTGTGCTTCCATTCTTTGTCTTGCTCGTTTCATTCATCCTTCATGGTTCTGTTCAAATCTTATCAATTTGCTACGTGGCCTACTTTATTGCATTCATATTTTATCAAATCAAATGAATCAAGGAGCTCTAGTGATGGCTCGTGACTGCGCACGTATAATTATTAGCATGGTTGTCATAAGTTTAAAAGATTCAAATGAAACCAATCACTCTTCACACTCGACTGTTGTTGAAGAGGAAGATGTGAAATCAGGCAAATCCACTCCAATATCCACACGTAAACGCTCTTCAACAACTTCACAACGTCGTACAGTTCAAGTTAGACGTGGTCGTAGTGCAGCTAACGCAACTTCAGAATCATCAAATAATGAAGCATCAACCAATGTAGTTGATGAATCATTGGAAATCGATAATCAAGATAATGAAAAAGAGCTCACTCCAAAGTTATCATCGTCTCTGGTAAGAGTTCATTAATAAAGAGAGATTTCACATAGATTAATATAAATTAACTAAAAGTTATTAATTGCCATTCAAATTGAGTATTCTTTTAATGTATGGATGATAAGCTATGTACTAGATATTTCAATCTTAACTTTTGGCTCTAACATTTTTGATCTGTATTACAATGAAATACTTTTAATGAAGTAATTTTTCTTAGTTAATTTCCTCGAAATATTGTATTTTTGTGTTACAATTATTATTATTATTATTATTATTATTATTATTATTATTATTATTATTATTATTATTATTTACACTTTAGACAACTTTATTGGATGCAGTTATCGTAGAACTATTAGATTCACTTTTGAGCGAAACCGATTCTGTTCGAACCGAAGCACGTTGTCTTTTGAGATTACTTGCTTATACAATTGAACAACCATTAAGTAAGTTGTTAGCGCCACATTGGTATAAACGTATTGGACATGTTTTACCTCCGAAACAACCAAGTCGTCTACTGGATTTACCTATTTCAACTCAGTTAGCTGTACTGGTATGTAAAATTTAACTCTACTAATTGTGTGGATATGCTTTCATTGTTATTAGCACTACTCCTGATATAGTGCAGTGTAAATCAACTTCTGTATTTTAGTAATTAACATTCTCTGGCTTTTCAATGTTAACTATTAGTTATAAGTTTTTTTTTATTATGTAATTTCAGCAGATAATGTTGAATTGACCCATATAGAGTGGCGCGTTACAACTGATACTTAAATGTGGAATGCAGAATGAGTATGTGCGCGACCACGCAGAAATTGTAAGATTTCTCACGTCTTTCTTGTAAACTGTCTCGTATATTCATCTAAGGCTTGACGATCTTCAGGATTTTGTTTGTTTCAATCAGTTATATGCAACGTGCATGAATCGGTTCTAATTGCTAAACCATATCAGCACAGAAAGATGTAATTATCAAGACAAATGTCGGAGTAGTGGAAGTAGTAACGGCGTCAGTTGTTGCACATAACAGGATTCGAAAGAAAGAAAGAATGTGTGCAATATGAAAAAATAGTTTTAAAACCTATAGTCGAAGGGATAACAAAGAGTAAATTCATCTGCGCTATTGCGGCTGATTCTAAGGCATGTTAACCAATTACTCCAACCATTAGTTACGATAATCACTTGACCATAAACTAGCGGTCTGCGCCTACCAAGACAGTTCAGTCTAACATTCAGTGTTTGTACATTAGATCCTAAGTAATTATTGGTTATATAACATATATAGACTTTACTCTACTGTTCAGACTTAGTAGGTCGAGCAAGATTCGAATATGTAAATTATACTCCTTAAAGCCATATATTTTCAACTGGAATTAGGAAACATCATAATACTGTAGCAGTTATAAGTTTGTACACAATTATTTGCCAACTACAGTATTCTTCGTTTTCTTTTTAGGAAGCAAACTATTTCTTTGGTCAGTCAGAGAAATTAAAACATCCATCTAAAATTTCAGATAGCTCTAAGCTTTTTGACTTTGACATAGATAATAACGATGATGGAGTAGGACTTCTACGTTATGATCTTTCAAAAAGAGATGATTGTATCTTTCTATCCGATGTACGTTCACTTCTTACTCAATTCGAGTTGAATAATGATTTCACTGCTAGTACTAATAATTCTACAACTACCAACACTATAGCTGTTGGTAGTAGAGCTGTAAACACTAGTGTCAAAAATAATTTATCAATAAATTCTGATCAAGAAAAAGGTACATTCAACGGAACTTACTCATATTCCAAGTTTACACCGTTCAACTCTAGATCTGTCATACCACTTTCTAGTAATTGTATGAGATTAATTAATCTTCGAGTAGCTGCTTGTCAAGTATTATCTGTCACATGGTATTTAGATACACAAAAGGCAAGAAATCTAACAGCACTATTCAAAGGTTAGTATACAGTTTATTATTCGTACTATTCACTGCTTTCATACACGGTTGTAGTTTTATTTAAAACAACTTGACACTTTCTGTTAAGTTTTTTAGCAAATTGATAATTTCTCATGTAAAAGGATCAAAAATTTATTCAAATTATTTCTTTAATATTAAGAACTAAACAAAATATCGATAGATCATCAGAATGGGACGTGACTACTGAAAATTATATCATTGGTAAATCAATTAGATATTTTATCGATAGTCAATGTTTCATCAAGGCAAGCTTGTCATATCAATAGCTTTTTAATATTTATCTCTTATACATTTGGTAATCGATGTCGAGCAGAACTAGTCTTTATAATAGGATGCTTCTGTGGCTGTGTTTTGAACGGAACACTCATCAGTGTTTATTATAGACGTTCAATTAGGTGATTTGCGCTTTTTTGTCCTTTTACGCATAAAATCATTTTATATTAATGGTTATGTACATTGCTTGAGTTATTAATTACATTTGGATGATTTGATTGGATTTTGGATTGTTAAAATAAATGAATAAAACACTAATCGATGAATAATATGGAATAATACGATATGGCTGACTAGTAGCTATTCATACAACTGGGTTATTAGAGTGAGCTCTATCCCCAATTAAACAACCAAACAGATATCCAGAAAATAATCTGCTTATACACAAATATTGACATAAAAATATGTACCATTAGATATTAGAAATAACTGAACAAAATCAATTTTGTAGATCACTCGCTATTCCCGAGGATTACCATTTAGGATAAAACATAGGCTTAAAGTTTTCCGTTGTTTATCTTAAAGCACTTAATGTCAAAATTTAATGCAGTAGGTGTCGACTCACTTAGAGTAGTGGATAAATTATAACATGGTTAGTAAAATTCAGCTAGGACTAAGGAATAGGTAAACATGATATTGATCAATACTCAGTCAATTAGTATATATATAGCACTTCCGAACGTATTTACGTACATACAAAGATCCACGTTGTTGCTGACCTGACTGACCTGACATCATCTTTTCCATTGTTCTTGCATTATAAACTAAATTTATTTTAATTGTATATTGCAGGTATGTCCTGTAAGAATGAATATATTCACGAAACAGCTTTTTCATGTCTTCGAGAATTTATCAGTAAAACATCTATTGATATTGAATTAAGACATGCTAATATGAAACAGATTGTGCAAAATATTCGACAGAATTCTATACGATGTATTCATACAGTTCGACAATTAGCTTATTGTGCTCAATTATTTCCGAGTACACTTAGTGAAAGGCTATGTGATGCAATTTATGTAAGTTAATAATTCTAAAAAATATCACGTTAGTTTTTCATATCATTCTGTAATCATAATGCATATATATATATATATATATATATATATATATATATATATATATATATATTGACTGTGACCATTTTGAACTATGCAATATCATTAATCCCTTACTTGCTTACATTTGTTACCCCTCGTGGAGGAGCATAGGCCTTTTTCTTGAACTGTGTTTTGGTGTACTGAATTAACTTAAACTTCTAGTTTATTCCATACAAATGAACAATACTTCAGTCTTGAGACGTTATTTGTACTAGATTCCATATTGTGCTTCACTATCATATGGCTAACGGTTTTAATTTTCTATTTTTCAGTAATCAAAATTAGTAAAATCTCCTCTTGCTGTTATTTTAAACGATAACTCAACACATTTATATTGTTATTCCCGCCCAACATAGAATCATGAGGCTCCCCCAATACATTTATATGTAGAAATTCAATGCTTTCTTTTTTCTTCTTAAATTCTATTCCTCAAAGGATTTGTATAGTTTCTACTGAGATTTTCATGCTGGTCAGTAAAATTTATTAATATTTTAATTCACACTAGTTGGTGTTGTGCTCATGTCTTTTGGATCCACTGGTAAAATTAAGTATGTTTCTCTTGTCTAAGGAAAATTAATGATCGCGTAATGACTACTTGGTCTCCCACGCATTCATGTAAGTAGTCTGTATTTAGCTCACTCTATAAAAAAGAGTAAAAACATAGCAAGTAGGGTTATCTTTAACTTGACTTAATTCACTTACAATATTGTAAAATGTAACGAATTAAACCGATACACTGACGCAAAACTTTATGTTATTGTATCTATTTTTCTTAAAACGACTTAATTTCCTATGATTCTGGCTTGTCTAGTTTTGTAATATTTTTTGTACATTAGCTATATTTTTCTCTTTTATTTTTATCTAGTCACATTTAAACACATCTTTGGAAGCTGTAGTTAACAAACAAAACTCTGCATCAATCTCTACATTCACTTCATCTGTGAGTAATGAATGTCTCATGTAGGCTTTTATGTGTTTAAATTTTCCTATTTATCTGTTTAGTGTTTACACTATATAGAAAGGAGTTAAATATTCGCTTTTTAATTCACGTAAAATTAGTTTGAGAGGGTGATATAAATAGTATTTAATAATTAATGATGAAAATATACGGATTCATTTACCAAACTATAGTTCTCATTTTCTGCTCATGTCAGTGTTTAAATAATGAAATTCATCCCTGTACTCCAGTTATAACAACTATTTGAAGAATTATGAAGTTACTAGTAGTGTCATTTAAGGCTTGACTGTTAGATGAGTAGTAGTGGCCTTACTGTTTCAGATACTGGAACGACTTGGACAACCTGTTTCAGAGAAATTTGTGAAGCCTTTATAGTCATAGAAAGATGAAGATTAAATTGAGTTTATTTCATCTTCAACCGCATAAAAATGTCTTTTTCACCTTGGGTAAAGCACATAGTTGTTTCGGTCATTAGAGGAACTTTAGAATGTAACTCAAGTCAATAATATCGAAATCGAAATACATATTAGTTCCTAAAATATTACTTGATTGCCTGCTATTGTTATTACTATTACGGCTTCAATAATTGATTACGTCACATAACTAGGTTTTCGTTGCCAAGTAATATCAAAGCTATACACTTGATCTTTTAAAGATAATTCATTTATTCTACTTCAGCCTTCGTTATTTTTTCCTCTTTAAATTCCAGAATTTGGAATTATGCACATTATTGTTGGATTTATTTCATCTGATTCCCTTGGCAACTTCAAAATATGTTTCGCTTTTGATTGAGTCTGTAGTCAACGCTGAACGTTTATTGAACATTGAACCTACTAGTCCTTTACGTTTACCTTTAACACGTTTCCTATCTCGTTATCCAGCTGAAACATGTGCTCTCCTACTAACTGGTTCGCGATGGCCTTATAATTCACATGCAAATAGAATATTCTTGGTAATTATTTATATTAGTATTAAATATGTGGTTTGATTTATCATTGTTTTATTATTGTCTTCTTAACTTTTTATCCATTTGGTACTATTAGTTGGCTTATTGTGCTTTTAATGTCCTGTTTGCTAGCGGTATTTGTTGAACAGAAAAATAATTGTAACCAGCTATTGAATTGTGCCGTAGACTCTGACTCGCTAACGGTTAGATGAAAAACACTTATTATCGTTAGATAAATATGCGTGATATTGTTATTTTATAGTATCTCCGTACGTGGCATCCGTCCACAAAGTCACTAACGTCTGGTTTGAGCCATGTTAATAGATACAGACTACTTGATCATGGTCTACGCGATTATCGTAACCAGTGGTCGGAGTCTGTGTGACATGGCTCAGAGTCGGTCAGAACGACGTAGGTGTGTACACTCGTTGTCTTCCCTTAGCCCGTGAGATTGAAATTACTTTATACCTTTCTTTCTACGAACCAGTTCTTTCTCCCTGTACCATATCCTTTTATGAAATTAATTTTTTAATACTATTGAATTAGCTGCCTCTATGAATTTGGAGTTCATCTTGTTGGGCTAGTGAGGTATGACAACATGGACCGATGCATATATGTGTCTGATCCTACGTTGCAGATGACTGACTGACTAATGCTTCTGTGTACAAAAGTGTTGTGTGTTTAAATAGTAATTTGCGATAATGCGTCTCATGCTAACTTGTAATGATAGTATGTTGTTTAATGTTTCAAGATGTTTTTTGAGATTCGCTGTAACATCATATCAACAGAATATTTAGATACTCGATGCTTTTACTGAAAGCCAATAAATCTTTTTATCACTTACAAAAGTTTTTTTTCACAAGTTGATGATGAGTTTCATAGTAGTTTCGATCATTTATGTGCTCCACCATTTGATTTCTTATTTATTTATTTATTTGAACACATAAATATTGGTACAAGGCGGCACCAAATATATATGCGCCACACAAAACAATGAGAATTTAAAAAGGAGAAAAAAAGTAATAAACGTAGGGAATTATAAAAAAAAGGAGAACAATAATGGGGGAAACGGAACAGTACAATCAGAAGAAATCTTTCAGTTAAGGACAAAGCAACCACTTTTTATGAAGAAAGTAATAGAAGGTTACAGCAGGATCGCCACTGGCTTCTATTCTGAGCCATATCTGATAACGTTTCTAGCCACTGTGTTACACCATCTTCAGGACCCCAGCCAGGGAGTCGTGAAGGACCAACAGGAGCTAACCCTTTGCAGATTTCTTTCATACCACGACAGCATGTCATACACTGACCATCTCTCCGCTTTTTCCAACCTGTCCCAGAGTCGGCAAATAATGCACGACGTGGAATTCTCTGGGACAACATTCGTAGAACATGTCCAAGCCACCGGAGTCGGTGTTTCAAGATGGTGACACCGATTTCATTGTCGTCTCTGTGCCCGAACACACCATGCCGAACCTCTGCATTACTGACATGGTGTTGCCACTGGATGTCAGCAATCCTTCGGAGACAGCGATGATCAAACACAGAAAGACGTATAACATCCTCAACTTGGAAAGGCCAGGTTTCACAAACATAGAGCAAAACTGCTCTCAGCGACGCGTTGTATATCCGACCTTTTACAGCCAGACTAACATCACGAAGGCGCCAAAGATGGCCCAGATTGGCATAAGCCGTTCTGGCTTTCACTATACGTGCATTGATCTCATCACTCACACCACCACCAGCACTCATTCAGCTAGCTAGATACACAAACTTCTCGACTACTTCTATCTGCTCACCATCCAGAGTGAGTACAGGATTAGAATTCTGCCAGTCTTGTAGAAGAACTTTGCACTTCGAAGGTGCAAAGCACATACCATACCTACGGACATTGATTGCCAACTGATTAAATGCGGATTGCATGGCTTGGGCATTCTCGAACAGTAAGACAATATCATCCGCATACTCAAGGTCGAGAAGTCTTTCTCCAGGCAACAGATCTACACCACCATTACTTGCATCCATCAGAGCTGTTTCCAGAATGTCATCGATGGCAAAGTTGAAGACGAATGGTGAGATTGGGCAACCCTGTCTAACCCCACTGCTCGAACGGAATAGTGGAGAAAGGTGGTTGTATGCCCTCACTCTGCCTGAGGTGTTTGTGTATAGGGCTTTTAGGGCCCGTCATTTTCATGTCGTCATGCGATTGCAACCAATGCTCATCTATACTTTTCGGTGGAATGGTAGCTAGCCTAGAAGCTAGCTCGGTTCGGTACTTACTAGCAACAGAAGTTGCAACCAGCTTGCTAACGTCAATCCTTTGGTGGCGGTCACTTCGTTGTCCACTGAAAAGTAAGGTGAGATTGACGCAGACCAGAGCATGATCAGATTCCAGATAGGTACTCCAAAAGGAGCGGCAGTCTTGTACACAACCACGCCAGCGGTAGCTGATCGCTATGTTTATTATATTTTATTTTATTTTAACACATAGGTATTGGTACAAGGAGGCACCAAATACATATGCGCCACACGAGTCTCAATTGATTTGTGTGAGGGCTGTGATACTGCCCGGGTGCCCAGACCGAAGCAGGTGGTTTTCTTACGGGGCCACACCCCGAGCCTTCTACCTAAAGGTCTAACCCACAAGGCAGTGGAGCATCGTGAGGAGATGCAGTCCCATGGGAGCCGGTGACCAAGAAATTGGTTCATACGCCATTTGTTCCTTCAGGATATTGGAGCCCATGTGCACCATTGAATTGTAAATATGTAAATCGAAATTTCTGCTTATTTTTATTTGATTTTAGTTTGAATTCTGTTCAGTAAATACTTATTGGAATGTATTTACCATTATATTTTTATTATTAAACCAATTAGTCGTTGAATACATTTTCATGTAACTCGGTAGTTTAATTTATTATACTTTTTAATGTACTTCTTTCTTTATATAAATATATATCAATCTATTTTATTTAAAGTTTGCTCTTAGTTGTTCACATGGTCAACCTATAGTGGATTATTTAAGAACAAATTATCATATACTTATGGATCTTATTCAACCCGATGAAATTAGTGATCAAAAAAGTAAATAATTTTTGTATTTATCTATTTATTTATCATGTTAATAAGTATTTAATATATGTATTCTTTTTCCTGTTCATTATCTTCATAAATATGCTTTAATGTGCTAACATAAAAGAAATTTTTTTTGAATTGATGCAAAATAACAAATTATTTGTTTATTTCGTCCTGATGTAGTCTTTTTATATGTTCCATCCATACCGAATGTCTTTTAGTTTTCATAAATGTGAAAGCTTTATTTTCTGGTTGTACTATTCCGTTATACTATTTAAACTTGGATTAATTTTAATTTGGTTATTTATTCTCTGAAGAAGTGACTTACACTAAGTCACGAAACGTCAGAAAATCTAATTTTCTACTCATTGGGATACTACAAATATATTGTTTATTTTCTGGTTTTTGTTTGTTTATTTCTTACCAATAGTTTGTAAATGAATGTAATCCCAAGTTAAAGTAATAAGTTTTATTTGTTTAAACTTCATAATTTCACGGCACCATCTGGACTGGAAGCAGATAAGAATGTCGTCTTTTTCCGAGATAGTCTCACTTACACCTGACTTTTTAGTTCCAGTTTCTTTTATTAGTCTGAAGAGCTGTCTGGTGTTTCCTATAGCCACCGCCTTTTCCATCTCTTTTGATTTCGTTACCCACCACTGCTCACGATCATTCCTTAGACTTTTGCTTAACCTAGATCTGATTTGTTTACGCTCTTCGTGTTCAGAACCTGATGGGATAAGGTTACGAGAATCCATCAGTGCAATAGACCTTGAAGAAACCCATTGGTTCTTTGTAACCCTGTGGTTTAAATCACTAATAGATGTCACTGCTGTTTCCACAGCTGATTGTATTTCTTTCCAAGCAACATCTGGGTCAGCCTCGTTTTCAGAACTAAGTGTGACCTCAGTTGCTCTTGGAATCTACTTTTGGTTTTCTCGTTACTCAATTCAGTTCTAATGGGTCTTTTGAGGTGGCTTTTTTGCGTCCAGTGAGCCGCAAACAGATGCGTGCTCGTATTAGGGCATGGTCGGAGTACAAACAGGTACTCCAGAATGAGCGACAATCTTCTATCGACCCTCTCCAACGATGACTGATGGCAATATGGTCTATTTGAGTCCATCGTTGATTTGGTGCAGGGGGTCGCCATGTCAGACGATGTCTCTCCTCATGCTTAAAATTTGTGTTTGCTAAAAATAAACGATTGTTTGAGCAGACGATCACCATTATCTGTTCTCTGTGCCGGAATACTAAAATACCCACCTAAATGTCTTTCTGTTTCGTGTAAGCTACTTACCTGAACATTAAAGTCACCTGCTACGAGTACTATGTCTGAACGTTTAGCTTTCTGAAGAAGTTCAGACAGCTTTCTGTAAAATTCATCTTCCACTTCATCCGAGCTGCAGTCAATGGGAGCGTAGGCAGAAACGACGAAAAGGCAACGACGTGTGCCCCTATCCTTCAGAGTTCTTACGGAGCCGTTTAGCCGAACAGCGCATAGACGACTGTTAATGGGGATCCATTCCAATAGCGCTTGTTCCGCCCTCTTGTTTAGTACTATGCCTACACCTGCCAGTCCACCAGAACTAGCCATCGGGTCGCCAGATACACGGAGGGTGTATCTCGTTGGCTCTCCGTTTTGCCGAGGTGAGGTCAAGTGAATGAGCACGCTAGGATTCTGTATGCGTGTATCGGAGACACAACATACATCAATCGTACGAGATTCTAGGATTTTAGCCAAGGAAGCCTGCTGACCGATTTGACATAGTGTGCGTACGTTAAAGGCTCCAATGTGTAGTTTGGAGCGAGGTGTCAGTAGACCTGGGACAGTGTTTTGCGCACTGGAATCGTTGGCTATGGTGACACTTGAGGAGGAAGCTTAGATTTGAAAGTCGATGTAGGAGAAATAATAGGAATTGAATAGGGAGGTTGTTTATGAATATATTGGTCTTGAGTGCTGCTGCTTTTGCAACCTCAAGTGGTGTCCGTCAATGCTGTCCACTTTCTCCTTTTTTGTTTAACTTTATCATAGACATCCTGATGGAAATAACGCTCTCATCGACTGACTTCTCGGGTATTGATCTCCTACCGGGAGGTCCACTTATCGACTTAGAATACGCAGATGACATAGTCCTGTTTGGTGAAGACGCTGATAAAATGCAGAGTCTTTTGGTAGCACTGAGCAACAATGCCAGAATGTTTGGGATGCGCTTTTCTCCCTCTAAATGCAAGCTGTTGCTTCAGGACTGGTCTGTGTCAACACCTGAACTAAGGATAGGGAGTGAATTAGTCGAACGCGTTGACAACTTCACTTATCTTGGAAGTCTGATCAGCCCTGACGGGTTGGTGTCTGACGAAATCTCAGCACGGATTCAGAGAGCTCGTTTGGCCTTTGCCAACTTACGTCATCTATGGCGCAGGCGAGATATCCGTCTATCAATTAAGGGACGAGTTTACTGCGCGGCAGTTCGTTCCGTTCTACTATACGGCTGCGAAACATGGCCTTTAAGAGTGGAAGATACTCGTAAGTTACTCGTATTTAACCACAGATGCCTTAGAAATATTGCTGCTATCTGCTGGGATCACCGAGTAAGTAATAGTGAGGTTAGACACAGGGTACTAGGGAATGATGGTGAATCAGTTGATGTGGTTATGAATCTTCATCGACTGAGATGGTTGGGCCACGTGTTGCGTATGCCTGAACACCGATTACCACGACGCGCAATGCTGACTAGTGCAGGGGATAATTGGAAGAAAGTTAGGGGCGGCCAAACCAAAACGTGGCATCAGTGCTTGAAGTCACTAACTTCTGGTCTGAGCCATGTTGGGAGATTCAGACTGCCTGGTTGGGGTCCGCGTGACTATCGTAACCAATGGTTGTAGACTCTTGGCGACATGGCTCAGAATCGATCACAATAGCGTCGGTGTATACACTCTCTGTCTTCCTTCAAACCAAGAGATTAAAATCACTTCATGTCTTTCTTTCTACGAACTAATTCTTTCTTTCTGCACTATCTCCTTATATGCAATCTTTCTTCTATATATTACCACCACTAAATTAACTACTTCTATGAATCCGGTGTTCATCTTGTTGTGCTAATGCGGTATGGCAATTTGGACCGATGCATATATGTGCCTGGTCCTACTTTGCAGCTGACTGATTGACTGACATTTGTATTGTTTCTGGGATGTTTATTCTTGTTTCATTAGGTTCTACCTCTGTCACGAGATTTATGTAACGGTAAGTAATGAGTTAAAGCGTAGGGTTTCTGAACACTTATCTCTGTTCGGGTAGCCTAATAGCATCACTAGACTTAGAGCGTGTGACTCGAAGCCAAGTGCATAAATCTTTGCCTAGTAATTGAGTTTCATCAAGATCTGATAAAGCGGCTTAGTGGTCCAAAGGTTAAACCTTTGTGCTCGAGTACCAAGGTCTTAGGTTCGCTTCGCGCGTGCGGAGTTGTCAATAAGCCTATGATACGCTTGTAGTGCGTAATTGATCATATAAGTTGATGGTTGAATGTAGTTGACAAGAAACCCAATAGAATCCGATCTGTATTAAGAAGCACCTGACGTATACGGCATTGACCATTACCCAGTATGTGTTTTTTAAAACACTATATTAATGTTTAGTAATATTTTCATGAGTCAGCTTTCTTATAAAAGATAACCTGTATACAATCTATTTAGAAAAGTTATTTTGTTATGTCTAATACAAATAATAAAATCACATCTTACCTTTCCATACAAAACAATCCCCTTATTTATCCTAAAAGTCTGAATTAATTCGCACATGGTTGTAACTGTTAGAGTCCTAACTGTTTATTTTAACATTACTATGGAATGAAACATTAAAATTATGAGAATGAATAACTCCATTCTCTAATTTTTAAATTTTAAGCATCATTTTCCATCAAAGCAAACACTTATTACTTAAACATGTGATAAAGGAATATTGGTGTGAATTCGAAATCGAGTAATTCAAGTTGGTTACTTTTTCTGCCCCTTTTTAAAAACTTGAAATTAGGAACTTTTTTTAATCTCAACCCTCTTATTGATAATACGAGTTCGTTTATTGTTTCGCTTTTAATTTCACTACTGATGTTTATCGACTAGTTTGTAAAATAATTAACTTTTTTTATTATTATATGGAACATCAACTATTATTAATATCTATTGTTTTCACTTTTAGATGATGCAGATGGACAATTATGTTTACCTCAAGTTGGAACTCTTTTGACATGTGCATGTCCAAGACATTTAGCGATTCGTGCAGTTCATACAATCCATAAAATATCATTAAATTGGTTAACTGTCAAGAATGTTTCATCTAATGATATATCTAAAAATAATTCACGACTTAAATCAAATCAATCCAATTCTGTATGGGAAACCAAATATCATCCATTAGTTTCATCTTTATTAGCTTATTGGCAGTCAAATCTATTCGTTCGACGACAATCTAACCTAACTTTAATCACCTTGACTAAAGATGCAATTAGACATCAAGAATTATTAAATGATTGTGCTACAAATATACTTGAAACAAATCCATCAATTTCATCAAATATATCTGGTAGAATAAATATACCCACCGGAAGTAAATCAACTATTGCAGTTGGAACAGACAACTTACCTTGTGATCCTTCTTCATTAATCTCTTCAGGTACATCAGATCATGCTCATTGGGATGAACCAAGACTTTTATTGGATTGTTTATTAGACTGTTTCAAGTAAGTGTGTTGCATTATTGCGTTAATTAATGTCTACGTTATTGTTTATTCCTTCAGATGATTTCCTTCTGGTTTGTAACTTTAATAGGCTTTTTTATTTACAACTTCGTCTCATGTCAAGATCAGGCTACAGTTATGTACTACGTGTTTTCTTTTATCTTTTCTTATTGCCCTCTACCTCGGTGTAGACTTTAATTTTAATATATTCGACTTCAGTTTATGGAACGTGCTAACGTAGGAGGTTGTGAAAACAGTGATTTTTTGTTCAACACCCATTTCTCAACTGAATTTTTTCTCCAAAAATACATAAACAGATGTTATTTTTGGAATTTGCGTAGTTTGCAATCGGGACATCTGCCAGAAATTTATACTATTAAAGTGTTGTTTTACCAATGTAGTATTTTGAAATCCATGATATCTTCATAACAGTGGGTTTTCATTTTACAAGAAAAAATATCCATTATGTTCATGAATTTTATCCATTTTTAGTTTGATATTATTTATTTTCAAGTAACTTTTATTTATATTTTCATTGTTTACTTTCTATGTTTTGATGTATTTTGTGTTTTTTTAAAGATCTCGTCCAGATGATTTTGATCTGCTGTTTGTTATTACAATCGGTGTAACACGTCTACGGTATGTGGCAGATCTTTATCCACTACGTTGTTTATTAGTTCAATTAATTTCTGAATCTGATCTTACATGGCATCGTCAATTATTCCTCCATTTTATCACTATTGTGAAAAACCGTCTGAACTTTTTGAATAACAGCAATTCACCTGAATTCAGTCCGATTACTTTCGGAATATATAATCCAATTTCAACAGAAGATATGTACAAATTATTAGCTCATCTTATTCTGCCATGCCTATCAAATGCTTTGGAACGTGGAGAAAATGAAATATTTCTTGGTGGACCTCCGGAACCTTTTGAAATGAATCGTAGGTTGCTTTATATATATATATATATATATATATCCTAGTCAGTCCCTCCTATGCAACGTAGATCCTAGAATATGCGTAACACGTTGCCTGACCATCTCAGTCGATAAAGATTCACAATCTCATCAACTGATTCACCATCATTCCCTAATACCCTGCGTCTAACCTCACTATTACTTATCTGGTGATTTCAGAAGATGCGAACAATATATCTAAGACATTTGTGATGAAATACTAGTAATTACGGGTATCCTCTATTTCTAATGGCCACGTTTCGCATCCGTAAAGTAGAACAGAAGAAACTGTCGCGCTGTATACTCGTCCCTTAATTGATAGACAGATATGTCGCCTTTGCCATAGGTGGTGATGTAAGCTGACAAAAGCCAAACGAGCTTTTCGAATCCGCTCAGAGATTTCGTCAGATATCAACCCATTAGGCTTGATCAAACTGTCGACGCGTTCGAATACTTCACTCCCTATCCTCAGTTCGGGTGTTGACTCAGGCCAGTTCTGAAGCATCAACTTGAATTTAGAGGGGATGAAATCCATCCCAAACGTCCTGGCTCTGTTGCTAAGTGCCATCAAAAGACTCTGAATTTCATCTGCATCTTCACCAAACATGATTATATGATGCTCGTATTCTGTGTCCATAAGTGGACCTCCTGGTGTCTCAGAAATCCACAGGTTTTTCGTAATCTTTTGGCTCAAATCACTAGTAGATGTCGCTGCTGTTCCCAAATCTGTTCGTACATTTTTCCAAGCAACATCTAGGTCAGTGTTGTTTTCAGAACTACCTAAGTGTGACCTCAGTTGTTCCTGGAATTTACTTTTGGCTTTCTCGTCACTCATTTCAACTCTAATGGGTCTTCCTAATGTGGCTTTTCTACGTACGGCGAGGCGCGAGCAAATACGTGCTCGTATTAGAGCATAGTCAAAGTATAAATATGTACTCCAGAACGATAGGCAGACTTCTCTCAAGATTCTTCAATGATGACTGTTGGCAATATGGTTTGGTACAGAGGGTCACCATTTTAGGCGATTTCTCTCCTTATGCTTAAAATTAGTGTTTGCTAAGAATAAACGATCGTCTGAGCACAGTTGCAGCAGACGATCACTATTATCTATTTGCTGAGCCGGAATACTAAAATACCCACTTAAATGTCTTTCTGTTCGGTTTAAGCTACCTGCTACGAGTACTATGTCTGAACGTTTAGCTTTCTGAAGAAGTTCAGAAAGCTTTCTGTAAAATACATCTCTCACTTCATCCGAGCTGCAGTCAGTGAGAGTAAGTTTAGGGTTGAAGGTCAATGTAGGATGAATCATAGGAATTGAAGAATGAGATTGATTGTGAATCCAGAAAACTTGAGTGATGTTAGAGTTATGAGGGCGGTTTTCAATTCCTGAGTGACCATACTATGGAAGAGTTCCTCTAGAACTACCTGCAAAGGAAATTGGGTTAGAGTTGGTCTTGATGACCTGAGAGCCTGACCACAGTGCCCAAAAGACAACTGCTTGAGGACAGCCACACCGGACCTTTTTGTGAACAATTTTCGTGTTAGTTCCGTACTTGTTGAGTCCTTACAGCCTGAAACGGATATCTTTGGGATAAGGCTTAGTGTGCATGTTTAGGGTCGACGTTTTCTAACCTTACCAATCTTTTATGGTAAGGCAGCATCGCTGTTATGTTGGTTGTTTGAAGTAAATAGATTACTGCCGTCACACCTCTGTTTAGTCAGTAGTACGACTTCTCTCTCGGACCTTGGGTCTGCTGCTTTTAGTCTCACCGATGTTCAATCGACCTGTCTGGCATGGTCGGACCTTGAGGAACGATTTTTCCAGACAGTGTAAGCCGATTAGTTCATCACAATAGGCAAGCCTGACCACCACGTCAAGGTAGCACCAACTGTCGGTCTGTATTTTATTGGGATTGGTACTGAAAATGTTGAGCTTTCGGAACTTTCCTACCTGAAGTTATTGTTTGTATTTTTTTTAATTATTAAATACTGAAATTATTGTTTTTTGGATTCTCCTGCTTATAAGCTTTTTATCGTGATTCAGAAACTGTTTTTATGTGTCCACGTTTCCTGGGATACTGTTAATTTATTACGGGTATATTACTTAGCGTTCATCCACTTATGACGTAGCTATTCTGTCAGTGAAATTTCATAATTATACTGATGTTCAGCCTAGATTTTACTTTATATTATTGGATGATTTTTAAGTCATGACTGAATTGAATACAATTGAAGGCCAATCTGTTCCCTTTCTTGATCTCTTGATTGACTACTGGGTCGTAAAGTACTCAGGGACCAATAAGCTTTAAGATCTTGGTTGTTATTCATTAATTGATGCGTCAATTGATACTTAGTTAATCGATTCTACTGGCAATACAAGTAAGCTGATCAGTAGTTGGAATTCTGATTACTTGATTTTCTTAGTTGTTGGTCTGTAGCGTTAAAAGTAAAAGATCTCTTTAATTTAGTGCTATAATAGAATACAAACAGTGCTTTCTTTCTTTCTCTCTCTTCCACACTCATACACAACCACTTAATCATTTATTCTTCTCTTAACCATACTAGATTGTTTCTATGAAATGCCAGAGACAATACCTATTGTTCTGTGTAGATTGAGCCGTCAGATATTTAAGGCCTAGTTTATATTGTTCACTTTAAAAGTTGTACGATAACATACCCATACTCAACTAGCACTATTTTTATCGTACTAATGGTTTCTAGCTACATAAATTGTTTCAGTTTTCACATTGAATTTCATAATTACGTCTTTTTTATATTTTTAGACTATGATTTAGTACACTTGTTCGCCTCAGTTTTACTTGAAGATCCAGCTGTTCAAACATGTACGGAACTTCGTGTTATGTATTATCAAATGGCTAGTTTATTTGTTTATCATACACCGAATTATGTTCACATGGGAAGTGCTTGGTAAGCAGTTTATTTTAACTACTTCATTCTGCTAAACAAACTCTTAAAGTAAAAGGGTAGAGCGGTAGTGTAGTCGTTAAAGCATTTGACTTTTAACTAGTAAGTCACGGATTTTGTATAATGCACTACCATTTTCTGAGCAGTATTAATAGCCATCATGCCAACAGTCTGGATGACCACCAAGTACATAAACGTTTGCTTGATAAGTGACTTTCCGAATAAACTGCATTTTCACTGACTTTGAAATTGACTCAAAACACTTTGTGGGAAATTCCAAGATGTAACAGTAACTATATATCTGGTAAACTCAGTTAATTTTTTTTGCATCAGTTCTTATGACGAGCTCAAAGGTGAATTATCTCATTTTGTATTCTTTTGCTTGATGTGTAATTAAAATAAATGTTTTTTAAATCAGTCTAATGTTATCATCATTATATCGACAAGAAATTAATGTAAACAGAATTAATATACTGATAAAGTCACCCCTGTCCTCCTTCGTGAATTAAGGGACTTTCTGAGCAATAAATATCCTTGTATTATATATCTAAGCAGAACAAAAGAAATTAATGTTTACTCGGGCAGTGCAATGTTAATTCTTTTGTATTGCCTCTTTTTTGTACGTTATGTGAACAGAACTAAAAAGGCACTGTAGTTTTTACCGCTGTTAATGAACTAATTTTTGTTAAAAAGCCAGATACTCGGGGGGGGGGGGTTGAGTCTATTCGATGCAAGTACATGATCATCATATAATGTCACTAGATTATTAAATTTATAACGACTGTTAACGTCAAATAACCATTAATACTTATCCATTATTAATTAAGCTAATAAAATAACTTACAAACTTACTTTATGAAATGTGTATTACAAATGCATTCCATGGGTACGTGTACTTTATTATTTTGTAAGTAAACCAATGACATATTATATGATTAGTACTTTTTTGTCTTTGTACGTTTTTCAGTGAACAAAGTTATCGCCTTTGTAAATTCACTGAGTTCGCCCGTCCTTGTTTAACAAGTAGTTTAACTGCTGTGGATCTTCAAGAAAAATATACTGGTCTTCAATTATTATCCCATTTAATTGCAAAATTCAATGTGTTACGTACAGCTACTGTACAAGTGTTTCAATGTTTAGCAAAAGGCGCACATACAGAAACAAAGAAAATTGTTAATCCTGCATTGGATATTCTAATTCCAGCCTGGATACAGGGACCTGAAGACCAGGTAAAAAACAGACGGGAGGAATGCTTTTATATAGCGTTCGTTTTCAATCTTTGTTGTCTTTTGATAAGTAGTTATAAAAACGTATTTTTTTATTATAATAAAAACAAACCATCCCAACTAGGCGAGGACGATGTTATATTCATGTAAGATAGATTGAAGCACAATGAAAATTAACATTTGTTAAATTCTAGAGTTATACTGTCCCCTGCATCGACCAATAAAGTGTTAAATGCAATACATAAATTGGTTATCTGTTTATATTATTGAGGAGTTTCTTCGAGATCGGGGAAGAGGTGAGGAAGGGGATTTATAAATTACGTTTCATAATTCCTCATTTTCCATAGTTTTTAATTCATAGTATGAATGGTCTTTACTGAAGTATTATTTTAAATCTTTGAAAATGACAGCTGATGATGAACGTTTTTATTTCAAATAACTGTTCAGTTAGTTTTTTTTAAAACTATTTAATCATCCAATACAGATTGTAATAAATTTAAGTTGATTGTTCAGTTCTTCCCATTTTTTATTGGAATACAACCGGAATATTGCTTTCACAGTAGCCAATCAGTATGCAAGAGTTTCGCATCAGTAAAGCTTATTATTAACTGTCACTCCTCTTGAGGTAGGAAAAAGCATAATAGTTATTCTAAAATGAACCCTGGTTTTTATACTATATGTATAAACATTTTTATTATTATTTACTTTGAAAATTTTCTACGTAATGATCGCGAGGATGCACTTACTGTAACAACCTTCTGAAGTTGCATTACTATTGTTTGTTTTCATTAATTATTTCAATTTCAAGCGTTGATTCATATTTTCGCAATGACCTCTGTTGTTATTTAGTTGGTTGTTTTCACACTTAGTTTACTAATTTTACTGTGTTCCAAGATCATGTTCTGCTATATATACGGTATTGTTGTACTTCAATTTTACTGTCTTAAATATCTAGCTTTTCTTCTTTTCCTGACTTGTCTTTATCTTCAGTCGCTTTGAATATTATTTTTGAAGTACTTTATGGCAGTCATTAGGTCTGTTAAATCCGTGTAGATCCATTCACATGTTAAAAGAATATACCAGTTGTTCGCAATTATGATTTGCCGTAGATAGTCTTAAAACTTAATATAGTCATAACTGTAAAATAATCATTTTCGAAATAATTGCAATGTTTTTGATTGCTTTTTGTGTTTTAGAAAGCACTTGCGTTGGCAACTAAAAAAATTATGCTAGAAGATCATGGTATTCAATCATGTGTTCATATTCTGTAAGTTGTTTTTCTACAACTTTCTTCCTGGTGCCAGCTTTCACTGATTTATTTTCTCTGATGTTTTGTAGGAGTATTTTTATAGTTTGTAGGTAGTTTTGTGGGGAAATAATTTGTAATCACAAACTAGCATATCATCAGACTTAAGGATTACTGTTGTGTGATAGTTCGGTACTCTCAGGATTGCGCATTCACGGCTTCAAATGAGATTTCACTTAAATACGTTTAAAGAACTAAGACAAAATCCAGTGGTCTACATTTTAAGTTTTAGTTACTTAATGATATATCACAATCATTAGTCAAAATCGTTGATGACTGACTGTCATACTTCTCACTTGATTAACTTCACTGATCATTTCTCATCAGAAATTCGGGCAATAAATCTTGAAGCCACTAGACACTGATGGGTACACAATTATTATTCTCCAAAGACGGTCTTCTTTTTTATAGTTTAAAACTGTAGGCTATGAAAATCGTTGTTTCACTAAATCTTTAAGATGCATTCATCAATCCACCTAAAAGTATTTTGATTTTGAAGATTTGGGGTTATTCACTTTGATAATATTTAGGTTGTTACAAAATAAGATGTTTATGAAGGAGTATACATGTAAAAATAATTATCATATTGTGTTATGATCTAATCCAATATTTTCGGTGAACTTTATTCTTCTGAAGTTCTAGTTGTTTATAATTAATGTTTTCTCAATTGGGTCAACTGTGAACTGGTGTTAAAATTATTTTGATATGTAATAAATCTCTTTAGTTCATCATTTTTCTGTAAATAATTACTATTATGCATCACTGTGATAAACTGTTAAATAATTGTATAAGTTTACTTTGCAATTAAAGCACTCTACTATCAGATTCAAGATCCACACTAACTGGATTGTAAATAAATTCTCATACAAACAATTTGAGTAAAAATTGAGGCAACAAAATTGTTAATTATATGCATGAATCCACCTTTGCATTTACGGTGCTCTATTTGTTGGTACCGATTCCTTAAGTGTATTTGGAACCACAAGAAATTGTATTCCCCTTCTGTTATTTGAATCGTTATTCTCAAGCAATGTGATAATTGTTTATACATCAATTTCTTCAAGTATCTTTGTGTATGGTCATATTCTTATTGATTCATCGTAATTGAAACTATACTTGTGTTTGTCTCGTTGATGATATTCGTAGTATTTCTTAGCAGATTTAGCGTTAGATATATAATTATCAGTTGCTTACTGAACACGATTGTATTTTGTAGAGCTCAATGTTTTAAGAACTCCGCCTGGAGTCCCTTTCGGGCAGCTACTGCCGGTCCCAAGCCCGGATAAAGGAGGAGGGTTGGGCATGGGGTTAGCGACCCCATCCCGTAGAAAACTAACTCGCTAAAAAAACGCTAACCTGAAAAAATTATTCAAACCATTTAAACTCTGCCCTGGTAGTCAGGAGGTCTTCGTTTAGAAGAATTATGACGCCTCATGATGAAAGCCGAGTTTCTTCGGAAGTTACGAAGCCGATGCCCCTTCTGACAACCAGAGCAACCATTTATTTAGGTACATGGTATGCTCACAATGTTTTAAGCCTAAAAACTTCGATTTTAGAACTCAGATCGGAAATTCGGTTTAAACGACTAAATGGTGCTAATAGCTTTCAAAATAAGTTGTAGCTTTGAAGTGAATACACTAACTTTCGCTTGAATAGTTGTCTAGATGCTTAATTATTTATAATTGTGAAGATAAATGGTATTGATAGATTACTAGTATTCGATCATATGTGCCTTAACAGCATTGTTCGTATATGCTTGTCCTGACCATTTCAATCTTGCAGTGCTAATGTGACGATATGAAGTGATGCAAATATATACCAGGTTCTTTGTTACCTATAATTGATTGTTGACGGACAATTAGTTCTTCAACAACACTATTTTTTCTTAATTGAATAATATCCTCTATCTGTAATGTTTTTTGTTACTTTCACTGATACTACTATTACCTGTATTATTTTGGCGTTCATTGTGATAATTTCATCTCTTTATGCTGATACTTTACGACAGAATAATAGATCAATACACATTTGGTCAGGTTCTTACTATCCTACGACTGACTGACCAGTTTGTTTTCATTCGTCACATTAGTCATTTACATATTTTCTTATATAGTTATACTACTGATTTCAATTTTATGCTTTGGAAATCATAGATTTTTGATATTTGTTATTTGTCTTTACTATTCCTTTCGTTCTGTTTATTTTAAAATTTTCACATTATAGGTAGTTTATTTGTAAATATCAAGTGTTTTTTTGTTACTCAACCAACATTTTTGTTGTTTTTTCTCTGTTAAAGAGGAATAATTGTTCGACATTCAGATTTGTATTATCCAATACGTCATCAAATATTACCTCATATTATACTTATTATATCTCGACTTTCTGTTCAACAAGTGAGTAAATTATGTTTACAGTTTTCTTTTTATGGAATCTAATTTTATGGATTTTAACTGGTTATTTTAGAATTTGTGAAATATCTGTTATATAAGTTTCTTTACTGATTATTTTATTTCCATTATTCATACAACTCATATGGAGGTGTTGGAGTACTGATATTGAAATTATGATTTACTTTTTACTGGTTGTACTATGACAAATGGAAATCTCCGATTATTAAGGTGCTAGATTTTGTAACATATTCTAGGGTGAAACACTTTCTTAGACAGTCAAACAGTAACATTACTTAGCGAAAAAATGTTTCAAAGTTTAAATGAACCCTAGTTACATTTTGTAGTTGTTCTGAATTTTTGGTATACAGTCAGTAAGTCAAAATCAAGCTTAGAACCTGATTCAAATATCCATCGTCTCAAGTTACTGATTCACATCAACGTAAAAACCTGAAAATGTTTGTATTACTGGTCACAATGACATATTATAATGAGCTTTTCGTTCCACATTATTTTTTAGTTACCTGTTGAACAACGTCGATTAGCTTTAGATATGATCTATACTACAGCTCAATGGGATGTTCGGTGTCGCCGTGAAATAACTGAGAATTATTCAATGGAGATAACTGATGATTTAAATCCATCAGATAATAATAATAATAATCTTTCATTAACAGAGAATCTGAATATCCAAACTTCAGCTAAAGTAAGTATATATATGTTGCTAAAATTTTTAATGCATTGTAATATCAACCAATAAGTTGGAGATTGCAGCTTGACCTTTTCAGCAACCTTGGTTTCAGATATAGAGAGTGCAAAAACTCAAAATTAATTACACATATCTGTGCTTAGCAGTTGAGTTATATTCAATAATTCTTAAATTTGCCTAGATCAACATGAAAATAAAAGTCCTTTTATAGATTACTAGGTTTACATTACTGCTTTACGAATTACAGGGTATTTAATTATTGTCATTAATTTGATCTAAGTCCTGTTATATGTTTGATTATTTATTGAATGTTTGTTTACAAACCTATAATCTATCTTAACAAAGTCTGTAATAATGCACAGGTCTTTAAAACGGAAGTTTCAACGCACCACTTGTTAGCTTAGTGTTAAAAGTTTCGGTTTGTTACGCTTTATTTAGATGTCCGTCTTCATCGAAAAACTCAGTCTCACGAAGGCCGAATAGTGAAAAAAACATATTACTATATTAAAATTCAGTAGTATGATGTTAATCACAGAAACACATGGTCATTCAAGGTTTACATAAACTTTATTATTCTATGTTTGTTGCTAATATTCAATCGTGTATTTCCTACAAATTCATTCTAGACTGAACCAAATAACTCTCCTATGGATAAGCCGCAGCGTGATCAACTTGTAAATCTTTTAATTCGTTTCGCCTGTCAAGTAAGTTTTATTATCTCGTTTCTGTAATATATCAAGATATTATTAAACTCGAATTAACTGATTTTGCAATGCAACAATATATTTCTTAGAATGGATCAATTGCGGAAGATCTTTTTGTCATATTTTGGACTCACCAGTTAGATATATATGTATCCAAGTGCTGATTTTTACACTAAGAATTGAACACAATACCCATCGCTTCAAACACCAATGTTTCGTTCTTTTAGCTCCTGGTTAGTTTGAAATGATAAATATCGGATCTCCTAAATTAGCAATTCGTTAAATGGCAATTCTGAACTCAGTGAATATTTGGTGGTACGAAACATTTTAATGATGTTTGAAATTAGTAGATCATAGCATTCTGTGTAGGCGTGTATCTTAGTAAGCGTATTTCACAAAATTGGAATCATTTTCTAAAGTATATACTTGTAGATATCAGTGATACACATCTGACAATTTTCGCAATATTTTAGGCTATTGACGCTAGTCAAAGTGGAAGCTTGTCTGAACAGTCTGTATCCCGAACGCTAGCTCAACTAGAATTCGCTCTTCGCTCTGATGTATGGGGTGGTGAAACCTGTGAACTAAGACTTGCATTTATTGACCGTTATTTCACTCCGGACGATTCATCGTCTTCACACTCGGGTACACCATCTGGAGGAGTTCCAGCTAATAGTCTCAATACACACGGAATACACATGAGTGGGACTTCAAACACTACACCTACATCTACTTCCTCTGGACCCCACACAAATGCATCATCTACTAATGCTCTTGGTGCAACACAAGCCACCAGTTTGTTAATGACTTTGGAGGTTCTTCGTGTCTTGTTCTCAACTTTGGTACGTTATTTACATGTTTTTAATCATGTTACTAGTTTTTCAATATCCTATATTCTAAGATAAATTTACTTATACAGACTCCCTGATTGTAGGTATCATTAGCAAAGTTTGACTTGAACATTGGGTAGATTGTTATAAATAAATGATATATTTGTAATATCGAAATGAGTAGAAAAATAAGATTTTCTGACGTTTTGTGACTCAGTGTAAGTCTCTTCTTCAGAGAATAAATAACCAAATCAAAATTTTGACTTGATTATTTATTCTCTGAAGAAGTGGCTTACACTGTGTCTACTCATTTAGATATTAAGAATATATTACTTATTTATGACTTCTTGATTATTTTCAGAGCCTTCCAAGTTTAATAAACCACTAACTACATTTTCAAATGTTTTTTTTTTCATTATAGGAAAGCCCAACTTTATTAATCAATGTAAAACATTTCAGTGTTGGTCTATGTAATGTATTGACACGACAATTGACTAATGTTCGTTTAATTCGTTCTTGTGCTGGTCTTTTACGTGCTATGCTTGAGCGTTATCCAGCCGAAGCATCACATCGTCAGAAAGTTACTGCTTATCCTGAATTATATGATATTTATTCAACAGTCTTAAAAGCAATACAAGATTCATTCACAATGTTTAGTGAAAAGTAATGCATTAAATAACTGTTTTTATTTATAATTATTTTTACATATAATTTTACATATTCAATTATTAATTTCTTCCTATGAAACAAATATGTCTATTAGATGGAGTAGAGTAGAAAATTGACAAAATAATTTAAACCGTAACAAAACTACATACTAAGAAAACGGTTTCGTTCAAATTTAAATGAAAAACATAATAAAGGAAATTATATCTCTGGGAATTTTTCCGAATTAATAATATGAAGTGAAGCATTCGACTGGGTTGATTGTATGTTCATGGGATACCAGTATTCGATCATAGGTGTCTTTGAAACAGTGCTTATGTGTTTTGGAATCACCGAGCGAGCATTACTGAAGTAATGCAATGGGTACTGGTAAAGAAAGATGGCAAATCGACTGATGTGGTAGTGAATTGTTGATCAACTGAGGTGGCTGGTACATGTGTTAGGTGTATCTAATCACCACGTACCTGAATGGATGGAGTTGTCTGGTGTCGGAGTATGTTTGAAGAAAGGTAGAAATGGTTTAACTAAAACGTGGAGTCAGTTCATGAGGTAATTGACAATTGGACTTATCCATGTTAATAAGTGCAACTTACGTTGTTGACGTTGGTGTGATTTTCGTAATTAATTGTTAGAAACTTTGAGTAAAATTGCTCAAAATTTTTCACATTGGCTCTGGGGCATTCAATCTTTGTTATCCTTTACAACCTGAGTTCTGAGATCACCTTATCCTTCTTTGTTACATGTAGTCGGTTCTATCAATGTAAATACTGTTATTACTTGTCTTCAAATAATTTTATCTTACTGAATTGATGCTCATATGTGTCAGGTTCTACATAGGGTATCACCGACTGACTGACGAACTGAAATAACTCAAAGCCAGTGTTATCGATTGTAAATAGGGTTCGCAAAGCAACCACGGAGTAAAGAGTGTTTCTGTTAGGAGGACAAAGGTTGGATTAAATCATGCTCATTACACGCTTGCGTTGGCGCACGCTGATTGGCTAATTCTTGTCCAATCAACGCTACTCGATACTTGGAGAAGACTCTAGAATCTTCTCATGTAAAAACTATAAGTATACTAACGGTTTTCCTATTGTGCTTCTTGTTTTCATCTAACCTTGTTATTTGGAATATAATCTCCTTCCTGTTCAACCGTGTTCTGATTTGGGGACTTGTCGAGTGAATTGGTGTCTGTGAATACTAAGCAATATTAATAGCTGGGTTATAACCGTAAGAGCGAAATATAACAGTTTCACTCGTTTTACGATGTTAAGTATGGATTTTTCAAAAGTATGAATTCGAGTCATTTTATGTCAATTATGTTTAAATTTTATTAAGCAGAGTAACGTCTGTATATGTAGTAAAAAATCCACTAGATATATGGCTATACGTTATGTTTGTGAATGGAGAATGCTGGTGAGCGGCCTATGCTCCTTCACGAGGAGTAACAGGCGTAAGTCAGTAAGTAAGTATGTTTGTGAATAAATGAGCTATTTTTATTGACATTTATGCAATCTCACTACTTTCATTATATATATATATATATATATATATATATATATATATATATATATATAACTGTCAAATCATATTATCTAGTAATTACTTTTCTAGTGTTTCCAAAGCAACATTATTAACACGATTACAATCGGCATTTCTTCTGTTCACATCAACACAAGTTCAGTCTAATCCACATGCATTTGTTGATCGATGTATTGTACAATTAGTTAAACTTGTTAATCGTCTTATACAAGATTTAGTTACACCGAACAGTAATTCTAATGCTCAAGAATCTGGTACATCTGCACGTAAGTAATTTTTTCATAATTCTCATTTTAATAAGCAATTTTTAGTTGTGGTCACAAAGTTTGATTTTTTTGGTAAGCATTAAGTAATAATCACTTGCAGCATAGAACTCTCCTGTTACTGACTTTCTAACCGCTTCCTGTATCTCCAGATTATTTATCCTTTTGAACTTGAACAATTGAGAAAATGTGCGAAATATGAGTAAAAGCTATACTACAAGGTTAATCTGTGTTCAAAACATCAAGTTTATTTATCAATATTTCGATGACTTGAATCTTTTGGAAACTTTTAATCACGTCCTTAATATAATAACATCATAAGTAGTTATCTGAGAAAGGCGTTATACATAATCCTTCATTCTTTTAGCTATTTCTGTGAAGCTTCTATTCAATGTTGATTGAATAAAACGTTTTTAACCTTTTCCTATGCTTCTAGAGAGGGATATTTGAGAATTCTCAACACATGTTGTTTTCGTTTTCCCTCTCATCTTTCTCATATCTATGAAGTAAGGAAATGCTTTTTGATCATACATAACCTACTTTAGATAATTGGAATTTTCGAGCCCCTTATGACGCAATCCCGTACTATTTTTTATAGACTACAACCATATTACCTCTTATACAGATTCAGTTGATGAAATTTTCCGAGAGAAAAATGTTTTTCCCGCTGATTTGTCTTGGCCCATCTTGAAGTATAATGTTATCTATAAATGATTAAATCTGAAAAATTAGTGTGATTTATTTGTATATTGTGTATATGTATGTAATCTGTGGAATATATTGATTGTTTTCAGTAATAAATGTGTCTACAAAGTGGCTATATATGTTATTTTGTTTACAAGTACCTAATTGAATGGTCATGCTTGGTTTAGCTTGGTAGTAGATTAATGTATACTTCTGACCAAGTGATACTACACTACTACTTAAATTGAAGTAGAACTAACTGCATTCGAATTACTAATGCAATAGTTACTAAAAGTTATGTACTTAAACTACTGAATTATAAATTTTTCAATTATTTTAAACGTAATTTACTTAGTTTATTATACTGATAACTTATCATATCCCTCTTTTTGTATGAATGATAACAACATTTAATTCACTTTTAATTATCGTTGCGAGTAGTAGATTTATCACTGTATTGAAATGTTCACATTTTGTTATTAATTTATTTGTATCTGAAACTTGATTTACTTCACTTGTTATAACCACAGTTATATGTATTAAAAATTTCAGTGATAATATTTGAAGTTTTGCTTGAAAATATATAATTTTTATTTACTAATGTTTGGAGTTGATTTTTGATAAATGAAATTAACCTATCTTTTCTATCCTTTGGTTTCGTTCATTCACCAACTCAATAATCAAAGCCCGATTTATAGTGTATTAGAATGTTATTGAGATAGCATAAGTAAATGAACAAACAAAATTTGAAAGGATGTTAGTCCTTTTAAATATTTTTCGATCCCTCTTGTTGTAGTTTTGCATTGGTTTCTGTTGAAGCAGTGTACAATATTGAAGGATCATGAAGAAAACTCTTAAAATGTTCATCAATTTTATATCTAATGTTGTCATATTGGTTTCATAATTTAAATGTTATAACAATGATTTTTTATATATTATTTTAACAGAGCTTACTGACTTACTAATTATGGGTCTTGAAATGATCAAGTCGCGATTGAATGTTGTTAGTCATGAAATGCGTAAAACTATCTTTGGTCCAGATTTATGTTTAATAATGGATAGAGCACGAGATCCTCGTTTATTCTGTGCTGTTCTACAAGTTTTACGTGATTGGATAAATGTACCAAAATCAGAAGAACATTTTGCTCCAACAGCTCGTGAAAAAGTCAACTTTTTCTATAGACTTTGGCAAGCTTATCCACGTTGGATTGACAATTCACCTGATGTTGCCAGAGAAATTCTTGAATGCGTGTACGATGTAGGTTGTTTTTGTTTGTTTGACTAATTGATTTATAATGAATAGATCTTTCATATGCTTAAAACCCAAACTTTAGCTATTAAGCTTTATTTTTCATGTTGACTTGTCTTTATTATTGCATTTTTATTTGTTACCTATTTGATATCTGTGCTTTTAATTTGTGTGATTACATCATGTAATGTAATTTGAAATTGTAAACACAGTACAGAAACCTATACGATATTAGAAGTATATTTTTAAAGGTAAACCTTTTGACAGTTAAATAAACCAAAAGTTTATGAGACATCAGTTCACATGTATACCACAATGATTCATTTATTTTTGATATTTTCACTCATTTCAACAAATGCTCTTGTGTCGATTGTGTGTGAGTTACACTGACCTATTTCCTCAAACTTGTTTGACTGCTTTAGGTTAGTTGCACAATTATTATGTAACCCATCTTGCTCGTTTCCTAGTTTTATTTAATTCCTGTTTAATTGTTGTAAAGTATAAAGCATAAAAATTTGTATTTCATAATTTTTCTAGTACCCGACTTTTGTGCAGATATTTCGGTATCACTCTCTAAATGATCTAATCTATAAACAATTTTACTAATACTGTTTTCTCATTTCAGTCAGTCACAGTAATCAATTTTGATCATATGTGATATTTCGTTAGCTGTTGTTCTATTTGTTAATTTTATCGAATTTGTAAACAAATAACGAGAATTTACAACGAACAATTCGTTTTTGTTACTATTCTTTTATTATTATTTCTTTCTGTATTCAGATATACATTAGTTTCTTTTTTCTACTTAGTTAAGTGTTGTATAAATTGTTGGATTGGATTCCAATTCAATGATTTGAAGGTTGAGCTCTCGTCACCAGTCCTGAAAGTCTTTAATTTGATCCTAGGTACAGTTTTGTGTGTACGCTGCTGAGGAGTCTCATGATGGGATTTAACGACTGTCCAATACTTCCTGATTCTCAATGCTTCCCTAGTTAATGTCAATTCATAATGCAAAACTGCAAAATATTTTTTTACTTTGTGGAAAAAAAATATATTTATACTTAGATTCCATTTCATTTGTTTTTTTATTCTACCGTTAATATTTTCGCTACATTCTAACTTCGTTTTCATAGGTTTATGCCAGTACAAGTGTATTTAAAAATCATGATCTTTATATGAAATTGGAACAAGCCTTTTGTTGTGGCCTTATATCACCATTTCCTGATATTAATGAACGTTTCATTTCTTTGTATTTGGAAGCATCTCAAATTCGTTATCCAACTAATAGTTATTCACGTAGAATAGATGTTAATGTATCAAATTGCAATAATGAAAATATTCCTTTATCATCATCAACTGATCCGATCGATTCTTATTCTGACAAAGAAATTTTATCTGCTGATCAATCGATTTCATCAAATTATTCTTGTGCTTCACTATTAGTTCGACTATTATTTCTTCTTGTTTCCAACACTTGGGATGAAGCTCATTTTCGTGACGGATTTTGGTTATCTGTATTTTTAGACGTAAGTTTTTCTGATTTTCTCCTTTTCTCTCTCTATATATATATCACATTAAATATTAATACAACATATCCTGTTTCCTCGTACATCACTAATGTTTAATAATGTTTTTCTCCACTCAATCTGTGATGAACCTTGTTATCACTAGCAAGTGTATTTTATTTTGTTTCTCTTTCCAAATAATTTAAGCTTTTACAGCACACTGCTTTTAAGTATATAACTACAGATCTTGTAATTTGAATTATAAGTAGTTTTATTATTTCATTCTTTCATCCTGAAAATTAAAATATTTTGACCGTCATGTTTAACTTTATTGATATGCTCTTATTTAGCCTCTTTCACAGTAATCCTTTTTATGTTTCCCTCTGCGAATATTGAACGTCGGCTATTTCAGTAGGATATTTGATATAAAAAACATTTCCTTTCCTTTTTTATATATTTTCTCTACTCTTAGGTACTGTTGTGCGATGTGGATACAACCGCTCCACCAATGTTGTCCATAAATGCTCAATGCTTTAATAACATTTTCAATTATTGTTCGAAATTACCCAGTGTCTCAACAAATGAAATATCAATTGATTGTTTGATCCCTGAACAAACTACCACTCAACAATCATGTGACCCACTTCCAATTAACGAATTTAAAGTTCTTATCGAATCACAAATTAAAGGGTTAAATGAATTACATAAAGTAGGTTTATTTGTTTCAGTTAAAACATTTGGAATGCTTTTTTCTTTAGTATTTTACTATGAGTTTTTCCAAAATAATTTTTAACACCATTTTTTAATTACTCCTTATCGTTACAATTCGACATCCCTTTCAGTACTGTATTATAATAAGTATTTAGAAATAATGTGTATTTTTCTATAGAGCAACATCGAATAAATGACAATTTATACATTATATTTTACTCTAATTTACTGTAATCGGATGGTATAAGCGTATGAGTTAACTGAACATTTCATTGGCCTTTAAAAATAGCAGATATTCGTGGGTTACCAGTGTGTTTTGAAATCACCGAGCGAGCATTACTGAAGTAATGCAATGGGTACTGGTAAAGAAAGATGGCAAATCGACTGATGTGGTAGTGAATTGTTGATCAACTGAGGTGGCTGGTACATGTGTTAGGTGTATCTAATCACCACGTACCTGAATGGATGGAGTTGTCTGGTGTCGGAGTATGTTTGAAGAAAGGTAGAAATGGTTTAACTAAAACGTGGAGTCAGTTCATGAGGTAATTGACAATTGGACTTATCCATGTTAATAAGTGCAACTTACGTTGTTGACGTTGGTGTGACTAACATAACCAGTGGTAGTATATAAATAATGCTACACCTGTAAAGTATTATATATTTTACTGTTCAAAGTACATTTTTTATTACCACGAATTCAGTTTATCTTTATCGCGGTAATGTGTATGGTCGTTCTTGTAGCTCCTGTGTTTCTCTTATTTTTTTATTGCTTAAACTGTAGCTGTCAATCAATGCAGGACTACGAGGTATGCTATGTCTCGCTCATAAACGTCCAGCCCTGGCTAGCAATATTTTTCAGCAACTTTGGCCTCAAATATGGGATCGTTTACTGCTACAACAGTCAGAAACGTTTTGTTCTTCATCTGAGTCTAAGCCAGCAGAATATTCTGAAACAAATTCATCCGTTCAAGAACATTACAATCCATTGCAAACGGGCTTCGTGCATGAATCACTACAGACTGGCTGCTTAGAATCATCAATCTTATCTGATAGTCCTGCAGTAAATGGTCATAATTTGTCTCCAAATGAAATTCGGGGTTTCGTTATTCCTCAGTTGATTCGTTTCCTAACCTCAGATCAGCATGTACATCCAGCTGAACCTCAACCGAGTTCCCTTGGGGCTTTCTTCAATGCTTTGGCCTCATGCCCAGATACACTGCTAATTCATTTACCCTTACCTGCGATCACTGTAAGTTATTTCTTTCTTATTCCAGTAGACAGTCAGCTTAGTAAGTAATTCCTAATGTAATTTGTTTTAAGTAACATGTATTTATTTTTGATTCATATAAACCTTTGTATTTTTTTTGCAGTATCTAGGACAAGCTCACAACCAATGGTATACAGTTGTTCTATTTCTTGAATCAATGTGTTTTCAAGCATCTAAATTTAATAGCCAATGCATTTTGAATGATTTGATCTACTCAGTCGATCCGCCTTCCAATGAACAGACTGACTTTGTTCTTTCTAATTTAAAACCCCATGAATTCCCATTTGGAGCTGCAACTCTATCACTCATTTCATTATATAATGAAATGAATGATATTGACTTTTTAACTTTCGCTTGGTGGTATCGACTATCTTCTCACCAGCGACATCAAAAGTCATTCGTTGAAAATATGAACGATTCTGTACGGTCATCGTCAGTACTTACATGTTTAGAATTTGCTCAGCATGGTTACCTCTTACGATCTTTGGATTATGCTATGGATAATCTTTCAGGTAGTCAAGTTCTGAGTACTACGAATTCACTAGAAGCATCATCATGTGTGGGAAGTTCAGCATCATTAAACCGTGCAGCTGCTGCCGCAGCCGCATCATCGTCCAACTCATTTCCTTCCAGCCGCACAAATATTCTTGCAGATCCTTCACTACATTTAGGAGAACTTGTTAATCGTGCACGTCTTCGTGATTACTGTGTCCTGTAAGATATATTATTGATCTCGATCGATAAGCTACTTTCAGTTTTTATTGTTTATTAAAGCAATTATTTTTTAAAAGCCTCTACATTTTCTCCATCCAACCTTCTAATGTTTTCTTTCAAACTTATTTGACGTACTTTGACGATTGGTAATTGATATAGTATAACCATACCATAGAAACTAAGTAAATCCCGATCACATTCCTATCTATATTATGAAACTCATTTGCTAATCGACGACAGCGTCATGAGTTTGGACCGATTGTGGAAGTTCTGTTCATGTCAGCAACCATTATTAAGGCATATCTAATTCTGAATTCTGGGAGTTCGTTTATCTAGACAGGCATAAGTTTTCAAGACTGCAAATACTCACTACTAAATCCCAACAGGTTTTAATCCATAATTGACTATTTGATTTTAATTATTTGTCACTAATTTATGTACACGAAGCTATTCTGTCACTTGATAGGTAGGTTTAGTCATCCTCCCTTTACTAATATGGTAAAAGATAACTCGAATATTGTTATAGTTAGTCAGTATTTATATAATATTCCTGTTATGAATCATTAATTCAAGCTTTTGTCGTTCTTATCACATTTAGTACCCCTGTTTTCACACTATCAATATGTACTTTATACTTATTATGTTTAGTGATGTACTCTACGTCATTGTTATCATCGACTCATAAGCAACTGCTTTGATTAGAATAATATATTCATGCAAATGTTATTGTATATTAGAATAAAGCCTGATGAGGATCTATTTGAAACATTATTGACTTATGTGTGTTGTTTTATTTTACAATATGGGGACTTTTAACATTTTAGAATTGAAAAGTATTTGGGAAGAATGTAATAAATAATTGTGTAGAAAGAGAAATTTAAAGGAGTGTTCAAATATTTTCCGTATACAAAAGTTAATTTTCTCGATTTGTATTCCTATGGTTTCTGCTTTATGCAATAACTAAATCCTGGAAGAGTAGGGTTAGATAACTTTGAAAACTTAATTTATATCGATATGATGATCAGCATCAATGTTGTACACTATAATAGAGTTTCTAATTATATATTTTCTAGTCCTTTGATCAACCATGAGGATTCATAATCATACATAAAAACCAAAGATTTGATGCCTTGAAAGCTATTTAATCGTCATTCCTAAAGATTCACGAAATATTCAGATATTCCCAGTTTTCACCAACCATCTTAAGGTATAACATCAATTCATTGCATTAAAACACTAATATGAAGATTTTAATCATAACTCCCATTGTATTGCTCCTTTTTTGTCTTCAAATATTCAATGTTTTGTTGTTATTATTGTAAATACTGTTGAAATTCAGACAATTAAAACAACTTGGTCAATGGGAAAGTCTAGATTCTTTAGCATCTTCTATTCAATCGGCCAATCATATGACTAGTTCATTCGGTTCTACTTCAACTGCTGGCGGAAATCCGAACACTGCAGCTGTTGTTAGTTCAAGCAATTCTGGTGGTTCTAGTTACTGGGGTTTAAAAGCAGATGCAGCATGGAGACGAAGTGATTGGTCTGAAGTATATTATGATTTGGCTAGAGTAAGTTATATATATAATCCTTAAATATTGTTGTTATCAACAACTTTTCTATACTTACAACCATGTACAATGTAGAGTTTTGACAATGACATTTATTTTCAAAACTTGCCTATTAATACAACCAAATAGTTGTTATAAATACACTGTGATGTGGATTTTATTTGTTTTTATATGAATTTTAACATTTTGTTTACGAGAACTATTGTTTATGTCTGCATTATTTATTAATTTAAATTATGTATAATTTGAAAGGATGCATTTTCCTGTTTTATTTCATTCTCTTTTTCCTTTAAAAAATAGTTGGCTAATGAATGTCCTCGTAGTGAACTACCAAGATATGCTCTTATTCAAGCCGCAGCTTGTGTAGCAGGACGTCGAGCACCTGGACTGGGAACAATCAATAATCCAAGTGTAGATATTATTGAATCTTATAATCCTAGTTTAAATTCAAATGATATATCCACTGGATCAACAACTACTGGTCCTAATTCATCTGTTCCAAATAATACTAATTCAACTAATGTCACTTCAACTCCTTCGTCTAATGCCCTGCATTCTAATACTGGATCTGTATCACCTATGAACAATATTGTCAATATGATTCATGCTTCAGAACAAGAAAGTCATCGTGTTGTAACTGTTACACTTATGGAATGGAGGCGTTTGCCTCTTATCGTTACTGCTCAACATATACCATTACTTCAGGTAATTGTTTTTTTTACATCGTTAATAGAATTTTGTAGAAGATTTAAATTTTATTTATCATTGAATTAGATGTTGGGGCGAGACTATAACTTATGGACGAACCAATCAGATTTAAGATAGCAGGTCTTAGATTTTTGCGCGAGATTCATCCACTCATTTGGCTAAATACCATTTCTGCATTATAACTGATGTCAGTTTATGATGAAAAAATCGAATATAATTTGTAAACCTAGCGTTCAACTGTAAATCCTAATTCTAGTTTCTCGCACTAATTTATAACCCTCATTTAACCCTACTAAGTAGATGCACATTTTCAAGGTCATTTTAGCGTTTCTCAAAGGTCGTCCATAAATCATAGACTCACCGGTGTTGGATTTTACATGTTTTAGAGATTTATTTAGTTTTTTTTTGTCAATGCATAGATTGCTCATCGTGCAGTTGAAATAACCGAAGGTAATAGTTTATTAGCTCAATATTGTGGCCATGTTCTGGGTGGTTCTACTCTTGGTTCTGGCGTGTCTAATTCTTCTTATTCTAGTCCTAGTCAAACCAGTTCTGGTTCATCCACACCAGTACCACAAACAAATTCAATTTCCACATCTGCATCATCAGCAAATATGCGTTTACCTTTTAATCAAGCACTTCATGATTATAAAACTGTATTCAAGTCATGGCAGTAAGTCATCTGTTTTTGACGGTTGCCAACATATTTTTGGTTTAAAGTGATATTTATTTTATTTATTTATTTTAGCACATAAGTATAGGTACAGGGAGGCACCAAAATACATATGCGCCACACAAATCTCAATTGATTTGTGTGAGGGCTGTGATACTGCCCGGGTGCCCAAACCGAAGCAGGTGGTTGTCTTAGGGGGCCACACCCCGAGCCTTTGACCTGAACGTCTGACCCACAAGGCAGTGGAGCATCGTGAGGAGATGCAGTCCCATGGTAGCCGGTGACCAACGATTGGTTCATACGCCATTTGTTCCCGCAGGATACTGGAGCCCATGTGCACCATTGGTTTGGGGTCCGGTTAAAGCGCCAGACATTCGCTTTTCGTCCTCTCATTTTTGTAAACAACACCCTTGGTGCGAGAAGGCAGTGAGTAGGACTTCCCTGGCAGGGGCTATGTACGCATGGCCATGTGAGAGCATTTCGAGAGGGAGAGCGGACTCTCCCCACTCTCGGCCGTACCAGGGCATTTGGGGGCTTAAAGTGATATGTTTCCACTCATTACGTCTGTTTGGATTTTCTATTTACTTTTCTTTGTATATGCTCTGCATTTCCTTGACTCTGTCTTTAAATGTTTTAATTCGATTGTATGCAAGCCAGACAATCGGTTTTATGTTGCTCATTCATAGTATAATTCTGTCGAGTCCAGTTCAGTTTCCCACCCAACGAAGTGGGGGGGGGTATCGCATAGCACGTCAGGTAGAGAATATTTACACATAGTGATCATGATATCAGTAGTATGAGTAATCAACTTGACCCACACTACGTAGTGCAGATGTATTCTTATCACTTTTCGAAGGTTTTATGCTGATCAGATGCTGTGATGTGCTACTGATAAGTTCACCAGTGAATAAATGTGGAAACTATGCCCAAGTATGTTTCATGTACACATATTCAAATGTAGGTATCAGCGATACATACATTCCAGTGATAAACTTATGGGCATAGATGGGCGCGGTTGCTAGTATACTTTACATGTAATTATAGAAATCGTAGACAAGTCAGCAGACTGCATTTTGTCTGCGTCTTCACCAAATAGAACTATGTCATCGGCATATTCTAAGTCAAAAAGTGAATTTCGCGGTAGAAGTTAAACCCCTGGAAAGTCAGATGTTGAAAGTGTTAGTTCTAAAAGCACATCAACGACAAAGTTAAACAAGAATGAAGATAGTGGACAGCCCTGACGAAGACCACTTGAGGTAATCAGTTCTGATGACAGTTTGCTATAGGCTCTCACTCAACCACTTGTGTTCGAGTAGAGAGCCTTTGTAAGGTTAATGTACTGCATTGGTACTCCTTTCAGTGACAAACACTGTTATAGAACCTCACGATCAACAGAGTCAAATGCCGCCTTAAAGTCGAGAAATACTACCATTGTGGGGCGTCTGAATGTGTGTCTTTGTTCTAGGACCTGACGTACTGTGAATATCTGGTCTATACAACCACGTCCAGGTCGAAAACCAGCCTGGTTTACTCTAGTCTGCTCTTCACGAGCTTTGGTTAGATGTCGAAGTAATATTGAAGCTAATATTTTAGACACTATATTAGTCAAACTAATTCCTCTGTTTCGATAATGTAATAAGAAGACGGAGATTATCAGAACTATGTGATATATTAGCGCAATACATTTCGTGATTGTCACAAGAGGACTTTTATTCTTTCCTATAGACTGGCACAATCAGTGGTTGAGACCAGTCAGATAGGATTACGTCCTGTTCCCAGATTCTACCTAAGACCTCTGTCAATCTCGCTGCTGAAACTGGACCGCCATCCTTAAAAATATCAGGGGTAAACCTGTCAAGGCCTGCTGCTCTCCCACGCTTCAGATTTCCTATAGCTTTTCCAACTTCGTAAAGTGTCGGAGGACTTACATAAACTTGCTATTCAGGTAGACTGGAGATCGTGGGAAACCGAAGTGTGGCTGGAGGCCAGTTGAACTGATCCCTAAAGTGTTCTGCCCATCGATCCAATCTCCTGGATTGAGAATGAATAATCTGTCCATCTTTCTCTGAGATTGTTTCGCTAACAGTTGGGTTCCTAATACCGGTTTCCTTAACAAGTCTGAACAATTGTCTGTTGTTACCCATTGCCGCTGCCTTTTCCATCTCTCTTGCTTTCGCTACTCGGATCCTGGATGCGCGTTTCGGAGACGCAGCACACATCGATGGAGCGAGATTCTAAAGTCCTAGCTAAGGAAACCTGTTGTCCTATTTGGCACAGTGTTCGGACGTTGAAAGCTTCTACGTGTAGTTTAGAGCGTGGTTTCAGGAGACCATGAATAACGTTCCGCGTACTCGAATCGTTTGCACTAGCGGGGTGAGGTGATAAAGGGACGTGAGAAGGGGGGTTAGTTGTGGAGATACGAGAGTTATTAGGAGGTGTAGGAAGGATTTGAATGTGACCAACTTGGTCTCGTGTGCTGTTACGGGTATGAGGGCTGACGTCGCTTCCCGGCTGCCCACACCGTGGAAGGGTATTTCTTGAGGAACATGAAAAGGAAATCGGATTAGTGTTGGTCTTAACGACCTGGGAGCGTGACCGCAGAGCCCAAGGGACAACTGCTTGAGGCCGATTGCGCACGGCCTTTTTGTGGGAGGTTTTTAATGTGTTAGTTCCGTTCTTCAAAAGGCCTTACCGCCGCAGACGGAAATCCATGGGGTAAGGTGAGGTGTGACATTTTTAGGGTCAACCTTTTCTAACCCCTTCCTTCCTTATGAGAAGGCAGCATCGCTGCAGATGCTGGTTGTCCGAGGGAAACACCTTACTGCTGTCACCTCTCTGTACAGTCAACAGTACGACTTCGCCCTCATACCTTAAGTTGCTGCTTTTAGTCTAACCGTTTTCCAATCGACTTACGCTATTCTTCACGGGAAAAATAATTATTCTTTAAATTAAACTACTTTTATTAACACAGATTTCTGTAGTTGGAAGTATTGTATTTCTTGACTTTTTCATTATTCTGTTAATTCTGTTTTCACTGTTATATAGTCTGAAACGTCTCATATGTTTAATTAATATTCTTCTTAGGAACTCTCAGCTTCTCTTTCCCATTTTCCTTATTTGGTATTCTTTATTACTTTTTGTTTGCCCATTATTTCAGAAGTCGACCATGTTCAATTGGAGATGATTTAGGATTTTGGCATGATCTTTATTCATGGAGACAAGTAGTTGAAGAATGTATCATTAGCTGTCACCCATTTTCCCAAAAGTTGAAATCCGAAAATGTAAGTTATGTCATTTTGATTTCTTCATTGATTGAAATTGTACGTACACACCATTGGATTCCGGCCCAGTAGTCTAGAGGTTAAATGTCTACTTGCAAGACCGATGACTGTGGGCTCAATCCCCTGTAGTTGTGAATGTGTAGTGCTGAGGAATCCCATACTAGTAGGAAACAACTGTTCAGTGCTCCCCGATTTTTAACGGCGGTCTAGCTAAGATAAGATCATGATTTAAACTACGAAAATTCTACAATCTCCGCAAAACTCCAATACAGATTTTTAAAAATATCAGTTTTTTTGTCGTTAAGTTTGCATTTATGGGCTTTTAAATAATTCAATTGCAAATACTGCATATCTGTTTGTTATAACCTGTTAATGTTTTCCGAAATCTCCGTCGCCAATTGTTATATCTTGTTACCCGCCGATTAGAGAGCAGCGAATTATCGATCGAGACAGTGACACATAAAACACGTGCGAGCAGCCTAGAGTTCTGATTGGTCCTGCTTCCCTGTCTAGCCTAGCCAGTTGAGTCCATAACACAAGTCCCAGCCTCAGAGATATTAATCCTTATATTTCAAACATACTGAGTTTATATACCGATCAAACAGACCACAACGTACCAATAAAATATGAAACAACATTTGTACAATAATTGGCCAGATATCGCTGTGAATGAGGGAGGTAGTAATTAATGTACTGGGTATAACTCAAGAATGGTAAATCGCATAATAATAGTTCATATGTCAAAATAAAACTCATAATAAGAGGGACATGGATATGAACAGATTAGTTACATAACAATTATACGATAAAAATATACTCGTAATATCGGTCCATAATTGGATCCCAAAAATTACCATTCACTTTTCTTATTGGGATATAACACTGTTTCAGAAACTGCTGTTTTTCTCATTTTGCCTGTTTATTTGCTAATTTACTCATTGAAAACAGTTAAGGAACGAATGAAAACTCGACAAGTTCTACGTTAAATGTTCAAGATAACTAAAACTCAAGAAGAAAATAAGCAAACAATTTCACTTGTTACACTGATGTCCTTATTTTAGTCAGACCACTTGAGACTTGTGACAGTATGTTTTGATTCTCATCACTGAAGAGATCTTAATCAGATAGATACTTTTGTACTTATGGATTTAATTCAAACTAACAGTGGATTGACTAAATTAATCAGCTTTAATTAACTGAATTTTCAAAACCCTGATGATCGTGTGTGATTGTCTTATCAACTAGTTGGTTAAGACCAGTTTTCAAAGTGTAGTGTAAAAAGTGTCATACACAGTCATTATTGAAGACCTACTTAACTAACTTCTTCATTCATATGCTTTATGCAAGTTTTATTTCTGATTACTTAAATCATCATTATTTTCTAGGGTTACTCAGATGATGTTAAAATGTTGTGTACACTGCATTCGTTCACTTGAATCCGAAATATACTAAGGATGTTAACTGTAGAATTATATTTTATTGGTTTAACCAATAAACTTCAATTTATTATGTCGTTAATAATAATTATGTTCCAGCTACATTTATGTAGACAGTTAAATAGAATATAACATAATAGATATACATATTTAGAAGATCGCTTGATAACTATTATGTTATTTTTAATGCAACTTTGATGTTATAAGTGTATATTACCCCTATTTCATTTAACGCAGAACAAATGTATTATTTATCATTACTGCTAAACCAAACTTGTTAAATATCAAATAAAAGTGTTAGTATTTTTTGTCGTTTGTGTATAGAGTACGAATGACTGAGAAAATGAAATAATTCTCTAACCCTTTTCTTTCTATTTTAAATTATTTTTACAGAGTAATTTAATTGCGCTATGTCAGCGTGAATTAGCATTGAGCCAATTACAACTTGCTCGTGGTGCACGCAAATGTCGTTTCCCAAGCATTGCTCAACAACATTTAGACAGGTAAATAATATCGGTTAGAAATGACAAACGATTAAACTATAATTGGTCACTTTAGCCTAACTATTTACCTAGGTGTAAAATATTTAAATAAAAAGGTGATACAGTTGGAATTTGGAAAATATAAAGGGTTTAACAATCGTTTCGCGCTAATTCTTATTTATTTTCTTTAAAGTCGAGACAGAAATTCATATTTCGATGATATATAACAATATAATTCATTAGTTAATGTAAGTTAGATCACTATTGAAAAACTAGAAGCATTGGACGATCGTTTCTTCCCAGTATAGAACTCCTCAGCTGTGCGCACACACAATCCCGCATGTACTTACTAGTGACTAGCTTCAAGATGGATTTCCTGGAGTTCTAGTGAGGAGTCGCGGTCAGTGGAGTCCAATCGGTGTCGGATGTGAGACAGTTATCCACCTTAGAAAATGGACGAATGGTCGCGCAAGATCATGAATCGGTTGGAGTTAGAGATTAACACCGCTGGAGGTTAGATCAGTAATCTAGAGTTTAAGCGTTCGCGCGCGAGACCGAAGGTCCTGGGTTCGAGTCTCTCGTGCGTAATTGTGGATGCGCACTGCTGAGGAGTCCCATACTAGAATGAAACTGCCGTTCAGTACTTCCAGGTTTTCAGTAGTGGTCTAAATTAGATCAATTCATGAATTCAACTACGTTCTTCACAAATCCCCATACCAATAATCAGATGATTATTCATTTTTCACTTATAATGCATGAAATCATATATGATATTGACCATAATTAGAAAATAGATTAACTGAAAGTTGTATAAATAATCATGTGTTTTTGGTGACGGTTTATTTGATAAATGAATACTTCATAGTTGAATAACATTTTTATTTTCTCAATACAATTATTTGTTGTGTTTATTAATTTATTTGTAAATTAGATATACACGTATGAATCTGCCACCATTATTTGAGAAAACTAAACAAGAAATCAAGTTAAAATTAACCGATCTACGTAAAGATGAACTTTTGGAGGTGAGTTCATAAAAAAGAATATTGTAATACAAATATTTTTCCACAATTTCATTATTTAATTATTCATATTTTGTTGTTTATCTTTCCCACTGTAGTTATATTTAAAATGTTGCTTACTTTCAATGAAACTTGAATAAAATCCAAATTAAGGTTCAGCTTAAAGTTTTTGGTAACAATAAAGATTAAATATCCGACAACGTTAATTTGTAATTCAATCGGTTGATATTTTTGATTATTTGTAGTTGGCTTATGTGCATGCTTTGCTGTTTCCCCTGATATAACCATTGTTCAAGTTTTTATAGAGTGTGAGGTATGTGGTTAGCAGTTGAGTCCAGGACAAATGTTGCACAACCCAGTAATGATCAGCTTTCAGTAGCTCAGTGGATATTGCGTTAGTCGTTTTGAGGGCAAAGGCACTGGGTTCGAGTCCTGGTGTAGACATCAACACTGAGGTGCTGCCATATATTAGCGAGCCTTTAATAGGATAAAAACTCACTTCCTGGATTTCAATGGTAGCCACATTCTATTAGTTCATCAACCTTTGGTTAAAGAAGCACAGATTTGTTATAGATATCAGGTTATTATTATCTAGTCAGATTTTAGATGCCAGTTTGGCAACTTGAATCGATGTATAAAATTACTAAATCATGTCATACTTTTATTAGTGAAAGAGAAACCGAAAATTCAATGTTTTTTATTGATATACACATGTTCATGATGACTTAAGTAATGTATGTCCTGTCCATTTCCATCTTCTTTTCCTAATTTCCTCTTCAGCTGGGAGCTGGTTGATTCTCTCCCACAAAAGGCTGTTGCTGATGGTATTCGGCCAATGGTTGTTGAGCATCTTGCGTAGACAGCTATTGATAAATACTTGCACCTTTTTGATGATAGTTGTAGTAGTTCTCCATGTCTCAGCTCCGTACAGTAGAACTGCCTTGACGTTCGTATTGAAGATTCTGACTTTGATATTGATTGAAAGTTGTTCTGAGTTCCATATGTTCTTTAATTGAAGGAATGCTGTCCTTGCTTTACCAATCCTCGTATTTACGTCTGCATCTGACCCTCCTAGTTCATCGATGATGCTTCCCAGGTATGTGAAGGATTCTACATCTTCTAGAGTTTCTTCATCAAGAGTGATTGGATTGCTGTTCTCTTTGTTGCATTTGAAGACCTTGGTTTTCCCTTTGTGTATGTTGAGGCCTACTGATGCAGAGACTGCTGCTACACTGGCTGTGTTTATCTGCATTTGTTCGTGTGTACGCGATAGGAGGGCTAGGTCATATGCGAAGTCTAAATCGTCTAATTGGTTCTGAGCTGTCCATTGTATGCCGTGTTTTCTCTCACATGTCGAAGTCTTCATAATCCAGTCGACCACCAGAAGAAAGAGGAAGGGAGAGAGTAGACAGCCTTGTCTTACTCCGGTCCTCACTTGGAATGCATCTGTCAGCTGTCCTCCATGCACTACTTTGCACTGTAGTCCGTCGTATGAGTTCCGGATAATATTGACAATGTTCTCGGGAACTCCGTAGTGTTGAAGAAGTTTCCATAACGTTCTGCTATCTACACTGTCAAATGCCTCCTCATAATCAATGAAGCTGATGTACAGTGACGATTAACACTAGACCACCATGGAAAACCTAGGACGAAACGGCCGTACAGTGCTTCCAGGTTTTTCATGGTGGTCTAACTTTGATCGGCTCATGAATTCAACTATTAAAATACTCAATTAATATAGGTTTTCTGTACAATGCATTTTTTCAAAGTACATGTTTTATAATAAATGAAATCTTTCAGGGATTGGAACTTATGGAGAAGACTAATATTCAACAGTTTGAAAAGAAAGACCGAGCTAAATTCTTCTGCTATAAGGCTGTTTTCTTCTCTCATTTTAATAAGTAAGTTTCGTAATTGCTTTTATTTCAGATGTGTTCAAACTATTGTTGATTTATTTGCTTTCTTCTCGATAACTGAGATATAGAATGTGTCCAAGACGTTTTAGCAGTTTTACAATTCATCATTTTTGGTGGAGTTTTGGAATACTTATCCTATTTCCAGTCATGTTTTACCAATAATTCCGGTTAACTAATTTTTTCAAACGAGTTTATTTTAATAATCTCTCTTGACATGTTATAATACATTTATGCACTTTTTCTCTCTTCCATTTCTACTTATATAGAGGCGATGAAGCAACAAAGAATTTCGGTTATGCAACTCAAATGCAAGACAATCTACATAAAGTTTGGTCAATTTATGGTGACTTTTTGGAAAATGTTTATTCTAGCTATCCATCTGTGTAAGTTCTCCATTTTTCCAGTTGATTATTTTTATGATAAATCATGTTTATTTTTATTTTATTTATTTTTAACACATAGGCATTTGCACAAGGAGGCAACAAATACATATGCGCCACACAAGTCTCAATTGATTTGTGTGAGGGCTGTGATACTGCTCGGGTGCCCAAACCGAAGCAGGTAGTTTTCTTAGAGGGCCACACCCCGAGCCGTCGACCTGAACGTCTGACCCACAAGGCAGTGGAGCATCGTAAGGAGATGCAGTCCCATGGTAGCCGGTGACCAAGAAATTGGTTCATACGCCATTTGTTCCTTCAGGCCCCCAAATGCCCTGGTATGGCCGAGAGTGGGGAGGGTTCGCCCTCCCTCTCGAAATACTCTCACACGGCCACGCGTATACAGCCTCTGCCAGGGAAGTCCTACTCACTGCCTTCTCGTGGCGGGGGTGTTGTTTACGAAAATGAGAGGACGAAAAGCGAACGTCCGGCGCTATAACCGGATCCCAATTCTATGGTGCACATGGGCTCCAGTATCCTGCGGGAACAAATGGCGTATGAACCAACTTTTGGTCACCGGCTTCCATGGGACTGCATCTCCTCACGATGCTCCACTGCCTTGTGGACTAGACCTTTAGGTCAAAGGCTCGGGGTGTGGCCCCCTAAGAAAACCACCTGCTTCGGTCTGGGCACCCGGGCAGTATCTCAGCCCACTCACTAAAACTATGATGAACAATTTGCTTATGGAAAATATTCCTTTCTATCTGATTAACATTGAAATAACTCGTACTATTATTATTATTATTATTACTCTACCACGTCATTTATTCACCCTCTCTTATTCCTACTTTATATATGCGTTTCGACCTAGACAGCAACTCACCTATGGTGAAAATTCAGCTTTATCTAAACGTTCCCGAGTCACTGCCTGGTTGAAAATTGTATGTTACTACCGAACATGAGTACTGAAGCAGTTTTTCTGAAACCGCGTGCACCATTCAAACTGGCTACCTTCAACGTTCGCACACTTATGCAGGTCGGACAACAGATAGGGCTGGCTATGTCTTTGGAAAGTCTTAATATTGATGTGTGTTGTCTATCCGAGACCCGTATTCAGGACTCTGGTGAACTACTACAAGTTCGCTCTCCATCTGTCACTTCAAAAAGCTTGTTTTATGTGCGTTTATCCGGGGACCCTGTGGCATCTTCGTCTGGTCTTGCTGGCGTTGGTGTCGCACTAAGCGCAAGAGCTGAGGCAGCACTAGTCGACTGGATCCCCATTAACAGTCGGTTATGTGCTGTTAGATTAGAAAGTTCCATCAAAGTGAGAAGAAATAGGCGTGAGAAACGATGTCTTTTCGTCATCTCTGCCTATGCCCCGACAGATTGCAGCCCGGATGCAATCAAGGACGAGTTCTACCATCAGCTAACTGTTCTTCTCCAGAAAGTGCGTTCGACAGATATTGTAGTACTAGCTGGAGACTTGAATGCTCAGGTCGGGCGTCTAGGCACAGAAGAGAGTCGTTTAGGTGGCCGATGGGGACTCGTTGGTCGCAGGACAGATAACGGGGAACGTCTACTGCAATTATGCACAGACCACAACCTGTTTCTGGCTAGCACTAACTTTCGGCACAGTCATCGCCGATGTGCCACCTGGCGTCCTCCTTCTGCATCTCAAGCCTGGACTCAGATTGATCACATCGTGATCAGCTACCGCTGGCGCGGTTGTGTACAAGACTGCCGCTCCTTTTGGAGTACCTATCTGGAATCTGATCATGCTCTGGTCTGCGCCAATCTTACCTTACTTTTCAGTGGACAACGAAGTGACCGCCACCAAAGGATTGAAGCCCGTCGGTCTACTCCGGGTGACCGTGAGTTTGACCTCAGACGAAGGATGTTACGTAATGAAATCGGGCAAAGCTTGCGTAAGGACCGAGAAGCATGGTGGTCGGAGCGTGCCAGTGAGTTGGAAGCAGCAGCTGCATCTGGTAATTACCGGAAGCTCTTTCAACTCATCCGAGCCACTGGCAGCAAGAAGTTTGGTGTGAGCGAAACAATTTGCGAGGATGACGGAACGCCAATCACTAACATCCATCGACGTCTTGGACGATGGGCAGAATTCTTTGAAGGGCAGTTCAACTGGCCTGCTGCTCCGGCAACATCGGTCAGACTGTCCTGCCCTCCATGGCCAGTGACGACTGATCCACCAAATGAGGCGGAAGTCCGCAAGGAACTCCAACTCTTGAAACGTTACAAATCTCCGGGCCCAGATGACTTACCTCCGGCTCTTTTTAAAGATGGTGGCGACTTTCTGACTAAGGGACTGACGACGTTGTTTACAAAGATCTGGGAACTAGAGTGTGTACCAACGTCATGGAATGAGTCGATAGTTGTCCCTATCTTTAAAAAGGGTTCACGTTGTTCCTGTAACAACTATCGGGGGATAAGTCTACTTCCGATTGCGTCCAAGATATTGGCTTCCGTCATACTTCGTAGGTTGTTCAGAACCCGAGAAGGATTGACTCGCGAGGAGCAGGCTGGGTTTCGTTCTGGTCGAGGATGTATTGACCATATCTTCACCCTCCGCCAAGTGTTAGAACACCGCTATACTTATCAAAGGCCAACAATCGTAGTGTTTCTTGATATCAGGGCTGCCTTCGATTCGTTGGACAGAACTGTTCTCTGGGATTGTCTATTGAAGAAGGGTGTGCCTGAGAAGTTTATTAACATCCTAAAAGCCCTATACACAAACACCTCAGGTAGAGTGAGGGCATACAACCACCTTTCTCCACCATTCCATTCGAGCAGTGGGGTTAGACAGGGTTGCCCAATCTCACCATTCCTCTTCAACTTTGCCATCGACGACATTCTGGAAACAGCTCTGACGGATGTAAGTAATGGTGGTGTGGATCTGTTGCCTGGAGAAAGACTTCTCGACCTTGAGTATGCGGATGATATTGTCTTACTGTGCGAGAATGCCCAAGCCATGCAATCCGCACTTAATCAGTTGGTAATCAATGTCCGTAGGTATGGTATGTGCTTTGCACCTTCGAAGTGCAAAGTATTTCTACAAGACTGGCAGGATTCTAATCCTGTACTCACTCTGTATGGTGAGCAGATTGAAGTAGTCGAGAAGTTCGTGTATCTAGGTAGCTGCATAAGTGCTGGTGGTGGTGTGAGTGATGAGATCAATGCACGTATAGTGAAAGCCAGAACGGCTTATGCCAATCTAGGCCATCTTTGGCGCCTTCGTGATGTTAGTCTGGCTGTAAAAGGTCGGATATACAACGCGTCGCTGAGAGCAGTTTTGCTCTATGCTTGTGAAACCTGGCCTCTCCGAGTTGAGGATGTTAGACGACTCTCTGTGTTCGATCATCGTTGTCTCCGAAGGATTGCTGGCATCCAGTGGCAACACCATGTCAGTAATGCAGAGGTTCGGCATCGAGTGTTCGGGCACAGAGACGATAATGCAATTGGTGTCATCATCTTGAAACGTCGACTTCGGTGGCTTGGACATGTTCTACGAATGTTGTCCCAGAGAATTCCACGTCGTGCATTATTTGCCGACTCTGGGACTGGTTGGGAAAAGCGGAGAGGTGGTCAGTGTATGACATGGTGTCGTGGTATGAAAGAAAGCTGCAAAGGGCTAGCTTCTGTTGGTCCTTCACGACTCCTAGGTTGGGGTCCGAGAGACGGTGTAACGCAGTGGCTAGAGACGTTATTGGATATGGCTCAGAATAGAAGCCAGTGGCGATCGTGCTGTAACCTCTTACTTTCTTCATAGAAAGTGGTTATATCTTCCTTAATTGAAAGATCTCTTCTGATTGTACCTTTCCGTTTCCCCCACCATTGTTCTCTCTCTCTCCCCCTTTTTTTAATTCCCCACGTTCATTACTTTTTTCTCTTTTCTCCTTCTCTTCAAATTATCATTGTTTTGTGTGGCGCATATATATTTGGTGCCCCCCTGTACCAATATTTATGTGTTCAAATAAATAATCAGGATACTGGAGCCCATGTGCACCATTGGTTTGGGATCCGGTTGAAGCGCCGGACATTCGCTTTTCGTCCCCTCATTTTCGTAAACAACACCCTTGGTGCGAGAAGGCAGTGAGTAGGACTTCCCTGGCAGAGGCTATATACGCGTGGCCATGTGAGAGCATTTCGAGAGGGTGAGCGGACTCTCCCCACTCTCGACCGTACCAGGGCATTTGGGGGCATGATAAATCATGAAGAAAAAACATATGTAATTCGATTATATTTATGGTCTTCGTATTATTGCTTTTATGTACCTTTCAAATGTAGTTTGTGTAATTCGCTTGATTCTTTTTAGAAAACGTGAAGTTGCTGTATCGACAACCGGTATTTTTGCTATGCTAGCGCTTATGGAAGCTGCTAGCGTTTCTGGTGATATTGAACGAAAAAGCCGGGGTGATATTGCCAAGTGTTTATGGTTATTAACACTTGATGATGTTAACGGTCAACAACGCTTGGGACATACTTTTGAAGCTAGAGCTAGTCGAGTTCGACCAGAAGTTTTTTTACCATGGCTTCCGGATCTTGTAGCATCTCTTTTACGTCCAGAAGGTCGTTTTATCGTTCCCGCTTTACGTAGAGTAATAATTGCCTATCCTACAGTTCTTTATGGTCATTTAAAAGGTTTACAACATCAGTTAGCTACTGAAGTTAACAATGATCAAAAACTTGCTGAAATCATTCATAATCCTGAAAGTAAAGATGATCCTTATATTATTGCTATTCAAAATCGTATTACATCAACACTAGGTTCAGGAAAAGAAGCATTCATAAAATGCGGTAATTTGTCTTGGTCATTGAATCGTGGAACTGGTACATTTGATAATCATAATTCCGATGGACAATCAGGTTACAGTTTTGGTAGTACACATCAACCATTTTCATTATCTTCAACATCTTGTAACACTCCTAAAATTGGTTCTCATAATAACAATAATAATAATTCCAACACCATTTATCCTAATTCTTGTGGAGTTAATTCATCGGTTTCGTCGAATTCTAATGCTTTGAGTAATTCGAAGAAAAAGAAGCGTGTAATTGTTGTTATGCGAGGTGTTGAAGGTGAACGATTGAATACGTCACCTAGTTCTTCACCACCGCCACATCCACTAACACCAACACTAAAACAACAGAAACCTGATTTAATTGGACAATCATCTCGTTCAATAAATCATCCTAAAAAGGTTGTTATTCGTGGATCAGATCATGACTCAACAATACCTCCTAATGCAGATCACGATCAAATTGATTATTTAAGTGAAGATGCTGAAATGACAGAATTAGAAGAAGATACTGAGATAACTGATGCTGATCGCGATGATGAGGATGATGATTTCACTGGAAATGAAGATATAGGATTATATGAAACTGATTCAAGTACTAAAAATGTTATCAATGATTTAGAGCCCAAAGTTGTCTTATCCGATATTGATGATGATGCTGTTAGTAGTGATCCTGTTACTGGCGCCATTTCAACTGATTTAGTCGAACAAACAGTAGATATTGGCTATGGAAATTCAGTAACTGGTTGTTTGTCTAATTCAGTTGTTCATGGTCTTCACTATGCAAATATTCTAATTAATCAAGTAAGCCTTTTTTCATTTGATTTACAATGGCTTATTTTCATAGTCTCCTTGTCATGTTTATTTTGATCTACAAAGAATATTTCATATAACATGTGCTTTAGTGTATCAGTCAAAGGTAGAATCTATCTTATGGTTATATATTATAAAAACGAGGTCCTCATCCCATTCTATGAAAAAATATTGGTTATAAGAGAAAACTCCAAATGTAATATATTTTATATGCCTAGTTATTCTTTTCTATCGTCGTTGACACACTACTACTGTGGTATGTGCTACTGATACCGAAAAAGATAAGCAGTATGTGTCACCAATCGAATGTGAAATGCCCGGAGGCAGAAGGCTAAGAAGATCGAAGAGAAGAGAACGAAAACAGAGAATGATTGGTGTCGAAACGAAGGAACAATCAAGTCTGAGACAATTGATTTTACGTTTTACAAATGAAGTATTGACTGTGTGGTTCTCAGATTTTACTAAGACATTCTGTAATTTTGTATTCAAGTATATTTGTTTGTACCCATTACACTACTACTACTACGACTTTGATATTCGTCTTGTTTATTTTATTTGCGTCCTGATATATTTTATAGTAACTAAAACTAAGCCATATATCTAAGAATCTACTTTGCTTATATACTGACTGGAATGACTGAGTGAATACTTAAACTATCTTGAATTTCATTAAGTACCACGACAAACTACCGAAGACGTGTGTAGTTTGTTTATTATGAAGGGGAAATCGAGTATTTCAACGTTACGTGTTTGTGAATATATCAAATAAACAACTTAAATTCTATGTTCACTTAAGACCTTGACTTAGATTTTAACTGTATTGTACTCTGGCTGATCTCTTTTTCTGAAAGAATGAATTTAGAAACGTTGAGAACTTTAGCCAATTATTTATTGTATTAGATAACGAGAACCTTGAATCTGATTTATTGCCAGTGGGATTTATTTTAACTTTTAATCGTACTCTGTTTATGTACCGAAATTAATTGAGGTTAGTCTAAAAAGACTGTGTTATGTCTTAAGGCCCGTCGAATATCATATGACAAAATCGCCGATCTGAATACTGATTTCTATGACATTGTTTTTGTGTTAAACCAATAATGCGACAAAACAGCGCTAGCAGTCTTGGGTCAAATCGGGGTCCCTATAGGTCTTCTGTATATTAACTTCTCTCCTAGCCCAGCCCGTTCAATCCAATACACAAATATCAGCCTCCGTTGTATGAATCTTATATTTCGGACATCTGTGGTTTATATACAAGCAGACCAGACTGCACCACACCAAACTGTGAATTACAACTGTTGTATCAAAGTGGTTTAATCTAATCAGCTTCCCAAACTGAACTATTACAGTAGAGTTCAAATCATTGACTACATAGCTTAATGTTGTCTAGTTGAACAGTGTCACTATACTTATATTCGTATTCATTCATTCGTTTTCTTTGGTGTACAGTTCTTATTTAGTTAGTTTTTCAGTTTCCCTATTTATTAACAAGTTTCTCTTTATTTCTAGCTTAAACGTAAGCATCCAGCTCGTTTATATGTAGTGGATTTATTCACAAATGAAGTCGGTGGTCGTTTAAGGCCTTCATGGTCTGAACAATTTTTATCTCAACTATGCTCAGTTCTGGATTATCTTCAACGTCTTGCGTACGCTCATTTACATCCGGGTAGACGGTGGAATTTTAAAAGTTTGGAAACACAAACTATTCCACTTTGGTTAGCTACTGAATTAAAAATAATGGCCCGTTATTGTGGTATGCCAAGAAACACATTTCGCTCGTCGCATATGACAGAAAATACAACTCTTCACAGTTCAGTCAAATTTGATTCAAGCTCTCAAGTTGTTATGTCTACCGATTCTCAAAATGATGAAAAAGAGAAGTCGAAATCCCCTCAATCAAAATTGACTACCCGAGCATCCGCTTGTATCAAACCAAAAACCAATCTTGATACTGCTTCTGAACAAGATGATCCTAAATTATCCAATGAGCCACAAAAGCAATCTGTTTTATTGCCAAACATGCCAGCTTTTCACGAAGTTGATCGAATAGCATCTGAAGTCTTATCTGCAGAGTGTGAAAAAGATCCATTTTTCAAACACCTCCGTGATACACTGTCTACTGAAATGACGAATTTACAAAATGAGAGCATATTGGTAAGGGACATAAAATTTGATAGAGTTAAGTCATTAGTAATTTGGGTGAGGCTATAAGTTATGGACGAACCAATCAGGTATAAGATAACAGGTCTCGGATTTTGGAGCGAAATTCACTCATCAGTTTGGCAAAATAGAGTTTCGGCATTATAGCTGATGTCAGTTCGTGATGAAAACCCTAAATGTAATTCCTAACTCTAACTATCAACTGTAAATCGCAATTCGAAGTCCGCACGCTGGTTTATAACCATCGTTTGGTCCTAGTTACTAGTTGGATACTCAAGGTCATTTTAGTGTCGCTCAAAGACCGTTCATAAATTATAGTCTCACCGCAATTTACAGCGAAATAGTTTTATTCACACATTTCATAGCATCAAATTAAATATACGATATTGGTTACATTTATTGCTTGGTGTAGAATATTTGTGCATTTAAATATATGTCTTCTCATTTCGTTTTTCCGATTCTGCAAATAATTAAATATGTGATCGTTCTTTTTTTTCCTTTAGTCTCTAATCGAAAAGCTGACACGACATTGGATCCCAATGGTTGAACAACATGTAGCTAAATTACCTGTTCGTACTCATATTTCCAGTTACGGGGCAAAACGCCTATTAGAACTACCTAATATAGTCTCACCTGTCAGTACACCTATTACGCCTTCCTCGAAATCAAATGTATCAAATGCACCACAACTATATTCTGTTTTCTCCTCAATTCCGACATTTCCTTGTCTCGAACTCCCTGGGGAGTCAGGGATTCTCCAGTCATCTGCGGTAAATCTAGGTTCAATGGCTAATTCCCATCATTCTCAAAACGAATCCAGTCAACAAATAGGTGGCTACATTAATAATATTCCTTTATATCTTCATGTAGCTGAAATTATGCCACACGTGGAGCGAATTCGTTGTTCATCTGGTGCATTTGCTCCACCTGCCCGTCGTATCGGTCTCCGAGCTAGTAATGGAAGGTTATTTTTTTACGATTTACCTTGTCCAAGCACTCCTCCAATTATGGATCTAGCTGTCACGCAGATAGATGCATTGAATGGTGCAAAATGTCATGAACTTCTCAATGCAATTTCTATTAATGAATCTACCAATCTTGAACATCTAACTGGAAAGGAATTTTGCCCATCGGCTTATATAAGCTGGAGACAGAATGGTCCTCTTCAATTATTCCAGATGATTAATTCTGTATTGCTTGGACAGCCGGAAACAGCTAAAAGAAATCTCTCATTATTTGTTTCAAGGTAATGGTATTTTTCTGATGAATTTTATTTCCTCTTTGTAGTTTTTTGCAATGTTTATATTTTAAGCGAATAAATACTTTATATCCATCGAATAGCTCACCTCATATGTATAACCTAAAGAGATGTAGCCAATTCCTTTAATTCAAAATAAAGTTAACTAGACTTTAATCATTGAATTTCAACTATTTCCACCTTTAGTAACTCTCTTCAGATCTGTCATATTTTGCTCTGGTTATCTTTTACTGATTTATGAGATGAAGTTTCTTGTAGATCCAGATCCTGTATGAGATTCTTTGATTAGATGTAAATGCATTCCACGGTGGTGGCATTATCGTGATAACTCTGACCCAGTTTTTTCTTTAGTCTATACCTAAAGATTGTTTGATAGATTTCCCAACTAACTATTGTCGATATATCTCTAGGAACACTGAAACGTTTTCACACATAATTCGTACAGTACTCTCAATTAATTCTCTCCGGGAAGATACGAAGGCACAACATCTTGTTACCTAAAGTGTAACGAAAAAAACTGAGTATCCCCATTGAATGTAATCCACAGATGCAGGGCATTTAAGTTATTGAATTCTAGTAGGCTTGAATCAATTTCCAAAACTACCCCTAGTCCTCAGTATTCAAATTTCTCGTAAAATTTTTGTGAAAATATTCTTTTAATTTTTTTCCTTAATATTTTCTTCTGTACTAATTTATTAATATTTTAATTACTATATTGAATTCAAAAAACTTTGTAAAATAATATTTCGAAACCTCAAAAACATCACGATTACCGTGATACGGCAAGATCTCTCCATGTATACTTTTTTGTTTAGTTGAAAAATTTATGTACTGCAGTGGTGTCTAAACAAATTCTCTGTTCTGTATTTGTAGTTAAAAACGGTTTACTTATCGTTATGTCCATTTAACAGTTTCAAATTAAAGACCAAGACTTAACTGACTTTGAATTAATCCCATGTAGATTATTGGTTCTTACTTTCATTTCACTAGGCGAATGGAAGTTGGTCCTTCTGGACTTTACTTAACTCAAGTTGGATCATCTGTATCGGCAGCGAATGTTAGTATAGCCAGTGCATGTCCTCTACCATCTGCGAACCCAGTAAATAATCGTAGACTTACAGCTTTAGCAAGACCACCTCCTGTTGGACCCAGTTTTCCATCAACCTCCGTGGATGAGAATCCAACTAATCACGTTTCATCATCAACATCATTCTGTGAAGAAGCTTTCAAACAATATTCTTGGTCTTTATCTTTTGCTGAATCTCATTTAACTCCACAGAATATCGATAAGAATCAATTATCTTGTCAAGGAATCTTGGAATCTCTTAAGGTAAATTATCTATGCTTATTATTTTTTTTATTCGTAAATCGGTCTGCTGTGCAGTGAAAAAAGGAAGTGCTTAACATCGAACAGAACAATTATATGTGTCTCACTAAACAATTTCTCATTCCTTAAGATTTCTAGAATTGTTATTTTTCTCTATTCAATGAATTGTAGAAAATAATACGTAGTTAAATTTTAGCTGATATCTCCATGATAATTTTCAATAGTTAAAACATTCGACTTCCAACCGTCAACAGAGTTCTATGTTCAAACACCTCTATCGCTTCACATACTTTTGTTTAAATTGCTAAAAAGTATCTGTCTAGCTCTTTCACATGTAAACATTTTGACTCAATGCTGATTACACTAATCTTTGCTTGATTTAAGTGAATTATTTTAAACAATCGTACTCGAAACTCTGAAGTTATTTAATTTTTCATGAGACATATACTACTTTTATAAGCAGAAATGGATGTTGACTTGCAGTGTATTCAAAGAATCACGTTTCGTTCTGTTTAGGGCTTGTCAGCTGATTATGCCTGCATCCCATAGTTGATGTTTTCTTGAAGATTCGAACCTAGTACCGTTCGTTTCAGACACCAACGCGTTACCATTTAACTACTGGGTCCAGATAGCCAATGGTGAATATCATCTATACTTATATTCCATATACTCAAATGTATCCAACAATATATGTTATGTTGACTATAAATAATTAGGTGATGTTTTATCTCCACCTACATAATATGTCTACAATCGAATTGAGAAAAGATATAATTTTGGATTCTTCATGATAATTTTGATTATAATTTGTAAGTATTTGACATCTCTAATTCCTTATTCCCTATAATCATGAAACTACATCTCAACATAATGTCATTTATTAGTACATGATTTCTTCATTTAAAAATTTAATGAAATATGTGTATCAAAATAGTTTTTTTAAAGCTTCTAACCGATATTTTCTTTATTTGTTTTATTGAAACTTTTAAAGGCCCGAATCCGCGTACCATCTCCTCCACCTGGACCACTACCGAATTTAATGACTATTCAACCAACTAGCTTGATTAATCAATCAACAGTTGTTGGAAGTGCTGCTATGGCTTTGGAGGCTATTGGACGTCCAGCTGGATTAGATGCTGGTTGTCGTTGTGTTTGTAATACTGTTTTTGGTATTTTAGAAAAATCTAATTGTACATTATTGTTTAACTCTAAATACAAACAGAAATACAAATTTGATGATTTATTACAATCTATGAAATCGGAACACCAACAAGAAGGTAAAATAAAAACTAAATCTTCCTCTGATCGAATTCAAAGCTTAATGAATTCTTCTATTCTTAAAAATTCACCAACTGGTTATCGAAATTTCATTTGTTTATTTTATGAATATATTTCAAAAATATCCAATCAGAATGAAATTACAAATCATGATTTATTTAAAATATTTCTTGATCTTTCATCACGAATTCCACAGGCTCCAAATATTCGTGATCCTGTATTTTCAAAGTAAGTTAATAGTTAGTAGTACTATTGATAAAATAATGATTAATGATTCTTATAAATTTAAAGTAAATAACACTATTCATTGTTGTTACCTTATTTTCTGTGTGCATTTTAGCCTGGGAACGTTTGGTAATGATAATGATGATTTAGATAATCAAAAGATGACTTTGGAATCTTTAAAAAATCGATTAGAATTCCCACGTGGTAAACTTCTTCAGCATTGGGCAAAAAATCAAATGCTTGATTCTGAAAGTTATTGGTTGTTGCGCCGTCGTCTAGCACATAATCTTGGAACTTATGGACTTATAGAACGATTGTTTCATTTAACACCTCTTCATCCAGGTTGTCTAGTAATCGATCCACGTTCTGGTCATGCTGAAGCGCATCATGTCTGTTTTGGATTGCCAGGAGATAATTCTTCGTCAGAACAATCTCATTTGTTGAATTCAGAAAAAGGATTTAATCAACCATACTTTATTTCTTGTTTCAATCAATCCATGCTTATACACAAGCTGGAAAAATCTGGTTAGTTAACATTTTTCAATAGTGGTCTAATATCAGTCAGTTCAGTCAGTCAGTAACAACGTGGAACTTCGTACGTACGTACGTACGTCAGTTCGAGTTGCCATACCACATTAGCACAGAGATTCAGTTATCGATTCAAATCCCGTAGTGGTAGAGGTAGTGAAAGTATAAGTAGTGATAGGGAACATTAAGGTTTGATGATGTTATTTAAGGAGTATAGTCCAGTGGAATAGATTTAGAAAGAAAATAAAGGACATGAATAATTCAGAAGATTAGAGTTTGAGAGAACACAAAGAGTGGATGCACCTGCACCATTGCAAACGATTTTGAGCCATGTCATTCAAGGTCTCTAACCATCGGTTGCTATCGACTCGCGGACCCCAACCAGGTAGTCTACACCTACCAACATGGCTCAATCCACTTGTCAGTGACTTCATGGATTTGTGCCATGCTTTGGTCTGGCCGCCCCTAACTTTCTTCCAACCTATTCCTACACCATAAAATATCGCACGTCGGGGCAGTCGGTGGTCTGGCATGCGTAACACATGTCCCAGCCATCTCAACTGATTAAGTTTCACTACTTCCTCAATTGATTTGCCATCTTTACGCAGTACCTGTTTCCTAACAACTGAGTCGCTTACTCGGTGGTCCCAGGATATACGAGCAATGTTTCGAAGACACCTATGATCGAATACTAGTAACCTACGAATATCCTCTACTCTTACTGGCCATGTTTCACTGCCATAAGGTAGGACGGAACGAACTTCTGAGCAGTAAACACGTCCTTTAGTTGATAGACGGACATCTCGCCTACACCACAAATGACGCAAGTTGGCAAAAGCTAGTCGAGCCTTCTGTATCCGTGCTGAGATTTCGTCACACACCGAACCACAAGGGCTGGTGAGACCTCCGAGATAAGTGAAGCGGTCGACACGCTCAACTATTTCACTCCCTATCACTAGTTCGGGTTTCGATGCAACCCAATCCTGAAGCAACATTTTGCATTTCGAGGATGAGAATCGCATACCGAACATGCCTGCATTGTTGCTTGGAGTAGTGAGAAGACTGTACATGTTGTCAGCGTCTTCACCAAATAGAACTATGTCATCGGCATATTCTAAGTCAAAAAGTGAATTTCGCGGTAGAAGTTAAACCCCTGGAAAGTCAGATGTTGAAAGTGTTAGTTCTAAAAGCACATCAACGACAAAGTTAAACAAGAATGAAGATAGTGGACAGCCCTGACGAAGACCACTTGAGGTAATCAGTTCTGATGACAGTTTGCTATAGGCTCTCACTCAACCACTTGTGTTCGAGTAGAGAGCCTTTGTAAGGTTAATGTACTGCATTGGTACTCCTTTCAGTGACAAACACTGTTATAGAACCTCACGATCAACAGAGTCAAATGCCGCCTTAAAGTCGAGAAATACTACCATTGTGGGGCGTCTGAATGTGTGTCTTTGTTCTAGGACCTGACGTACTGTGAATATCTGGTCTATACAACCACGTCCAGGTCGAAAACCAGCCTGGTTTACTCTAGTCCGCTCTTCACGAGCTTTGGTTAGATGTCGAAGTAATATTGAAGCTAATATTTTAGACACTATATTAGTCAAACTAATTCCTCTGTGATTGTCACAGGAGGACTTTTGTCCTTTCTTATAGACTGGCACAATCAGTGGTTGAGACCAGTCAGATGGGATTACGTCCTGTTCCCAGATTCTACCTAAGACCTCTGTCAATCTCGCTGCTGAAACTGGACCGCCATCCTTAAAAATATCAGGGGTAAACCCGTCAAGGCCTGCTGCTCTCCCACGCTTCAGATTTCCTATAGCTTTTCCAACTTCGTAAAGTGTCGGAGGACTTACATAAACTTGCTATTCAGGTAGACTGGAGATCGTGGGAAACCGAAGTGTGGCTGGAGGCCAGTTGAACTGATCCCTAAAGTGTTCTGCCCATCGATCCAATCTCCTGGATTGAGAATGAATAATCTGTCCATCTTTCTCTGAGATTGTTTCGCTAACAGTTGGGTTCCTAATACCGGTTTCCTTAACAAGTCTGAACAATTGTCTGTTGTTACCCATTGCCGCTGCCTTTTCCATCTCTCTTGCTTTCGCTACTCGGATCCTGGATGCGCGTTTCGGAGACGCAGCACACATCGATGGAGCGAGATTCTAAAGTCCTAGCTAAGGAAACCTGTTGTCCTATTTGGCACAGTGTTCGGACGTTGAAAGCTTCTACGTGTAGTTTAGAGCGTGGTTTCAGGAGACCATGAATAACGTTCCGCGTACTCGAATCGTTTGCACTAGCGGGGTGAGGTGATAAAGGGACGTGAGAAGGGGGGTTAGTTGTGGAGATACGAGAGTTATTAGGAGGTGTAGGAAGGATTTGAATGTGACCAACTTGGTCTCGTGTGCTGTTACGGGTATGAGGGCTGACGTCGCTTCCCGGCTGCCCACACCGTGGAAGGGTATTTCTTGAGGAACATGAAAAGGAAATCGGATTAGTGTTGGTCTTAACGACCTGGGAGCGTGACCGCAGAGCCCAAGGGACAACTGCTTGAGGCCGATTGCGCACGGCCTTTTTGTGGGAGGTTTTTAATGTGTTAGTTCCGTTCTTCAAAAGGCCTTACCGCCGCAGACGGAAATCCGTGGGGTAAGGTGAGGTGTGACATTTTTAGGGTCAACCTTTTCTAACCCCTTCCTTCCTTATGAGAAGGCAGCATCGCTGCAGATGCTGGTTGTCCGAGGGAAACACCTTACTGCTGTCACCTCTCTGTACAGTCAACAGTACGACTTCGCCCTCATACCTTAAGTTGCTGCTTTTAGTCTAACCGTTCTCCAATCGACCTGCCGTGCATGGTAGAACCTGCAGGAACATGTGTTCCAGCCAATATAGCTCGATTGGATCATCACGACAGGCAATCCGACCACCACGTCAATGTAGCAGCTGCGGTTGGGATCTGTCAGTTCAAGATCTTAATCAATAACCTAATAATCTCCACAACCCTATACTGATAATATTTTTCATTTCCGCTAATTTACACTTTATAATTATTAATTCTTTCTCTCCAAATATTTCCACAGGTATAAAACAATATTGCTTTTGTATCCTCATTTCTGTGCAACCATAGTGTAGTAATCCTATTTAGTGAACCAAATGTTCAAAGTCCAATTTTATAATCTATCGTGAATTCTTGTGTTTTAGAAATAAAAAAATGATCCGAAAAATAGTAATGTTAAAAAGCCTATTAGAATTTTCACTTCCTCTTTGAAAACTGTCACAACGTATGAAAATATAAAGGAATTCCACTTGTGGTGTTCACTGAAGATTATTGATTGTGTTTTAGTTCATTTTCATTTAAGTTTCACATAAAAACCGTGAAACGTATTGGTTTCAACGTCCGGTGCTTGTTAATTGTAGACTGCCATTATACTAAAGATATTACACATAACGACGTAATTACTTCTACTTTTGTTAAACGAACAACCACAGAAGTCATCTGTGCTTAAAATAGGAGTATATTTCTATTAGCCTTTTATAGTCAATGAAGAACATTATAATTGTGACCAGAGTGTAGAATTCATGGATAATATTGTTATCAGTATAGGTTTTTGAGGAGACTGCTCCAAAAATGGTCGCACAATCATGCGAATCGATTGAATTTAAATATCTATACTGTTAGATTCCGGCTCGGTGTTCTGGACGTTAAGCGTTCGTGCATGAGATCGAAAGTCCTGGATCCGATTCCCTATGGCTGGGTCGTTGGTGCCCGCTGTTGAAGTCCCGTACTAGGACGAAACATTTAAACAATCCTTCCTGCTTTTCAGTTGTGGTTTGACTAAAGTCATCTCGAAATTCAAACCATAACATTTTCATGTTTTTTTCTTGTTAAAATACGTATTCTCTCTGAACTCGGACGTAAATTTATCAGTTCTATTTACGTGGGAAACATACCTGTATCTTGGGGTCGCGTTGTATATTCTTTTTCTCTATCATTATTCGCTATATCACTGGTCCATGTATATGTATCTGCTAAAATATGGTTAATTGCTCTGGACACTTGGATTTATCTATTACAACTAAATTCCCATACTTCAATTCGAGTGCATAAAAAATATCACTCGTTATTCAATAATTTAAGCGTATAACTTAATAAGTAAACCTTTTTTTTCCGGAGTGTATTCATACATATTAAATAATAAATCTGATGTGCATTTATTAATTGGTAAAACCAACATAACGTTTTCACTGTTTTCTGTCTCGATTACTCATGCATAATATTTTTGTACTAGTCTTTGTGTCATGTTTGTCTATCCAGTCTCGATTAGGAAAAGCCAATTTTTCAAAATTTGTATAATACAATGACGAGGAATTCCAATTGCAAAATGCTGAGCTATAGTTATTATTTCATTGTTTATAGTAGCATTTGTAATAATAATTTATAGTTGACAATTTTTCTTGGCGTAGCAAACGAGAACACAAGTGGGTACAACGAAATATATTTTAACATGAAATTGCAGTTATGTGGTAAAATGTTAAAACCATACGTTCAATCCTTTATTTGCAAAATGTTCATTAATTGTTTCAGACTTTATTGTTCCTTCATTTCCATACCTATTACTTACTGTCCCCATTCTCTTCTATTCGATCTTCCTAACCTCCTGCTGCCAGGCATTCCAATCTCGATTGATGTTACGTACTACGTATATCTGTCGACATAAGTAGCACACACCACAATGTTTTTTTTTTCATTACGTAAGTTCTACTTCTGAATTACACGCTTTCAGATGTAGATAATGAGCAAAATGCAATGTTAATAGTGTATTGTGCATTCCCGAATGCAGATTATTTCGTATATAAATGTATATTGTTGACCAATATTATTTTTAATGAAATATTCACATCTCAATTTTTAGGTAAAAAACACTCTTCGAATATTCAGTTGTCTTCTAAAATCTCAACTGATTCTCCCACCATTGATGATATTAGTGATAAATGGTTAAGTCACTATCGTCCAGTACCATTTCGTTTAACGCCACATTTAGCTGGTCTTGTTTGCTTACCTGGAGCTCCAGCAAAAGTTGGTCCTTTCGCAGCTAGTTTCACTACAACTGCACAAGCTTTGATGAATGCGCCATATGATCATAGTTTAACCAGTCTTTATCGAACACTTTTACGTCGTGATTATATTCTATGGCATCGAGGCAGACAATCTTCTATATATGCTTATCAATTACTTATGAGTGAGCAAGATGAAACGATTCAACAATCATCATCAGCATCATCAGAAACTTGTCAACCTTCATCATCATTTTCTGATGAGAATGAATCTTCAACATTGAATTGTTGTTATTCATCATCACCAACTCTTGTACCAGATTTGACTAATGAACAGTTAATTACACTGATAAATTGTACAATAGAATCAATGAATGGTAAATTAAAAGGTAAATTGTCTAACTGTATCATAAATGATGTCAAGATGTTTTTCTCTTCCTTTTTTTGGTTCTTTCAGTTTTATTGTATAACATGATTTGGTTCTACAATGGATGTAAAAAAAGGGGAAGAACTTATTGAACCATAAATCTGGTCTTTGTATCCATAAGATAATGTTTAAACTGTTGAAATATGAAACCTAACTATAAATGTTGAGGATTAATGTTTTATTTTAAAAAATAATTTTCAGCAGTATGACGATAAAGTAGATATTTTATATTTAGTCAATTTTAGCTAGACTAACTAACGTCGTTCATTTTAACTTTTGTAATAATTTTATTGAAAAAGATTTATGGAGATTGGTTTAACTTGTAGGTTTTATTCGTCACTGATTGTATCCATCTAGGGTGACGCTGAAAACCAAGGAGCACTGGATAATTGTTTTGTTGTAGTGTGGAACTCCACAACGACTCTCATCCATGACCCCACAACGATTTCAGTGCAAATCGAACTGCGAACAATCCGCGATGAATACAACCTACCATTCGAACCGATCTCAAAACACCCGTTCAAATAAACTATGTTAGCTAGCGCATAATAACAACAGCAGTTCTAGTGGGAGCTATCGATTAGTTAGTTTAGACATTTTGTGAGTGAAACTTAACATTCAGGACACTAAGTCGGAATCAATTGGTGTATCGGTTTGACTTGAATCACTCTGCACTGTCTGAATAAAGTATTTTTAATATTGTTGATCCATACTTGCTTAGTTGTCAAAACGCTCGACTTTTGGCTAATAAATTCTACCTTCTAACTCCACTCTACCTACTTCGCTCTAAGTGACTGACAAGTATCGTTAGCCCTCATTCATACCGCTGATACGCAAGCACCTGGTGAATGAGTTAATTTACTAAAAACTTTGTGATTCACTTTATTATTATTCCAATTACTGCTTCTGTTCGCATTAACGTAGATATTTATTGTATTCACTTAAATAGTTGCTTCCGACTACTCGGGAACTGAACCAAAATCATGGAAACTTATCGATGAAGCCACAAAACCTTCAAATTTAATTCACATGGATCCAAATTTATTACCTTGGTTGTAAACAATATTATTTTTTAGAAATTGTATCACATTTTGTTTCTTGAATTTCTCTCCTCCAATATAATCATCAGGTCACTATGGAAAATAATCATCCGGTTTTATTAAATTATCTTATTGTTTAAAATTGAATCTTTGTTTCTTTACGTGTAAACAGTCGAAATGTTTTTGTATTGTTCGTCCTCCTTTCTTTTGATACTTACCGTAGGATTTTGAGATTCCCCTGTCTATTTTATTATTATTATTATTCATTGTCTTTAATGTTCAGTTGGCTTTTTTCTGTCAATGTTCTCTCATGTTAATAATGTTATTGTTAATGTAAATAGTAAATGCTGATGTACTTAAATTCATTTTTTATAGTTATTATTAAAAGAAACAGTATTCATTGAATGTGAGAGTATGTCTTCTAATTTTCTACACTTCGTTTCCATCTCTTCATATTTTTGTCATGGATTTTTACATTATTTAGAATCAGTTAAGTCCTATCATAGTTAATTCGATTAGCAGTACGTTGTTGACTTAGTTACTTTCTTGATGACTGTATGATGTTTTCCTCTGCACGAGACTCAAAGATCTCAGTTCGACAGTATGTCTTTGGTTTTATACATTTACGGACTTAACAAACATCTGTGTGGTTGTGTCGGTTTCTTAGCTGATGTTATTTCACAGTCAAACACTTTCTATTAACATTAAGTGTTCATTTTAAATAAAGTCCGACGGAATGAAACATCTCAAATACCATTATCATTTTATAGTATTCTTCACTGAACTGACTAATTGAGGATTTAAATCTTACTTTCATAGTTAAGATTTATAGAGTTATGTTCAGTGTTATTAATTTTGTAAAGTTTCTAGATCTTCAATCAGTGTATTTACCAAATATAGTATTCTCGAATGTAAGTCCCTGGTATACTGTAAATGCGACATAAAATATCAATATACTATCATTACAAATTAACTAACCATCTCATCAGTTGTGAAATTCTTTGAATTATCTTAATTGGATTAACACTTCATATTGTGAATGAATCAAGATTGATCTCTTATAAATACTGAGATAAATTAGATGATACCATGTCGAAGTTAGGTACATGTTTTCTTCCACAAATGGTCGTTAAATAAGATTATTTAAAAGTTGTCTTTTATTGGATCTTCGAATTACTGTTGTCACAGAAATTGAATTGAAGAGTTGAATAAATAACATTTCTATATTATGGAATTTTTGTAAGCATTGACTTGCGAAATATTCATTGTTAGTTGATTTTAATACCCGAACAAATAGATTGGAGTAGAAAGTCTGTTATAGAATAAATTCACTTTATAATAAAAGTTAAAAATATCGTTCGTGCAATTAGCTGGGTTTAGTAATTAGATCATTTCCTTTATTCATTATTGTCGTTACTTTTATGAGTCGTGGGTGTTATGTCCCCGTCATGTATTAATTGTACCTGAAAAAAAAATGAATCACTGAAACTCGCACGACATAAATTAGGAACATTAAAACTGGTACATGTAAAGATTTATTAATCCTTAAACATGATGATCCTTGTCGAAGATACGTATATATTGATTGTACACTCATTTTAATTATTAATTAGAATAAAATCACATTTAAAAAAATACCCACAGTTATAACAGATCATGTACTATAAGTCGTGCTGAGCATAGTTCATGTTAATTTAATATAAGAATATCGTATCTTAAAACTATATCACACTTAATTAATGTTATACCGAATAAAATATCACACTGGAAAACAGAACAAGTATTACACAGAGTAATCACACCGAGTAGAAGAATGTAATTTTTGCCTTCTCATCACGTCATATCACTGGGACATTATATATATTCACTCATACAAGTTGATAGTTTTCGGAGAATGACCATTCAACTAACTTTTGTTCTACAGTTCGAATCCACTAGCCCGTTTATTGATGTCTGAAGTAATCTCATGGCTCAGTATTTTATATTTTATTCAATATCTTGAGACATGTAGAACATAGGTTTGGAAGCGAAGTTTCTCAACTCTCTTACGTGAGTCAGACTGGTTTAAGCTCTGGATCTCTGCTTTTCCCATCTCCCTTTTTTACAAACACCCTCAGCACATGAAGGAAGTGAATTCTCTGAAAGATATCATAAAAATACAGGAAAAAGTGTTCTTCCCCTCCAACTTACTATGATGTTTGGAATCCACTTATTTAGTTCCCTATTTAATCAATGAGTTAATGTTCCATTTGGATGAAATGGTTCGTACTGTTGTTCCTGTCTTCTGATTGCAGTTCTTGTCAATTATATGCTAATATTTTCGACGAAATAATATAGGGAGTTGTTGAGTGTTCAGTTTGATATTTAGCACTGTGAAATAATTAAAACCAGTCATCTAACTCATTACTCTTGAAAAGTATTTTCGAAAATCTTTCAACACTGTCAATGCGATATGGAGAGTACCAAATTAAGTGGTAGTTTGTGACCATAATGCTGAATTTATTGTACAAACCCACATGTACGAATGAACAGTATACTCCTCAGTAAACTTTTATCAGGTTTTAGAGTTTTTAACTCTGAACCAAAGTTTAAAATGACGTTAAATTTTAAGAAAACCATTTTTTTAAAGACGTAGTATGAATATATTCTTGAACTTTGGATAAGTCAGTAAAATCTAAATACTAGAAATCTTCATAGATTTACCTTGGCACACCTAATTAACAGTAGTTACACATTAAATAAAACCAAGCCATGTGGAGTAGTCCATCGTTTCCCAATGGGGTTTAATCCTGTCCCCGACACACAACAGAAGCTATAGAAATCCTAACCTATAATCCTAGTTTATGCGTTAGAAAGGCATTCGTGATATCTCCATCTCTTTCTTGGCCAGAAACGCCTTGAAAAACAGATCAACTAATTTTAAAAACCCCGTATCTTGTTGTTCTTCACATTCCATTTATGTTCAACGCTATCTGATTATTAAAAATGAAAAATTGTTTAAGGTTAACAATATCTGATTACGGTCTGCAAATACAAAACAATGAAAAAAATTAAATTAAAGCATACTGCAGAAGGGAATTAGAGACAAGAAAGGATGAGAGATTGGACGTATCTTTTTAGCACTCAGAGTTTGAGTCTGTATTGTTTGATCACCAACGCCTCACTAGTGCATAAGTATTCGGTTCGTTTTCCTTGATTGTGTAGATTATTTTGAAGGAAGTTTCCTTTGGAGCAATCTTACCATTGTTGATTAGGTGCTGATGTATTGAACCGGTGATTATTTTACATTCTCCCTTTAAAAGCCACTCCGGGTAAGGTTCTGAGATGCATATGAAAAGTGATCACTTTGTACAATCAATGTAACCTACCCCACAGGAGCAAGTAAATTTATAGATCCACATGGATGAAACTTAAAGCGGAAGTTTATAGGCTGGCTTGAGAAGACAATACAAAGCTTAGATGCTCAGAAGGTTTTATTCAGGGATTTGAAAAGCCGTTTATTCAAGAGTTCGGGAGTCGTAGCTTCCCTAAATTCAATATTCACAAAAAGTTTCCTTTTGAACTGCCGATGCTTTTCCAGAGCTTTGTCTTGGTGTCAATCTCCTGTCGACAAATCTAGGTGGACAACAATTTCTAATGAGTATCGGTCGAAGTTGAAGTAGTTCGTTATCCATTGTTTAATGAGAATATATTCGCCTAGTTCTCGAAGATAAATAGTGCATGCAATGGTACTCAGCTATGGAAATTCGCATACTGGCCACTCCAGGTCGGTATTTTATGCATAAATGTAATTAACCATCAGACTTTCTATTCAAAAAAATATCAAGAAAATGAAACTCCTCGTTTGTCATTGCTTCTAATCTGAATTGAATTACTTACTTACGCCTGTTACTCCTCGTGAAGGAGCATAGGCCGCTCACCAGCATTCTCCATCCAACCCTGTCCTGGGCAATCCTTTCAAGCTCTTTCCAGTTCTTATTCATCTTTTTCATATCTGATTCTATTTCCCGACGTAATGTGTTCTTTGGCCTTCCTCTTTTCCGCTTCCCTTCAGGATTCCAAGTTAGCGCTTGTCTCGTAATGCAGTTTGATGATTTCCTCAATGTATGTCCTATCCATTTCCATCGTCTTTTCCTAATTTCCTCTTCAGCTGGAAGCTGGTTGGTTCTCTCCCACAAAAGGCTGTTGTTGATGGTATCCGGCCAATGGATGTTGAGTATCCTGCGTAGACAGCTATTGATAAATACCTGTACCTTTTTGATGGTGGTTGTTGTAGTTCTCCACGTTTCAGCTCCGTACAGTAGAACTGCCTCGACGTTCGTATTGAAGATTCTGACTTTGATATTGGTTGAAAGTTGTTTTGAGTTCCATATGTTCTTCAGTTGAAGGAATGCCGCTCTAGCTTTGCCAATCCTCGCCTTGACGTCTGCATCTGAACCTCCTTGTTTATCGACGATGCTTCCCAGGTATGTGAAGGATTCCACGTCTTCCAGAGTTTCGCCATCAAGAGTGATTGGATTGCTGTTCTCCGTGTTGTGTTTGAGGACCTTGGTTTTCCCTTTGTGTATGTTGAGGCCTACTGATGCAGAGACTGCTGCTATGCTGGCTGTCTTTATCTGCATTTGTTCGTGTGTATGTGATAGGAGGGCTAGGTGATCTGCGAAGTCCAAGTCGTCTAATTGGTTCTGAGCTGTCCATCGTATGCCGTAGTTTCTCTCAGATGTCGAGGTCTTCATAATCCAGTCGACCACCAGAAGAAAGAGGAAGGGAGAGAGTAGACAGCCTTGTCTTACTCCGGTCCTTACTTGGAATGCCTCTGTCAGCTGTCCTCCATGCACTACTTTGCACTGTAGTCCGTCGTATGAGTTCCGGATAATGTTGACAATCTTCTCAGGAACTCCGTAGTGTCGAATAAGTTTCCATAACGTCCTCCTATCCACACTGTCAAATGCCTTCTCATAATCAATGAAGTTGATGTAGAGTGACGAGTTCCACTCAATTGATTGTTCGACGATGATCCGTAGTGTCGCAATCTGGTCTGTGCACGACCGGTCCTTACGGAATCCAGCTTGTTGATCTCGAAGTTGAGCGTCAACTGCATCTTTCATCCTGTTCAGTAACACTCTGTTGAAGACTTTACCCGGTATTGACAGAAGTGTAATGCCTCTGTAGTTTTCACACTTGCTCAGATCTCCTTTCTTTGGAATCTTGATGAGGTGTCCTTCTTTCCAATCCATCGGCACTTGTTCCTCCTCCCAAATCTTCTTGAATAGAAGATGAAGCATGCTTGTAGTTACTTCGATGTCTGACTTCAACGCTTCAGCTGGTATATTGTCAGGTCCTGCTGCTTTCCCGCTCTTGATTTGTCTGACGGCCATTCTGATTTCTTCTGTCGTTGGTGGGTTGACATTTATAGGAAGATCTGTGTGTGCTGCTTCGATGTCCGGTGGATTCATTGGAGCCGGCCTGTTCAGGAGTTCCTCGAAGTACTCTGCCCATCTGTTGAGCTGTTGTTGAATCTCAGTGATTGGTCTTCCTTCTTTGTCTTTGACTGGTCTCTCTGGTTTACTGTATTTCCCTGCAAGCTTCTTCGTCGTATCGTAAAGATGTCTCATATTTCCTTCTCTTGCAGCTTTTTCCGCCGTCGTTGCTAGTTCTTCCACGTATTTTTGCTTATCAGCTCTAATGCTCTTCTTCACTTTCTTGTTTGCTTCTATGTACTCTGCTTGTGCTTGGACTTTCTCTGCTCTTGTTCGACTGTTGTTAATTGCTGTCTTCTTGTTCTTTCTTTCTTTGATCCTGTCCAGTGTTTCTGTAGAGATCCATTCCTTGTGATGATGTTTCTTGGGGCCCAGAACCTCTTGACACGTTGAAGTTAATGTTTCTTTGATACCTTTCCAGCTATCCTTTATAGTAGTTTCTTCTTCCTTCAGTAGATCCTGTAAGGCTTGGAACCTGTTGTTGAGAGCTACCTTGAATTCATTGAGTTTGTCAGTATCTCGAAGGAAGGCTGTATTGAATCTTTGCAGTGTTGTTTGTCTAGTTATCTAGTTATTCTACAGCTTCAGTTTCAATTTGGCCACAACCAGGTGATGATCTGAAGCTATGTCCGCTCCTCTCCTGGTTCTCACATCTTCCATTGTCCTTCGGAACTTTTTATTGATGCAAATGTGATCTATCTGGTTCTCTGTGGTGTGGTCCGGTGAGATCCACGTAGCTTTGTGTATACGTTTGTGTGGAAATGTTGTACCGCCTATGACCAATTTATTGAATGCACACAGATTTGCAAATCTTTCCCCGTTTTCGTTTCTCTCTCCCAGTCCATGTAGTCCCATGATGTCTTCATATCCGGTGTTGTCCATTCCGACTTTGGCGTTTAGATCTCCCATCAGAATGGTGAGATCCTTTCTTGGGCACTTCTCTATGATTGATTGCAGCCTCTCATAGAATTGATCCTTAACGTCGTCGTTGCTATCATTGGTGGGTGCATAACATTGGATAATGTTCATTGTGATACCCTCCTTCTTTGTTTTGAATGATGCTTTGATGATTCTGGATCCGTGAGATTCCCATCCTACAAGTGCATTTCGTGCTACTTTGGATAGCATTAGAGCAACTCCCTGAGTGTGTGGAGCATTTTCCTCTTCGTGACCGGAGTATAGCAGCATCTCTCCCGTATTTAGCCTTTGTTGTCCAGCTTGGGTCCAATGGGTTTCACTGATTCCCAGTACTGCCAAGTTGTATCTCCTCATTTCCGTTGCTATTTGACTGGTCTTCCCGGTCTCCCACATTGTCCGGACGTTCCATGTACCTATAAAAATTGTTGCTCTGGTTGTTAGAAGGGGCATCGGCCTCGTGGCTTCCGAAGGAACTCGGCTTTCACCATGAAGCGTCATATTACCTCTAACTCCCAGGGCAGAGTTTAAATGGTTTGAGTTATTTTTCTGGTTAGCGTTTTTTTAGCGAGTTAGGTTTCTACGGGATGGGGACGCTAACCCCATGCCCAACCCTCCTCCTTTACCCGGGCTTGGGACCGGCAGTAACTCTGGAAGAGCTACAGGCGGAGTTCTGAATTGAATTGAGCGATAATTATTCAGTTGATCGCAATTTTCATTGAGGTCCATATATTCTTCACAAACACAAGTCGTGAACTTTATTTATTCCGTCTTCTATTATCAAATCAGCGATAAATATAATATAAATTTCAATTCAACGTACATATTAAACTTTATATTATTTTACTTACAATCATGTAATAATCATTAGCTTTCATTACTCTCAACCAGAAATATTGTTCAACTTTGTTTGCCAAGTTATTCCCTTTTTATTTCGTTCACATGACAAGGCAATTTTTAAATTAAAAACAACACTTTTTAGTGTCTTGGATATTGTTACATTTTATTCATTCCCTTTTTTAAATTGATATTTATATATTGATATGAAATTCCGATTTTTCCTATTCAACCAATCCTAGGTCAGTTAAATGTGGCCAATCTTTTTTATATATATTATAAAATGTTTGTTAATGAGTACAAATAAAGCTTATATAACCATATTGTATTTACTCAACTAGATTACACTGAACAGCGAACTACGTGTGTGTAGTTGTATGTTTTAATATTATTGTATGATATTTGCTATTTGATTTCTTCGTTAGTTATTAGTACATAACCGAAATAATGGGAGAAGAAGCTGTCACCAAACAACCTATATCAAGCGTAAGTTTGTCGAACTGTTTAATTTTCTTAGTTCTAAACTTTAAAATTCATAATTTGCATCCACCGAATTGGAGCTTTAACTCAGCTTATCCACCTAACAGGATTTCATTAGAACATTAGCATTCCTAGCCATTCGGAAATGAAATAACCCAGAAGTTTAAATCCTTGGCTTCCTGTCACCTAGTTGCATGGTCAAATATCCCACCTCTTATTTCAATTTAGCTAGCTGAGCCAAATACTTAACCCTCTTTTAACTAAGTACATAAGCAAACAGCTAAGTAATGATTACACTAACTCAGAATCTACTGCATAAAACTGTGGTTCTTAAGTAAATCCTTTGCAAGCGACCAATTACTGTTGTATTATGAAAACAAAAGTCGCACAAGTTCTCGGTGTATTTCAAGGTAGTTTGAAATTCTTGACAACATTGTTACCTTTTCCACTTTCAGAATAATAAATAATTAACTAAATAAAACATTTAAAACAACCGATCTAAGCCTGCAAAAATAAGAAGTAACTTTCACCTGAGTTACTCATATTTACCTGCTGTTGATCTAAGTCATGTTAAGATGTGATGACTTGCTGGTTGGTGTCAGAGATAATCCCAACCAACTACTGTTGTCGAAAGATGGCTTCGCTCAAAATCAGTCGTAGTTGCATAATCGTATTCATTCTCTATCTTCTTTTATACTTTAACGCTTCGTATTATTCCATACGATTTACATCTCTATTCTGTTGTGTATTTTTGTGTTCTTTTCTTTGAAATATTAGGTGCATTGTGATGACAATACTAATACTATTTACTTTTCTTGTTATATATCTTAGTGGTTTACTCTCTCGTTGTTCTGATGTGAAGTGTGACAATTTGAAGTGTTATACATCGTGCGCAATTTATGAATCACTTATTGAAAGAATAAAAATACGTTCACATAAAAGAAGATAATGGAAAAATTTCTCATGTGAACAGAGAAATAAAGAAGTCATGATAAACAACGAAAACTATTTTTGGGGCCATAATTTCCCTTAACTCGTAGTTTGTAAAATACTAATATTTAATTTGATCTCCAGGTTATTTTATGAACCATAAGCTTTCCTTTGATGCATGATTCACTGACATATCTCTTTCTGTTCCAAGGTTATTGTAATTTAAAAATAACATCTTGTACTCTATTTTTCTACTCAAATGCTTAGTTTGGACACAATCGTATTTTTCTGATTATTTGTGCGTTGTGGTCGTGTTAGTCACCTATTCGTTTATGTATCTCTTTACTCTAATCTGATTCGGGAATCAGGAATAAATCGAGTAGGGTTCCAGTTAACTCATCTTCTCTCTCGCTCGCTTGTCAACCAATAGCCTGTATTGTCAAGACCTAAACCTAGATCGAGACGTGTTCTCTCCCGTATATTATTGAGTAGATTGATCAAGTATGCAACAATTTTCCTCAGTATAATTTTCGGTATTTATTAATTATGAGAATAGTTGTCACATATATGAAGGTTACGTTTTGTAATAAAAAAATGTCTCAATCGTATTTATCATAGTGATAAAATCTTAAGTTATTGTCTAATGTATTATACAAGATGTAAATTTAATTCTTTCAGTCATGATCTTTAACTTTAGTATGCTAATGAAAAAAATACTTTTTTTTGGAATCAAATCCTTTTTATAAATCCAGCATTAATTATTTTAAGGTTCATGAAAATGTTCTCTTTTATATAAAACAACCAGGAAGTAAGTCTCATTTAGTTTTATTGTAATACATGTAGTCCAGAATAGTTTATCGCAATTCAGTTCACTTAAAATTTTCCATACTGTAATCTCTTGCTATAATATATCTACTTTTAGTTTGATGCTATTAAGAAACGCATTATAAATGCATTGCTTTCTATCATCTCTGATCTTTATTAAATATTCACAGATTAAAGTGTATAAAACAGTGATTTAGATAGCATTAAACAGAGATACGTGTATGAGGTATTAGACAATGCATTATATTAGAAATCAAAATAAATGATAATCTTATTAAATAACAATTACATAATTTTTTTATTTCTTGTGGATGTAACTGCTATACCGGTGTTATTATTTATGCTACATAATCTTACATAATTTTCATCATTTTTGAAAGAGCTAAAATCCGAGTGAAGGGGATTAGCAACTCCTGTCTGTTTAATTACAACTATTTTAAAAGAAAAATCGACATAGTAGACATTGACGTTTTTTACTGTGTTTCACTGTAATTGATATTATCTTTTCCATAATTGTTTAAAAATTCCCATTTTCGCTAAAACACAGATAAAGTGTGGTTTAGTACTACAATCTGACATTAATTAGGTAGTCGTAAGAAACTAGGAAAGATTAGATATCTTAATCGTTCTAGTATAGAATTCTATAGCATTACCCATCAACAAGCCTAACCTAGAGATCGAACTAAGGACCTTCTTGTCTTGTGGTGAGCCCATAACTTCCAGACCACTAAGTCTGCATTTACAATAGGATTCCCTTGCTTCGTTTTTACATCGTACTACAACTATTTGTGCAAGGTGAAAGATTCGGAGCTTAATTGCTTCTAACAAATTACTTTTTAGCATAATGGTTGGTGAGAGAAAGATGAACTAAGGTATAACTATTGACAGCCCTAATCATGGCTTTGCATGGTCATAAGTGAAAACTTCCGTAGGAACTTAATAGTAATTTCATTATATTTGTCGATGTAACTTACTTCTCAGAAGGAGTTCAAGTGACAGACAAGTAATCTGACCTTTCTTCCCATTCGTCTCTGAACATTAGAATTCCTAACTGGATTAGAAACACCGTTATATTAAGCAATACATATAGCCAATGAATTTTCGTAAAACACTATGGTAACCATGTTGAAAATAGTTATTTCAAAACTTTCTTGCTTTACATAACCTTATTTAGAAATAACTGTTAGTATTAGTCACAAATCATGATACCTTGTTTGTTCACTAATATCATGGGGAGTAATTATCACTCAGTCACATATCATTGTAAATGATCTCTCAATCAACATACATTTCATACATTCTAACCAATTATCATTAATTTTAACTTAATAATAGCTGCAATAATGAAATAATAGATTAGGACTCGACAATAAACAATAAAAATCTATCGCTTTCAGTATATATATCCAAGGAATTAGTATCGACAAGATTATTACAACTAAACTAATGAATTAGCATTTCTTTTTATGTACTCATATTGAAAAATAGTTACTAAGGGAATCAAGTGAAATATTATTTTAATCAGAATTTTATCAATAATTTCTTTAAAGTCATATCTACTAATTCGAATCATACATCGATAAACAATAATTAATAATTTAATAATAATGATTCCTTAAAAACTTTAACTTATTATTATTTGCTTTAATTTAGTTCTTATTAAATTTAATTAAAATCCCGTTAATTATTCAATAAGTATTTCAAGAAACAAAATCATTTCAACTGTTGTTTGTTTGTTATTGTTGTTGTTGTTGTTGTTTGTTTTTCATGTACAAAACAAAATGTGTTTTATTTAAAAAATGAATGAAAATTAATAGTTCATTTCAACTAAATCATTTCATTGACATATTTTTTTCTTTAGTCTATTCCCTATTTTTATTCCCACTATTCCAGTTAAATGTAACATATGCACGCACACATATAAATACACACACACAAAACCTCTCCAATATACATGCATGCAATTACATACATTTCTTATAACTATTATTTTGTCCAGATTTTCACCACTTTAAAATCGATTTTCTTTCCTTTCTTTTGTCGTATGGGTCAAATCTATACTTCTGTAATAAATAAATATTAAAAATAAATACGGTGTAAACTGTTATAATGCCCGATTAAAATAGATTTCCTTTTTTGTTTCTTTAGTATTTTATCAAAGTTTCATATTGTCTTATGTTTATTATTGTTCAAATTTATTATGTGTAATTTTTTTATAACACCTTGAAGAAACATTTTAATTTCTGTAAAAATCATTAACCAACAATAATCACTATTATTATTATTATTATTATTATTATTATTATTATTATTAGTAGTAGTAGTAGTAGTAGTAGTAGTAGTAGTAGTAGTAGGAGTCAATGTTACTTGAAAAGTTTTACATTAATTGAAATGACATTTAAAGAAAATACTTATTCATATGTTGTAAAGTTGTAGATATATGTATCTTTTTATATTAATTACCAACATTAATGAGATTAATTACAAAATATGTAGAATGAATTAAATATGCAATTTAATAGTTAAATTCATTAGTCATTTAAAGCTAGACCACTATAGAAAACGTGGAAGAACTGAACAGCCGTATTGTCCTGGTATGGGACTCCTGCTGTTAAATGTGTATTTAAATTCACTTGGTATTGTTTGCTTATATCATCTCATTGTTTTATAGGACTGTAATTGATCAGTCTCTTGTTGGTATACATGTATCCTATGCGTATTGCCTCAATATTGTCTTAAGTCACAAGCATTATGAGCGAAGGTGGATAATTGCTAGCAGTAGGATCTAGGACGCACGTTTCGTTCTATTTGGGACTCGTTAGCTGGATTCACCTGCATCCCAGAGTTGATGTTCACTCAGGAAATTAATATGTATTTATAAAATTTGATAATGACGTTTCTTATATGAATTACTGTTCATGTCGAATTAAATATTCACTTACATGTCTTCAATCCGTGATAAAAATTACATGAAATCATTTGTAGACTAATAATATTTCTCATTAAAATAATTATTTAAGTAATATTTAGAATATGAAAAAATACTGCAGATATGAGATCAGTTCGTTTGTACTTATGATTATGACTAGTCAATGAGATTGTTGCCAGTTGTTCTATTCACATTTTTTAAAATAAATTTCAATATACAGTAAATCATTTTTATTATTTTACAATCAAAAATGTATATGATTTGAATACAAACTACTTGGAAGTGGATGCACAACATGTATTTCATAATGTATAAATAATTTTATCTTATGGGCCATAAATACGAGTAAACTTTCAACAAAGTTATATACCACAATAATCAGAGCCCTTAAGCAATCCCATATGAGATCCCGATAAACTTGTAAATGAAAATTAAATTCGTATGCTTAAAACAGTGGTTGGCTAGATAAAACAACTCAGTTGATACGTTCTAACTGTGGTATCATTGCATTTTATTCTGTTGTAAAGTGGATTGTTTTGGGTTTTATACCAGTTCAATTAGTCAGATATCTTTTTTTCCTATATTTAATTTATTTATTTATTTGTTTATTTACGTATCATTGCTAATAGAGGAAATTTTGAATATGTTAAGTAGAAATCATATGTATGAACCTTTATAAACTATTTAATGACTGAAATGTTTGGACTTTGATTATATTTTTTAACTACTGATGAAACATTTTTTCATTGTAACTTAGCGTCGTAATGAATAGCAGCATAGTTTTTATTAAGTTCACTGATTAATTTACACTTTAATACGAATATGAACCCACATTGGAATATAGGTATGTCATAGATAAGTACAACGCAAATTGTGCTTTTCAGTCTAAACCAGTAAAATAATGCAAATTTTTATCAAACGCTTAGCTTGAATTCTAAATTTTTTTGTGTAAAAATAAATTTCTATTTCTGTGTACATTTTAATTTCATGATTGACAATTCATGTGATAATCTAAATAACACACTACTCTTTTCTTTATAAATATTAACCTCGATCAACTGTGCACTTATAATTGTATAATTAACAGCTTAATATTATGAAGAATATCATGTGGGTTGTCCTCAGTATGGTTCAATTTGTTCAAAAGGGAATTATTTTTGGCCGTTTGATTGTTATATATAAATTTCATTCATATGAAAGTATACAATCGATCAATCTTTAATATTAGAAGGGTTTTTTGTGGATATTATAGTAATTTGAATAGTTGAGATCGTGAGTCAATTGAAGCTAGACCACCATGGAAAACCTGGAAGCACTGGACGGCAATTTCGTCCTATTGTTCGACTCTTCAGAAATGCACATCTTTGGGTAATATTGTAAATGTTAGGTGTATCGAATCTTCCAAGTTACATAACACAGATGCGGGTAAAAACTAAAGTTCGCAAAACAACGATTTGTCTAAAATAATGGTCAACTTGTAAGGTATCTGCGACGTTAAATGCGTCCTTTAATGTGAAATAAAAAGGGCTTTGATAGTTCAAAAGACAGCTGATTGCTGTATCTAAACTTGGTAACAGTATACCAACAAGCGAAATCCGAACCAAGAGCAAACAATAAGGAAACCGTTGCGTTTAAACAAATGCAAAATGCCGTAAAAATTGCTGGGAATGTAACTATTTATTGAATGTAAATAACTAGTATAAAACAATACGCAAAAAGTGGAAGAGAGGCGAGTAAGGACATTGTAAAACAAACTTAACGGTTACTAAGTTAAGAATATAACAGTAGCTGGATAATTTCTGTTTTATTACGATGCGGAACTAAATCAAACTAAAATAAATGTTTCTAAAATTTTTATCGTGTTTGTTTTATAGGCTTAATTTATTTAATTAAATATATTAATTTACTTCAACTTAGCTAGGAATTTATAAACGAGATTGAAATTAGTAGTTCGGTACAATTGAATTGAAAATTGTAAATGTAGAAAAATGTAATTTAGATACAATTTATTTTTAAGCAAAAAATTCATTCTACATTACTTTACTCGTTAGTTTATACGTTATTAACATTCTACCTACTTATTTCTTGTACTGGTGTACTACAAATGGTTGTTCCAGACATTTAAAAATGATCTAGATAGTGATTGAATTTAGTTAGACATTAACACCATTGGATGCCGGCTCAGTGATCTAGTGGTTAAGCGTTCGCGCGCTAGACTGATAGGTCCCGGGCTCTAATCCCGCGAGGCGAGTCATGGGTGCACACTGCTGAGGAATCCCACAATAGAACGAAACGGCCATCCAGTGCTTCCAGGTTTTCCATGGTGGTCTAGCTTCAATTGACTAATGATCTCAATTATTGAAATTACTACGATCTCCACAAAAACCCTTCTGAAATTTAGTTAATTCACCATATGGTAACTTTAATTACAGAAAAAATCACAGTACTCCATTCTCATCTCAGATGTTCTTATTCTGTTTTTGCTGAATTGTATATTAAATAGATTTTAATTGTCTGTACGTAGGTTTTGAAATACTCTTGGATTACTTCTATCTTGACTCGATATTTCTGAGCTTATTTGACAGAATGAAAAACTGCTTGAGCTTTATTTTAAATAAAGTACTTCATATTTGTTTTAAACTTTCATCTTATGGAGCTGCTTCTCTATTGAATATACTAAATAAATGGAAAGCTGAAACAAAGCGGAGAAAAGAGCCTATCTTTAAGTTTATCTTCCCCAGACATTGGGGTATTCGAGATTCTATCAGTGATAATGATCATCAGCAGAGTTTTATAATGACTAACAATGGAATCCAGAACTCACGTTACGTCCAATACTAGCCACCATTCTTTTCTGCTTATAATTCCTGTGACTTAATAGCAATAGGAAGACAGCTCTCACAAGATGCACACATGATAAAAAAAGACTGATCAATTACAATCCTAAAACATCAATGAGAAAATTCAACACAACCAATACAAATGAGATAATGATCATAGTTTAACTAAGTGTATCTCAGTTATATCACGATATGCTCATTAATTTCTACTTTTTCTACAAATAAGCAAAAGTTTAATTTTTCATAAACAGTAAGACTTGACAAACAAATGATTATATAAGCTACTCATTATGGTCAGTAATTAAGGAATATACCATGATTACTTATTCATTTATGCAATATGAATAACCTTATGATGTTGACTGATATCATGGATTTAACTAATCTTTAAGCGTAATCGTTTATCCTATAAGATTTATTAGATAAACAGCTGACTTAAGCAAAACATAAGGGATAGTAGTTGTTGAGTTCAGTTTAGAAAGATTAAAACAACAAATTGTAGCAAATATAGATTTATTTGAAGGACATTAATAGTAAGCATTTTGTTTTATACAAGGACAAGTAAACCGAATAATTTATTAAACTATCAGATATGTTCAATAAAAGAGATGTGGCCTGTAAATTTTTTGATTACTCATACTTATTCACAATCGATAGTTTGAACAGTTTTAATCTTCATTAAAATTGTCAATCCTGATTCAGTGATATTCTAATATATATCAGGTTTTCAGATATTCGTTCCATTTTTAAAATCCTATCTCCTAGTCGCATAAAAATCTAAATTTTAAGATTTGCCTTGGCAGTTCTTTGCACGAAATAGTTTATGAAAAAATACCAAAGGTTAAATAGCAATCTTTAATAAAATATGTACTTTTTTTACAATCATACAAGCCGCATTCTGTAGTTCTTAAAAGTTAGTTGTTATTCTCGATAAAATGTATCCATATATAATATGGTTACTAATGAGTAGTCAAATGTTTAGAACAAAAAACATCGGAAATGAATATTTTGATCTATTCATTAGACAACACAATTTTATTCATTGACTCGTATAGATCTTCAGAAATGAGAAACTGGTTATTTTTTACGGTAAGACAATTTGTAACTTACTTTATGGGATAAATGAAAAAGACCTCAGCTTTTCTTTATTATTAGTTTGATTTGATTATACTCGTAAAATTTCACTTGTCCAGGATAAACACAGTTGATTATCTGCTTCACCTCCTTTCTGTTTGCTCTACACCCAATCTTATGTCTTCCAGTTAATCTCAGTTCATAATAAAATGAACGTCAAGTCTTTATTTTATTGAATAAGATAGCAGTTACTATTTGGGATATTTTTTATGTTTCTATTGGTTAATATGGTCAATATTAATTACTTCAATACCATCTAATGATCATTTTCTGTTTCTTTTAGCAAATTGAGGAGACCAGAGAATGGGAGTCAGGCCTATTTCAGTGCACAAATGACTTTACTAGTTGTAAGCTTTTTACAAACTGAAACATTTGTTTTATGACAATTATTTTAATGAAATGTATTGCATTTGTCAAAAGAATAATTCTTGACGTTCATAAATCCATTTGAGTTAGAAAACTGTTGGAACTCCTCTGAATTATACATTCACAACCCCACCATATGGAATCGATCCCATAATTTTCGGTCTCGCTCGGACGCTTAACTCTAGGATCACTGAGACGACTTTGGATGGTTTGCGACTCTAATCAGTTCACGATATTACCCGACCATGTTCCATTATTGGAGATCAAAGGCCCTAGCTTTATTTCCTAGTTGCTAAGTCGCGATTGCGTGCTGAGGAGTCTCGTACTCGAATGATATGGATATCCTGTGTGTCCAGGATTTCCATGGTTTTCTAACTTGGACCGGTTCGTGATTTCAAAAAAATAAATCCATATATATAGCCCCATACTGATAATTATTTTATTCGTTCACAATAATTACTTTTGCATTGTTCAACTACTAGAAGTTCATATAGACCAGTTAATTATATGATTTACTTTTTACATGATGCAAACTTAACCAAAGAAATTAATTATAAAATTTACCGTTCTACCTACTTCAAATTGAAGAATTTTAACTTTCTATAATTTAAAATTATAGTTATTTGTTCAAAAGCTACTGGTTAGATTTCTAATCAGAAGCTATGACCAGTGAGTTTTGACCATTTCGGGAGTAAGGTAGTTATTAACAATGTATTAGATAAGGACTGTGTAATACTGGCTCAGTGATCTATAACTTGTGCACTTTTTCTATATACCAAAGGCACTTGTTTATGAATGCCCAGTTCTAAGGAGTTATATACTAGGATGATCGTTTCACTAAGTTCATTCAATGAGATAAGCTGAAAAACCATTTCTTTTGTCAAAGCCCTAAATTTATGGTATTTTCAGAAATCTCATTCTCTTGTTAATAATTTTGAACAAACCACTATTAACAAGATGCAGAAAATTCAAACGAAATATAAATAAAAGCAAGAGATTTTTATTTACAATAATTACTCAAACAAACAATGTTACACTTAACAACATTAAAGACTATTAATTTAGTAAGGATGGTATAGATCCTAAGCATTTATAGAATGTGACAAAACTAAACATGAATTATCATTGTAGTGAACAAGAATACGAGTGGCGACAACCGAATGTACCCAACCACAAAATTACAGAACACCTCACTAAAATCCGTGAACCATAAAGTAAATAATTAATTTGCAAAAATCGATCAATTGTCTCAAACTTGACTGTTCCTTTTTCAAATCTCAATCCATCTACTTAGATTTCATTGTCCATGAACTTTCATACCAATCGCTCTTCGTTTCCATTCTTTCTCTCTCGATCTTCCACTGAAATACATTCTCTGTATGAACATCGTTATATACTACTGATGTGAATATAAGTAACTCACACCACAGCATATATAACTTTTATATTTATTAATCACTGAGTGTTTAAATTTCTAGCAACTAGGTTTATCATAACTGATAACAAGTGCACATAAATGTTATACAGTTATTTAATTTTGTTTTAAATAATCTACGTAAAGCGTTCTGAAATATCTAAAGTGCTTAAAAATTCATTATCAAATTATTCTATTTGCTAGTTATAACCAGTTTCATACTAACTAATCATTGGTGATGCTTTTATTTTATCCATCAAACTGGGATGCTAACAATTGTCTAAATATCACAAAATCATAGAGTAGTTTGTTTTTATATAATGAGATTAAAAGTAGTTGTCGAGATAGATTGAAACCAAGTTTCTCACTAACTGACACTCGTCAACAGAATACATCTCAGTTGTACAGAATTGTTGCAACCCGAGAAGCTCATGGGTGAAATCACTCACTAAGACATTTAATAAAGCGAGTTTGATTCTCAGCAAATCACAAGCATACTTTCCAGACGAGTGTTACCTAAAACAAAAACTAAATGTCATTTTATCAACTCACATCATTGCGTAAGCATTCAAATATGTTTATAGCATGATTTAGGAACCTATTCTCGTCAATTTTGAATATGGTTGGTCATTAGTGAACAAATATGTCAATGAAAGGATATGATTTGATGCTGTCCAAGTCAGTCGTTATTTATATAATATCAGTCAGTCTGTCTGTCACAACGTAGAACTACTACATGTGCACATCGAACCGAGTTGTTAAATCCCATCAGCACAGAGAGATGAAGTTGTCAGACCAAATCTCACATTAGTAGGAGCAGCTACAGTATCAATGATAATAGGCAAGAATAGGCCTCAAAGATATGACTCGAAAATAAAATATAAATTGGTGGAATCGCAACAAGAAAAGTTACGCAGCATTTCGAATCTCAGAATTTGGGGGAAGACAAAGACTGGATGCACCAGTGTGATTACAAACAATTTTGAGCCATGTCATTCAGAGGCACTAACCATTGGTTACGACATTTACACGGACCCTGATTAGGTAGTCTGTACCTACTAACACGGCTCATTCCAAATGTAAATGACTTCACGGATTGATACAATGCTTCGATTTGGTCGTCCCCAACATTCTTCATAAATACTCTTGCTCCAGAAGACATCACTCGTCGCCCGAAAAAAGTCGAATAAAAGTGAGGAAGGTGGACAACGTTGACAAACACCACTTGAAGTGGCCAGTTTCGACAACAATTCACCATAAGCTCTGACGCGACCAGAAGTGTTCGAGTTGTAAGCCTGTATAAGGTTAATATTCTTCTTTGGTACTTCTTTCAATGACAGACACTGACATAGAACCTCATGGTCAACGGAGTCGGACACCGCCTTAAGGTCAAGGAATACAACTATAGTTGGACGTCGATAAGTATGTATATGTACCGGAATCTGTCAAAGGGTGAGTAGTTGGTTCATATATTTACTTCCAGTTCTGAAACCAGCCTGAGTTTCTCGGGTTTGTTCTTCACGTGTAGTAATTAAACGTCAAAGTGTTGTTGTGGCTAATATTTTACACAATATGTTAGTTAGACTGATTCCTCTGTGATTATCACAAGAGGATTTTTGCCCTTCCTTATAGACTGAGATAGTCAGTTATTCAAACCAGTCGGATAGGATTGCATCCACTTCCCAGATTTTGGCTAAGATTTCAGTTAATCTAACTGCTAAAACTGGACAACTATCCTCAAAATTCTCAGGGGTTAGTCCATCAGGCTCTGCTATTAATTTATTATAATCCCTAGTCATTAGTAATGCCATAAAAACGTCAATATACCTAATGTAATTTTTATGTGTAGTTAAGTTAATAATGTGTTCTTGAATTTTATTACTAAAATAACCGAAAATCCTTGTAAAATTCATCGTTTAGCAACTGGTTATATAATTATTAAGAAATTATAGAGTGGCTCATCAAGCATATCACTTGCAAAATATCTACACCAACAATACATTCAGTTTAGTTAAAAAGTTTTATGGAATATTCAAGTATGATGAATTTTTGATTGGATAATTGTTTGTTGCAATATTCAGACTTTACTATTAAAAATCAAAAGGGTGTTTTGTGCAGATTTTAGTAATTTTATAGTTGAATTCATCAGTCATCATATGCTCACCAGTGACTAGCTTCAAGAGGTATTTCCTGGAGTTCTAATGAGAACCAGTGACCAGTGGAGTTCAACCGGGTTTGTTATGAAATAGTAACTCAATGAAGACAAAGGTTAAGCGTTCGCGTGCGAAACTGATAGGTTCCGGGTCCGAACCTCTCGAGGCGAGATCCTGTATGCGTACTATTGAGGAGCCCCATACTAGAACGAAATGGCCGTCCAGTGCTTTCAGATTTTCTATGGTGGTCTAGCTTCAGTTGACACATAAATTCAAGTATTAGAAATCAGTAAATATTATATTATAATAAATATAGTACAACGAATATTAATCACAGTGAAATTCACGTTGTAGGGGACACGAACACGAGTGAGGACAATCGAATGTATTTGACACGAAATTACAGGACATGTTAATAAAATCTAACAATCATATAGTAAATGCGTAATTTGCAAAATGTCCATCAATTGTCTCAAATTGACTCAAACTTCATTGTTCTTACATTTTCGTACAAATTGCATTGTTTGCATTCTTTACTATTCGATCCTCTTGTCTCTCTGCTGCCAGATATTCTGTTCACAACTAACACCATATACTGCTTATGTCAACATAAGTAACACACATCACAACGTCAATAACATCCTAATATTCTTTTTCTTTTGTTTTTTTGTTGATTCAGACGATTCATTTAACATTTAAAAGTGCTTGTCTGGTTCGTGTTTTTTTAAAATTTAGGTTTCTTGTCACTGTTTTGTCCATGCCCATATTTATGCTATTTATATTCATATGCCAATGAACCGTGTTGGTTGCCGTGTATTGGCGCTGGAACTGGTCCACTTAGAATGCGACAACGTTTTAGGCATAAAATTAAAGTAAAAATTATTATTTGTTATAATTTTCTCTAATTCCTACAATTATTAATATTTGTGGAAATGTGTATACATACTCAATAGATTAGGAAGAAAGGAATCATTTTTGTATAAAATTAAATCACTTCTTATTAGTGTGATCAGTATAACGTATTGAGATTGTTATATCTAGAGCTTAGATTCTTAGTATACAGTGTACAACTTCAGCACTCAAACGCTAGAACCTTCCAAGTCGCAAATGAGAAGACAAGAGGCAAGTGAAAGGAATGCTATTCCAAACAGTGTCAAATCTGATACAAACCCGATAGGTATTTATGGTTTTTAGTAAAAATGAAATCATCATTATAGTTCTCCAATCCGCATACAGTGGGTTTTTAACATTTGTCCGATAGGAAAACTACACAGAGATTCTGGAATATTCTTCCAAAAGATGACTGGATGGAATATTTTTGGCTCTTTCTGAGCTTCTTAGAGCTTCCTTGAGTTCACCCGTGGGTCGTCCTCACAGAGATAAATAGTATTTTCATAAGAATCAATGTCAGTAAATATGAATTGAATATATAGAAAAATAAATGAACTTCAATTTGTCATAATGTAGTTAATATTGAACAATTGTATGGATCATTTGATCAAAAGAAAATAGTTAGTATTTGAATTTGTGGAGATTGTAGTAAATTTAATAGATAAATTAATGAGTCAATTTAAGCTAGACCATCATTGAAAACCTGGAAGCACTGAACGATTGTTTCTTCCTAATAATGGACTCCTCAACAATGCTCATCCACAATTCCGCATACAAGAAATCTAAACTAGGATTGTTGTCTTCTTACATCACAATAACAATTGTTACTGTACAACACAAAATTAGTAAATATATTTGACAGATATATCAGATACGTAGAAATTATCAAAATGATGATTAGTATAAACATTTCATGCTTGTATGAACAACTTTGAATACTTGACAACCATAAATGGAAATATCATTACTTTGCTTTCTGTGATTAAGGTGAACTGTAAGTAATAAATTTGATACTTAGACTACAATTTGATTAACGTTTGAGTGAGTGACCTTCAAAACAAAAATCCTACAATCACTTATATTTTCTTGGTAACACTTAATAGTGTCAAAATTGTGTATATACGGAGCGTTGTTTGATGAAGTGTAAACAACTTTGTTTGTTGGACAAAAGTATTATTGTCTGATATCAGTTCATCCGACGAACAAGGATAAATAGATCAATGTTATGAGTAATTATCAGCTGATTACTTTATATAATTGACCATAATCTTCTGACCATCGTTCTGTTCATCATTTTAACAATCATTACATTTTTATGACAGTTTCCAAGCCTTCTGTTTAAATTAACTACAGCTCTAATCTCTGAATAAATGTATTTCACTATATTATCCCCTTAAAATAAATTATAGAAACTATCAGTAATATATGCCGATTCTTTTCTTTTAGGGTTCAATAACTAATGACTTTTTATTATCATGCATATGTACACAATGTGTTATGTGTCAATTAAAAAGAGATATGGATTATGTTATTAAAAACGATGGGGATGTTTAAAATGTCTATATATACAATTCAATATGATCAAATCAAGAACTAAACTATTTGTGTGATAAATATGTGTTAACAATGTTCAATTTTCTGTTTTTCATTTTAAATAAAGTAATATAGTAAAAATTTTAATTTAATAATTATGATTGATTGGTATTGGTTATTGATTATTATCTTTGGACTAATTTATTTATGAATAAAATCATTGGATAATGTTGATACTTTTTTCTGGTTGTACTTCATTTTTGTTTATTGGCTCATTTATTACTGTGCGCTTCTCCCCCTTTAAATGCAAGTTGTTGATTCAGGACTAGTCTGTGTCAACACCTGAACTAAGGATTGGTAGTGAATTAGTCGAACGCGTTGACAAATTCACTTATCTTGGAAGTCTGATCAGCCCAAACGGGTTGGTGTCTGACGAAATCTCAGCACGGATTCAAAAAGCTCGTTTGGCTTTTGCTGACTTACGTCACCTATATCCGTCTATCAATAAAAGGACGAGCATACTGAATGGCAGTTCGTTCTGCTTTACTTTACGGCTGCGAAACATGGCCATTAAGAGTAGAAGTTACTCGTAAGTTACTAGTATTTGACCACAGGTGCCTTAGAAATATTGCTGGTATCTGCTGGGATCATCGGGTAAGTAATAGTGAGGTTAGACGCAGGGTATTAGGGAATGATGGTAAATCAGTTGATGAGGCTATGAATCTTCATCGACTGAGACGGTTGGACCACGTGTTGCATACGCCTGAACACCGATTACCACGACGCGCAACGCTCACTGGTGTTAGGGATAATTGGAAGAAAGTTAGGGATGGCCAAACCAAAACGTGGAATCAGTGCTTGAAGTCACTAACTTCTAGTCTGAGCCATGTTGGTAGATGAAGACTACTTGGTTGGGGTCCGCGTGACTATCGTAACCAATGGTTGGAGACTCTTGATGATATGGCTCAGAATCGATCACAATGTCGTCGGTGTATACACTCTCTGTCTTCACTTAAACTAAGAGATTAAAATCACTTCATATCTTTCTTTCCACGAGCTAATTCTTTCTTTCTGCACTATCTCCTTATATGCAATCTTTCTTCTGTATATTACCACCACTAAATTAACTACTTCTATGAATCCGGTGTTCATCTTGTTGTGCTAATGCGGTATGGCAACTCGGACCGATGTATATATGTGCCTGGTCCTACGTTGTAGCTGACTGACTGGCTGACATTTACTACTGAGTAGGTTATTTTTTTAAAAAATGAACATAGAGTAATAGATTGTATTCATATTTTATTAATAGATAAATAGAATTTTAAGGCCATAGATTTTTTTCAGAACTAACTGACAATATATGCAACCTAACAAAAATGATTTTTGTAGAAGTATACGAAAAAAGATCTTATTCAGATGTACAGGCAAGGATTGACAAAGTAAGAGAAGCATTTCTACAACTGAAAAATATATGAAACTCAAAACAACTGTCAACCAATATCAATATCATAATCTTCAATACGAATTTCAAGACTATTCTACTGTATGAAGCTGAAACGTGGAGAAATACCACGACTATCATCAAAACAGTACAAGTATTTATAAACAATTATCTACGTAAGATACTCATTGTCCGTTGGACGGATACTATCAACCAAAGCCTACTGTCGGAGAGAACAAACCAGCTTCCAGCTGAAGAATAAATTAGGAAAAGACGATGGAAACTGATAGGACACACATTAAGGAAATCATCAAACTACATCACGAGGCAAGCCCTAACTAGGAATCCTGAAGGAAAATGGAAAATAAAAAGGCCAAGGAACACATTGCGTTGAGAATTGGAAGTAGACAACAAAATAATAAATAACAACTAGAAACAAATGGGAAGGATTGCCCACGATAGAGTTTGATGGAGAATACTGATAGGTGACCTATTCTCCTCCACGGAGGATAACAGACGTAAGTAATACGAAATAAACAAATTATCTGATTTTATTTGGCTACTTGATTAGGAAGGAGTTTTCAACTAATAAAAATTTCGATTTAGTGTTCATGATGTAACCACATTATTATTTCGCAGATTTATCGAAAATGAAGAGCAATTGAAAAGCTAATATGTTCTAGTATGAAATAATTCAAAGGTGTTGAACCATATGTACATGACATACATACACATATTCTATATGAGATGACAGTTAACAATCGAAGAACACATGTTTCGGTAGCGGAGAAGATTTGTAGTTCAGTTGGATGATTTTGATGGAGGTTTGTTCTCTGAGCTGGATGGTTTGGTCACAGAACAAAACTCCATCAAATACATGTTTCAGTGTTGCCAATTGCAAATATTTATATAGAATAAAATGGAGAGACAATAATTTATGGACGATCAAGTGCTCACCTAATAACCAGGACCAAATAAGAGTTATAAACCAGCGAGAGGAATTAGAATTATGATTTACACTTGATGGTTAGGGTGAGGAATTAGATTTAGGGTTTTCATCATGAACTGACATCAGCTATAATGCCAAAACTCTATTCGGCCAAAAGGATGGATGAATTTCGCGCCAAATTTGAGACCTGTTATCTAATACCTGACTGGTTCATCCGTAAATTATAGTCTCGCCGATAAAATAAAGTTTCCAGTAAAGTGAATTATAAATATGATGGTATACTTGTTTTTTAAAGTTTTATATCAACAAATGAGTTTTCCTAGGTATGAATTATTTGGTTTCTGAGTGACTGTTTCTATAAGTTAGACTGAAGGCCCCGGGTTCGAATCCCGCGAGCGGGATCGTGGATGCGCACTGCTGAGGAGTCCCACAATAAGACGAAACGGTCGTCCAGTGCTTCCAGGTTTTCAGTGGTGGTCTTACATCAATCGGTTCATGATCTCAATCAAAAAGTTGGAAAATTCTTTAAAAAGACTGAGTCTGTTAAATTTTCTACTGTTGCGCAACTCTTAGGAAAACACACTTGAAATTTAGTTAGTAAATAGGTTGTAGTGCCGGTGGCTATGTTAAACCCATATAGCTTATTCTAACTTCCGGACAGGCCAATTTTTCCATTCTTCATGAGTCATATTTTGACCTTGTTGAATATTCAATTATCAATATTGACTAAATTTATATGAGCGCACTTGTGTGTACATCTTATCCTACTCATCACATATCTGTAGCTTATTTTTTGTGTGACTATAAATATTGATTAACGCTTGAATTGGCTCATATGCCCTCTCAACTGCGTGTCATTTCGCTTCTCTCTCTACTATTCCTTTCATCCCTCTTATTTCCTGTCGAGATCAGTGAGTGCACAAAATATGTGTTCATAAATCCATTTTCGTATTCGACTTATTCAATTCCGTTATTTACCAACACGAATTAAGTCGATGATTCTATACGAGGATTGGCGATATGTGTACTTCAATAACATTCATACGATCCAATTGGAGTTAGATATCAGGCCACTAAAACGTTATATGGATTATTGGGTTTTTCGCTTTTATTAACTAAACATTGTAATATAAAATTTACATTTTCAATTTAGATTAATGAAATATTAACTGTTGTATCTTCAATATAAATAATTTTCAAGTAATTAAATATAGAGTGTAAATTATTTCTAATACGATGGATCGTTTTGTTTTCAAAGCCGGATGGTTTGGTCGTGGAGCTCTTATTGTCCTTTTCAAAAACATCATCAGCAAAAAATTCGGATAGAAGTGAATTATTCAAATTGTTCCACATATGGCTGATAGCTTACCCTGCCGAAATCGACCCGCTTCTTCACATAAATATCCGACTAAACAAATGTATATCAGACGTTCAATAGTGACTAATGTCGAGATGAACTTCTAGCGTCTAAGTGAAAGGTCTTGATGAATGAGTCGAAAGAAGTCCTACTTACAAAATTAGTTTATGAACAGGAATAATGATATTAATGGGTTTATGTATGACCGTACTACTTTGAAAGCAAACTCAAATTAGTAGAAAAATTGATAGTTAACCTATCAGGATATGACAAATAATCTATCTCATTTATAGAAGCGTGTAGTATTGCTTTATTGATCGCTGATTGGAAGAAGTATCTCCAGACTTCTCTTAAATTTTCAAGATATTTTCGAGAAGCTCTCGACGACTGATGAGAATAACGAACACACACACATGGTAGAGTTTAAGCTAAGAACAATCTACATAGATTTCATATTTATCAAAATGGAAACTACCATGCTCAGTGAAAATACATAACTCAAATACTTATTATACCAAAGATTTTTTATTCTTTATCAACAACTCTTAATCATGTATGCACACTATAATTATTCCTTTTTAACATGAAAGTAGTTTATGTTATAGAACGTTCACGTAATCAAAAAACAACATTCTTCGAAAGAAGATTGAAATATTCTCTTTTCCGATTGATTATACTTATCATAATTAAAATTTATTAAGATTCCATATATTTCATCTCTCGTCTTAACTGGCATAAAACAAGTTGAGGACAACAACATGTAATACAATTATCATCAAGTAAAGAGCCCTAACAAAATGGAAATTATTAAAATGAATAATTATAAATAATAATATTAGTAAATTTAAACAATCGAATAGTCAAACATACCAACTGAGAGTCTTGAATCACCGAAATGACGAATCTCTCAAGTGTAATACCCCTAAACAACACACATTCATGGACATCATCGAGAACTGGATCCAAGGCCTCAGGCTCGTAGAAACCTCTAGTCTTGATAAGCCGTTCATATGTACTACTGAGGAGTTTCATGCTAAGACAAAATGGTTATCTAGTCCTTCCTAGTTTACAGTGCTAGTCAAAATAATAACCAACGGTGATGTAAGCTATGGAAATGTCACATTACTCACAGACTCTGTAATTATTAAACAAGTTAAAAAAGTTTCGGAACTGAGTGTGTTATATGATAGCTAGGAAATTCATCGATATTATTCGAAACAATAGTTGATATTATTTATAAGCTAACATAACGAACATCAATATTGTAAAAATACATTTAACGGATCATATCACATTATCCAATGCATTAGAACAACGTTAATGTAAATAAATAAGTATACATAATATACATTTACGAACTTTGAACAATGTAAAATTTAGTTTCATGATATAAAAAGTGAAACGGGTCTAGAATTGTCACATGAAGTCTGATCGGATTTTTCATATTTAACTGATTATTTATATTATTATTATTATTTCCATTTTAATTATATAGTTGTATATACTGATTAGCATTGTTACATGGTAGTAGATAAGTGTTTTGAATCCATTTACCCTGGTGATTTTTAGTGTAATTAGTACATAGTTAAAAGTATAATTATTAAAAGTAATAATAACAGTCCACAGTACAGTGTAAGACTGCCATAAAAATTTCATCAAGTATCTGTTCAAGTCTTATTAAAATTATGTTATTTTAATGAACTCCCAATATTCATTTGTAAAAGCGTATAAAACGTTCATAAGAATAATTCAGAAGTATTTTCGTTAAATTACTAAACTCAGAAAATATAAAGTGAACAAGTATAAATCAAGCATTATGTCTAAATAATAGTTTGGTAAGACACATGTAGATTCTATGTCTATCATGTGTACTTTACGCTAAAGTAATAGTACTGTATTATTCTACGTATAATTTAGATTACAAGTGTGGAATAGGTACTGTCTTGCAGCTTGATATTTGGATTACAAAAGGTTCTTGAGTATGTTTGGTTAGCGTTTCTTCCCCATGCATTTGGCTTAGATTCAGTTCCAATGTCTCTTTCACTGAACATGTCTACTATCGTAAAACACCAAATACAAAGTAACTACCATTTTATTTCACTGGAATGGAGCTGTTTGTTTTATGTAAATAAAAATGTTCTTCTTTACTATCGAAACCGGTGTGCCTCAAGGAGTTCTCTCTATCTTCTCCTATTTATGTACTGTTAACCGAATAGCCCAATCTCTTCTACTAAAGTATTCTCGTTAAATATCTTGATAATGTGACTGTATTTATATCAATTTTCTTCTCGAGGTAAAAATGGTGGTCTCTTCTAAATGTTTTTACACTCAATTTCTTAACTCCAAACTTAAACCTGAAAGAAACTGACCGTTAGTGTTTATTGATGATTCCGCGACAAATAAATGTCCCAAATGTCATTGTGTAAGCTGTTCTTCTGATCTAAACCTATCACCACATTATTTGTTAATATCGAAGGAAGTTTTTCTTCCAAAGTTTACTCATAAGTAGGTTATATGTCTTCAGATTTGCCGAATACTTAATTGTCGTATTCCTTTATATTACTTGTGACTATCATTCATGAATAGTCAAAAGTTCTCATTAGGTTATGTAAGATATTGAAGTTTATTTGCACAATCAGCGGTAAATCTTCTGGTTTCATCATGAATACGGCTGCGAAAAAACTACTAATTATCATTTACCAAAATAAACTATTAACTTCATGAATTTCTCCTCGTGTATTCTATCCCAAAACGCGATACATTTTTATTAAAATGCATTTATGTAAACAATGAATTTAAAATCCCTATGATATCTTATCAAATACATAACGGGAAAATAGCCATGAGAGTAGAATTAACCACAAATTTCTTGTACCTAAAGATACACACTATTGATTGTAAATGTATTTTCGATAAATATGGATAATCTAAGGTCGAGTAAATAAAATGAACTGACAGTGTGGATAGCAGTGGGAATGATTCTATATAAATTTGTGACATAATGGCTAAATCGAGGTAATTCATGCGGGATACACAAATACTAAATGAAACTAATCAAAAGTCAGTCAGTTTATCAACAACTGAATAACCAATACTACTACAAATTAAGTAGTTGTGAACTGTTTTTACAATTGATTGATCACTGGGTGGTGATCAATGTCATATGTGTCAGATCCTTCTTGGTGCAGGTCGAATCCTATCGACCAAGTTACAATATGACCATTAATCTAGGTGACTCGACGTAGCGTTCACTATGTTGAGATAAGATGATGGTCGGAGGTAGTCCTCTTGACAAACTCCAACCACCATCTTAATAGTGAACTGTTTTGTAAACTAATTTAATGTACTTTGGTGAGCAGATTAAGAGAAGTTTGACTTGAGGAATATACCTTTTAACATTTTTAACGTAAAATAACGGTTATCCTAGAACATAGATCGTTTAGACTTATCTATTAGGCTTTACTATTTATAACAGCATTCCTCGTGCGGATGTACCTTTCTAGACTCAGTTTTCCAGATAGTAGTTCCCTTTGCTTAATGAAAGTTATTTGAGCTAAGTATGGAGCTGATTACTTCCTGATTAAGATAATAAACTCATTTGGATATTCATTCTAACCTGCTGTCATCTCATTACAAGTACTAAATCTCCCATACTCCTCCGCTATATATAATATTGTTAACGCTCAAACGAACTGATTTGAACGAATCCCTTACACTTATACACTAAAACGTTTATTCATACAGTAAACGTACAGTAAAACGTAAAACGTACATTTATGTTGTGTTTGATTCGATATTTAATACGTAGAGGAAAAACACCAACTCCACATAAAGGAAGCCAACAGGCCTCATTTGAAATGTTATACATATGACAAAGATAACATGGGTAACAAAATCCTGCACAAAGACCTGTAAACACAAAACACCATTCAAACAACAGATTTGACATATTTTCTAAAACATTATTGAAGGTGTTTGATTTATGATTGAGTATTAGTAGTTTTATTTTCAAATCAAGAAAATATGGCATTGATTACCGTCCACTAATCAATCAACGTAAAGCTCTCAGTTATACAGAAGATTGATCAAGGCACTACTAGCACATTCATAAACCTTTTCGTTATGATATTAAGTGATAGGGTTCGAAGTCACAGTGAACATTAGTATCCTTAGGATTGAAAGCACATCCAACTGAAAATCGGTAACTAGGTCGATACCTAGGTACACAACTCCTTATCACTTGCATGTAAACATCTAATGTATTCTTTGGAAAGTGGGTCACTGGATGTTGACTGAGTGGTCTAAAACTAATGCACCAGTACCATTATATACAAATTCTGGGCCTGTGACGAATGCGAACGAGAAATTGAATAGTCTCTCATTACTGCAATAAAATTAGCTGCGTTACTTTACTAGCGGTTGAAAAACAAATCTACTTTTCTTATACTATCGCCTGATAAGAGGAAACGTAATAAAACAATCAGCATTAATACGTTCGACTACATTTTAAACTAATAAATTGTTAGTTAGTACCATTGTGTCTGTTTTGAAAAAGGATAGATTTTCAATCTTCCGTCGACAAGCAAAATCATCTCAGTAAATTATTATTGCTTACATGATTCACAATCATCGAAACAGCTACAAATTCCAGTACTCCATTCTCTCGTTAGGAAATATCCTTGTGTAGGTCGCTAAAAATGAAATTGATCGTGATAAATCAAGATTTCGAAAACAATTATGGTATATGAATGCTCAACTTTAACTGATTTACTTAACGAGTCTAGTTTTGTTAACATACTTTTAAAATACCAGGATGTAAAGATACTCAATGTTATTGCATTTATTGCAATGGTAAGTAGTGGAAATCCTCTAAGTAAAATCCACCCATTTCTTTCGAAATATATTATATAGCTTAAAGACCTGATTGACAATAAAGTAGTTGATGCGTCATGATGTTCATTTTATATCATATGGGTATATGATATGTTTGTCTGTTCACTGAGCATAATATCTTACGTCACTTAAGCACTGGTCTCACGAAGTAAGACCACTGATTAGATTAGTTGAGTCTATGTGTAGTCCATAGTGTACGATAGTTTTGTTTTTCACTCTAGTACTTATAACGCAATTAGTTTACAACTGAAGACTCGTGACTCAATAAATTCTATCCTATAGAGTTGTCCAAAAGTATATGATAAAATGTGTTACGGCTGAATTTCCAAGATATATAGCTTCTCGTTAAACTATTTAGAACTGCAAATTAATAAACACACAATAGATCCGTATGTTTGTTTTCACCAGTTACACCTTTATATTGCACTATAGTAAAGAATCTTCTATAAATTAAACGTAATGAATGACAATGATATCTGGGAATTATAATATTTCGATAGAACAATGAGAAGACGGAGTTGATCTGAAAAATGTGATGTATTTGCGCTATACATTTCGAACAATCTGGTCACACATATACTTGTCAGGGCATTTTATATGAAAATTAATAAAGGTCAATTACATGAAAGTTAAAGTACAAACAAAAATAACAAAGGGGAGAGAAAGGATAAGAAATTGTCGCATTATCCTAGGCCATAGAATGACTCAAGGATTACCAAGGTAAATTCAAGGTTACGACAAATTGTTTTTGTACACATAAATTTGTCGTAACCTTGAATTTACCTTGGTAATCCTTGAGTCATTCTATGGCCTAGGATAATGCGACAATTTCTTATCCTTTCTCTCCCCTTTGTTATTTTTGTTTGTACTTTAACTTTCATGTAATTGACCTTTATTAATTTTCATATAAAATGCCCTGACAAGTATATGTGTGACCAGATTGTTCGAAATGTATAGCGCAAATACATCACATTTTTCAGATCAACTCCGTCTTCTCATTGTTCTATCGAAATTTATAAAAGGGACTAATTGCTTTAAATTATAATATTATGTGACTGGTAGATGAAAGATGAAGTCAGTTAGAGAAATATGACTGATGAATCAGAACTTATCACAAAATGAAAAATTTTCCTCACAGATACCATTTAGAATGCCTGAAATAAGTTCGAATTGTGTATTCTATTGGTTATTGTATGATAATTTCACTTGTGCTTATTTAACAAGTGTCTACCACTAGATCAATGTATGAATCTCCCTTCGCCACTTATCAACATTTTTTGACCTACCAGATCACAGGAGTACTCGACCGTTATTCCTTCTTAGTTTGGAGTTCCTCAGTAGTGTTAACCCATAGATTTCAAGTCATGTAAATTTTTGTTGCATCACTGGGTTAAAATAACCACAGGTTTACAAAACCCTTTCAATTTGTATTTTATATTACGAAACGACCTTAGCTAATTCAATCATATCGAGCATAAGACAGGACTAAAGTTCATCAATGTAAATAATTCGATGCCTAATCAATGATCGGAAAGTTAAGGAATTACCTGAGCTCAATCCCTAAAAAGCTCCATATCACAACGTAACAACTCTCTAGTTTCTTACACATAGTTCCCTTAATCATTTTGAAAAAGCGAGATCAAAGATTCTACCAGAATATCGTGAATTCGCTTTATCTCGTTTGATTCTTGTCAGCTGCTTACAACCTGTGATATTTAAAAATCATAATTACAAAATAGGTTTAAAATCTCTTACATGAAAGAGTTTAGTCGGAAGTTATATTGAAAATGTATTAGTATAGCAAGGGTGTAAATAAATTTACTAGACTGAATACTGTACATATATACCTTCTGTAAAAGAACATTCTACAGAATCGATTGTGACAAGAGTTCAAAGGGCCAGACACAAGTGATAACATGAGTAGACACTGATAGGAATAAAATGAGTAAAGCTCAGTTGATAAAATAAGATGGTGAGACTAATTTATGGACGACCATTCAGTGACGCCAAATTGACCTTGAGAGTGTTCACATAGTAACTAGAATCAAATGAAGATTATAAACTAGCGTGAGGAATTAGAACTATGATTTACACTTGATGGTTAGGGCTAGGAGTTAGATTTAGGGTTTTCATCATGAACTGACATCAGCTATAATGCCAAAACTCTATTTGGCCAAATGGATGGATGAATTTCGCGCCAAAATCCGAGACCTGTCATTTGTACTTGAATGGTTCGTTCATAAATTACAGTCTCGCCAAAAGTTTAAGATGCCACGAAGGAATATTTGTCATCAACCCATTTTGTAACTATTATTTTTAAATATCACAGGTTGTAAGCAGATGATGAGAATCAAGAGAAATCAATTGAATTCATAGTATTTTGCTAGAACCTCTATTTTTTATTGGTTTACAATGATTGTTTAGTGAAATTTAGTCCTTCATGTAAACGATCATCTTGTGAAACTGAAGAAGACTTACACTCAACAAAGCTAAACTTCAAAATCTCATCTCGGTATCTTTTAATGGTGTGCATTAGTTTTAAACTGGTTGACAACAGTTTGGGGACTAGTTTAGTGTCAGTTTAATAGCATCAAACTTATTCCAAACAAAAGCTTTTATAAATCACGAAATTCACATACATATGGCTTTCTCAACGTCACATAACTAATAAAATAATATTTAAAGCACTTTATGCACAGACAGAATTTCAGCATTTGATTCATGGAAACAGAAACTGACAAATGTAAAACATATACAAACACTTCTTATCGCTTACCAATACTGATAGAGGCTGTTGTAAAACAACAGTGGTAGTTTGTCCACTTGACTGTACTTCAACCATTGTTATTTGGTTTATGTTAAGAGCATTGTGCGAGTTATACATACATGTTTGTTTGCACACTTATTATTTCATTCAAAGTCTGTCCCATCCACCATCGGTTATATTAAAGCTTATATTGATTTTTTTGAATTGGTTGGTATAATAACTTCAAGCTGTATCTGTCTGTTCTTCGATAACGTGATTGTCTGTTTATAACTAAATACATGCTTAAAATAAACGTATCACCACAAAACTTCTCATTTCCTGCTGTGATCCAGACCAATTATGTAGTCACTGTTTCACTAATACTAACTCTTTTTATTGCAATTTGATTGGTTAATTCTCACGGACAGTGTCTTTTTTATTGGATGGTTCTAATAAATTCTGAAAGAAGTCTCCCGGGAGCGAGATCGTTCATGCGCACTGCTGAGGAGTTTCACACTAGGACAAAGTAGCCATTCAGTGCTTCCAGGTTTTCCATGATGATCTAGTATTAATTGACTCATGAATTCAACTATTGAATTACTATAAACTAAATAAAGCCCCCATTCTAATAATTTTGGAATATATCAAAAATTATACTTTGGATAGTAGTATAGTTAAAGTTTAATAAATTTATCGTTAAATTAAAAGTATAGAAGTTAATCACTTGTAACACTATGCCAGAGTAATGTTACTATTGAAAGTTAATCATAATACAATCTATATATCATTGAAAATTAACTCAATATCTTAAGTCAATTACATTCGCAAAGATTTCATTCATTAAGTGTTATTGTTTTCTCATTGATTTTTTTTCCAATTGTTTTTATGGATACAAAATTCATTATGAAAAAATTACAACCCAGTAACAAATTCTTAACACCAGTTTTTTTTCTTGACATTGATTTATGTACATTATATCAGAAATACTTTTTATCCATTGACATTTATACATAGAATAATATTTCATATTTATTTTAAAGAGAGCAAGAACAAAGGTTGGTGCAGAATAATATGAATTCATTTTCATTTCGTTAGGTTCTCACCAGCTGCCTACAATCTAAAATATTTGAAAATCAACGTTATTACAGATACTGACATACTTATACATAAGAGGGTGATTGAGGATGAATATATATGTATCATGATTTAGCAAAGATTCCGTTAAGGTTAATAAGGTCATAAAAAATTTTGTTTCGAATAAATAAAGTTCCAGAACATTGAAATAGTGATTAGAACTCAAGGAATTAAAAAAACAAACAGTAGATGATTTATATAACGAAGTAACTGAAAATAGATTAATGGTAATAAAGAAAGATATAAATTGAAATCAGTCAGTTATGAATGGTGTAGTTTTGAAAATTCAGAGAGAGTTGGAATAGTAAATGACATAATAAATAAATAAGAGGGGTTTAATGTTGCCAAGGCAAAGAAAGATTTATTACTGTTTCTTTTTGTATACGTAGATCTGGTTTTAATTCCATGAGTTCTAATCACTATTTTGATGTTCTGGAATGTTCCCTTCCAAACTTTATTTATACAGAACAAAATTTTATGACCTCATTAACTCTAACGGCATCTTCGCTACATCATGATACACATATATTCATACTTAATCACCCTCTTATATATAAGTATGTCAATATCTGTAATAACGTTGATTTTTAAATATTTTAGATTGTAAGCAGCTGATGAAAACCTAACGAAATAAAATGAATTCATGTTATTCTGCACCTATCTTTGTTCATGTTCCCTTTAAAATAATAAAGGGAATTATGTGTATGAAATTTCATATTTATGTTTACAAGTTTAAAAGTATAAAGCACTTTGAAAAGGAACAATAAAGAATCTAAGATTATGAAAGACCATTTAAAATTAATCTAATGAAATGTAGATTATTACTGTTATTGGTATACTAAATAATCAGTTTCAATGAATTGCAGTATGTTCAATTACTAAGTAACCTTTAACATATCAACAACCATAACAACAACAAAAAATAAAGTGAACAGTGTAAATTAATATGAGATTATTTTTCCCAATATATAATCTTTATGTTTCATAGTTATCAAATACTGATCTAGTTATAAATTAGTTCTGAAAAAAAATGTTTAAAAGGTTACTAATTAACTTTTATGTACCTCAGATGTTAACGAAAAAAACGAAATTACTTTAACATTATACTTCTTTTATTTCGGTGCCGGGAGGGCATAAACCTTAACCTACTGTTTCTTACAGAACTGTATTTTTTTATCGTTTCTGATTGATTATTACTTATAAGTAGATATTATCTATACTCCTAAAGGGTTATGTTATAAAATAAATTTCTTTTTTTTATAACCAAAAATAAATAATGATAAGAAAATAAATATTTACATAATGGAATAACTCTAGTTATTTGACAAAGTTATTCAAATATTTTTCGATCGAATGTTTTTCTTTGTAATAAGAATGTAACATTAATTTTATGAAGAATTAAAGTAGAATGTGCAATGTTCGTCCATATCTATCTAGTAAATAAATAAATAAATAGTAACAAATTCAATTAAATATCTATGACTGGAAGGAAAAAAAGAAATGAAAAAGTTAACCAAAAGTAGGGAATTAAATAAATCATTGTAATAAGCTTCTCATTAATACATATTCTTGATTATTTCTTAATAAGTTCATTTATGCAAAAGATTATGTAAAGTAAATATAATTACAATATCAAGGTTTGTGATTAATCTGATGTACTGTAAGGCATTTGCAGTATATAATTGTTGTAAAATAAAAGTGTAAAACTTCAATATGAAGAGAAGTTTTATTAGTAGGAGTAATGATAAATGTTTAATTGTATGGGGGATTTGTGGAGATTTTAAGATTTGAATTCAAGAGTCGATCTAAATTAGATCACCATTGAAAACCTGAAAGTAATGGACGGCCGTTTCATTCTAGTATGAGACTAATGAGTAGTGAGCATATACGGTCCCTCCGTGACCGATTCAGTCCAATCAGTGTAGGGTCTGAGACAGTTATCCTCCTCAGGCAATGGATGGAATGTTGAGTAAAATCATGGATTGATTGAAGTCAGATGTTAACACCACTGGATGTCGACTCAGTGGTCTGGGTTTCAAGCGTTTGCGCTCAAGAACAAAGACCCTGGGTTGGGGTCCCTCAGGCGGGTGGTGTATGCTCGCTGCTGAAAAGTCCCATACTAGAACGAAACGGCCGTCTATTGCCTCCAGGTTGTCAATGGTGGTCTAGCTTAGACCGACTCGTGATTTCAACTGTAAAAATATTTAATTATTTATCGTTTTCACAACTGAATTAGTAAACCGCCGTATGATCATTGGTGTATGCAAGAATATCTTGTTTCACATTTGCAAAATACCACATTCATCATCATATTTTGTTGAAGGAAAGAAATACCCCTTCATTTAATGACGATTTATATGGTTGCTGGTGAGGAATTATGATTACCATAATTTAGCTTCACTTTTTAGGAGAGGGTGTTACTGGACAGCGCTCTGAGGAGTATATCGGTTAGTGTGCAGTCTTACTGGTGTTTGTAAGGCTGCTTAATGATGCAATAAAGCAGGGTTCCTGTAAATAAGGGATCGAGTTCTCTGTAGTAGCAAGAATGAGGTTGGGAATGAGTTATGATTCGGTAAGAAGAACCGATTCGATATAAGGAAAGCTTGAATGTTCCACGATCTGTATGATAAAGGCCTTTTCGTCAGATATGTTTCATTTTGTAGGCGAGGAGAAAGATCTGACACTAGTCGTATAGGCTTGCGTGGTGGAAGGCAGCGCACATCTTGAACTATAGGAACGTTCGTGACTAACACTGTCTAGTCAGTGAACCTTCAATAAATTTCAGGTTCTTAACAGAAACATTAAGAACACAACAGTGGTTGTCTTGTAATTATAAAAATGAGAACAGATTACTATTGACATTGATAATATATAATTTTCGAATAAAGAAAAACAAACAAGAAAACAGCAAATTGAAACGAAACGGAAGCACAAATAGTAAGCAGTTATATAATTTGGGACCAATGCTACCGGGAAATATCATCAGTTATGTCTAACAACGTGTGCTATTTTCACATATAAACTGAAAATCACCAACTAACACAAAACCTAGATCCAGGGTCTTCCATAGATCTCCTCCAGTCAATTAACATAGATTTCAATACATAACAAATGTCTTAGGAAAGAAACATATTTGATGAAGTTTAATTAATAAAATAGGACTAGCTTCACGTAACTTAGTAGTATATAAGAACCAAATTAAATATGACAATAAATTCTTTCGTAAGTTCAACAAACTATTTCCTGAATAAGATATATCGTTTGTAACAAGTACTCCAATCGTTTTTTCAGCATTATCAATCATACACTTCCATCCTCTTGTTATTACTTCATCTTTCAAAACTACCTACCATCAAATAAGCAGAGCTATTTGGAACATATAAATTTATGGAATTTAAAAAAATATTGTAAATGTAGAACAACATATATAGGCGAACAAAATTGTTTTCGATTAGATCCTCACCAGGCTTTACTCTGATATACAGTAATATTTAGATGCACATACGAAATTATTAAACAAATCAAGGCAATTTATGATTCCGTGATAACAGTAGAATAGATGACATAGATAAATATAATAAGTAGTAAGTCTAGATTGATAGTGTGATGACAGATGTTCTAGTTGTAACAAGAATAGTAGAGGCTTGAATCAATATTTCATAATGGTAAATAGGTCAATGACTTGAAAATCAATGATATTAAAATAACATTCATAAAAACCATAGGATTACGTAATAAGGAGTGTTGAGATAATTGAACAATGAAGCCTATACTTGAAAAAAAGGGTGAAAAAAAATAAATAAAGAGTATGGAAAATAATAATAAATAAAATCCTTTGTGAAAGTTCATTAGACCAATGAAGAGATAAAGGTGTTACAAATTTCTTATGAATTCAAAGACTTGAATTATTAGCTCGAATTCCCATAGCTTCTGCTATTTGTAAGAGATGAGATCGAGCCCCATAAGGAAAACTATTAGGTATACGATAAACCACTTTAAAAACTTATTTCTATCAACAACATGACCGCTATAGATCAGGTGTGATAAAAAAACTGCGTATGGTTTTGAAGATATCCCTTCCTAACCACGAAAGGAGATGTGCACCAACTCGTTGTGTTAGTTGTCTGGTTGTGCGTTCAACATAACTTTCTTCACCGGAGCAGCTGAATTCCTAGATACAGATAGATGTGGAATATAAATATTACTGTATAATTAGA